TAATATATGACGCCGTTAAACCCGTCGCGCGACTCGCAATTGTACCGTCTGAGCACATATCATTAGAAGAGAATTTGTTCATTGGCCACGTAATACAGTAATTTAATGATGCTATTGCGATAACAACGTCGGGTAATGATTCTCAGAGCATGACTTGCACTGATTTTATCGGATTACTGGGCATGCAGTAGAGCAAAAAATTGTTTATTGATTATACAAAAATAAATACAAGATTATTTAGTATCGTTAAAATTGTCGCTTACAGATATAAAATTGCCGCTGCACTCTTTAATTAATTTAATAATGATGATAACATATTATATCGAACGTTATTTTAGTATTTTCTATATATTTTATTTAATTATATTTTAACGTCTTTATATAAACAGGACGGAAATGGCGAGTTGCATCGAACACACAGCGTTAGTAATTTCGTTCTAACGACAAAAAGCGAGCTCGGTATTCTTCTTAATGGGATCCATTGAGACTCCCTTGACTTTATAGTGGCATATCTGGCTGCCATTGATGTGCTGTACTCGCCTTCAATAGAAATTCTAGCCGGAGTTTATAAAGCCGGCCGAGGCGTGCTGCTGTTTCTTATTGATCGATTTTTCGCATTCCTAAGCTATTGAGTACAAGACTGGCATTGTTTGTTATAAGTGCGAGATACGCTGCGATGGACGGACCTCCTGATACGGGAAGTCGTAACGGGTCGCGGATATAAGGTTCCGTATACAGCTTCGTAGACTCTCGTTGCGGAGATCGATCGCCGATACTTCGGCAAGAACGTATTTGCATTAGGACTTGCATCGCGATTCGCGATATTGTCGCTGATAAATCGCGGAATCTATTCAAGCGCTTCGAGCAGCGCGGAGAGAAGACGCGGAAGCAAATTGATACAGAAGGTTTAGGATTCAATGTCAATGAAATACAAAGAAATTAGGTAATACAAGAAAATGTATATGAATACACACAAACGTTATTTTATAAATATATATGTTCCGAAAATTTAATTTCTATAGAATAAAATGATATCAATGTCAATGAAATACAAAGAAATTAGGTAATACAAGAAAATGTATATGAATACACACAAGCGTTATTTTATAAATATATATGTTCCGAAAATTTAATTTCTATAGAATAAAATGATATCAATGTCAATGAAATACAAAGAAATTAGGTAATACAAGAAAATGTATATGAATACACACAAGCGTTATTTCATAAATATATATGTTCCGAAAATTTAATTTCTATAGAATAAAATGATATCAATGTCAATGAAATACAAAGAAATTAGGTAATACAAAAAAATGTATATGAATACACACAAGCGTTATTTCATAAATATATATGTTCCGAAAATTAAATTTCTATAGAATAAAATGATATCTCTCTTATTAACAATTTTTGTATTTAATTCAATTTTTATTTAAGTGAAAAAGAATCTGAAAATTGTTATAACAGATGACTTCATGAAGGTATTTTATCAAGATACTTCAAACATCTACTCTCTTTCCTTGATATAAGCTACTTAACTGTTTATCGAGATAAAGTGACGAGATATTTATTAAGGAGATCAGAACTTTGTTGTATATGCTATGCTCGGTATGAGAGGATTCTTTGGAATGGTTTCATCGTTCAAAGGGTTAAGACCCACTTACAAAGAAGTCTCGAATAATTGAGAGTTGTAAACTTCCTGCCTTAAAGTAAACTCGAAATTCGGAATCTTTTTACACATTACACCGATTACAATATTAATATCGGAAACAATCGTTGAACACGCTTTCATATTAATTTAATTAAGAAGAGGTCTTAAGATCTTATTCATAAAATAATTACAATTTACACTATTTTTCTTTCGATTAATTTTCCATTTGTTAATTTTAGATTCTCTATAGTCGCTTTTTAAAATTATCACGTATTACCAAATTAGTCTGATACTTTTCGAGTATTTATTCCAGATAACAGACGAGCATTTCGGTACAAGTTACAACATCTTTCTAGCTTAAATGCCCCGCTTCGTAGCGCACATGTTACAATGGATTTTAGGATTAAGTAGCAATTTCTGGGAAAAGGGAATAACACAAAAATTCGAATTCTTCGTTTTCGATCTCGCGCAATCTTCTTGCTTGACTCGACGCTATCCAGAAGAGCCCGATGCCAAGCCAAGTCGCTGCATGGCGATGCAAGATCCATGCCGCCCTTCGGATGCACCACTTACGAGCACATCGCGTGGAAAGTCGAGATAGTGCGTTTTTCTGTGATTACGAACAAGCACGCACGCATCCGCGTACGCAATGCTGCTGCGGTAGCGACGGGCGGTCTGCGCATCTCTTCTCATTCCGCGGCTGCACCACGAGACTCATTCGAACCCTGCAGCCTCCCTTCCTCGAGCCGTTGCGGCGTGCTCTAATGATTAATTAAGCCTTCCGAGAAAACGCAACAAGTGAAACGTTATTAGCGCTTAGTGGCACAGTTTATTCGGATCAGCGGCAATCGGGATCTCTCCCCTTCGCTCTCTCATGTGTAATCTATTGGTTTGTACGCACTTCCTGCTCAAGCGCGAGTACCTTGTCAGCTTTTAATAACTTCATTCATCCACGCAAATCACATATGTACTACGAATAATTTCGACTTTTTCTGTTTAATATATTATACATCTATATATAAAATATATAATTAATTATATATATATATATATATATATATATTATATTATATATATATATATATATATATATATATGTGTATATATAAAATATATAATTAATTATATATATACATAATTAATTTATATATATATATATATATATGATTAATAAGAAACGCACGCTCTCTTACAGATTAAATTTTATTCTTTAAAAGTGTTAATATAATTCAATATTATATAATTTATATGAAATGTTTTCTTTCAATTTTCTATTGGAAATATAATTAAAGCGTAAAGTTTGTGCGACGATTATGCGGAATTACAATTTGATCGGAAACGAGAAATTCTCAAGCGAGCGTTTTTTATCATTCATTTACGTCTTCTCTTTTATATATATGATTTTTTAAATTAATTTTTAGTCTACAAATTAAAAGAGAACATTAATAAATATGTTCTGATATATAGTGAATACAATATTATATTTATCAATAGTTATACCTATGTTTGCGATTAATTGTTTATTAATTTCAATCATCTTCTTATGCCAAAGCACGTCAAAATTTATCGCGCCATCTGCATTTTACATTACTTCATTTCTTATTTGCATCTGTGAAGCAACACACGCTTTTGAGTAATTTCCGCGGAGAAATGATACGGCATCTGCACGCATCACAGCGCATCAGCGACCTATCATCGCCGTATACGTTTTCTATTTGTTCGTATATACGTTTCCCAACTCGCAGACGGTATTTAAGCTAACGCTCATGAATAATTAGTATGGAGGAGCGACAAGACAGTTGCGCTTCTTGCGCGCATGAAAGCGCATCAGCATACTCTGCGGTACCTATATGCATTTTCTACACGAGCAGGCATCACTCATCTTCGCACTTCTGACTTTGCTCCTCCTTTTTCTTAATCCGAGAGAAAGAAATTCAAAATAACAGAGAGAAAACACTCTATAACTAAAGAAAAGGAAAAATTAAAATTTAGTAAACGAAAACATATTTTGTTGACTCTAATGATTGCGTATTCTCTCTATATTTAAAATTGTTATTAGAATAATATTTTTTTTAAATCTATGCGAATAATTGGAATATTATTTTTACTACAAAACTTTTTTTGTTGGGCAAATGTTCTGCAACTCCATTAACTGCATAAAAATAGGATAGATGCGTGAATGTGAAAAATGTTCAAGTTTTGACAAGAATATTTGTTTTGATATAAATTTCGAATATTAGAAATCTACATAAAAAAATTCTATAAGATCTTTAGATTATAGAAATTTATTTTTCTAAAATTATATTATTTTAAATTCTAATTCTAAATTATTTATTATTCTAAAATTATATTATAAACATTATATTATTTTTTAATTTGATTAATCCAAGGTACTATTCTATTGTTTAGATTGAATTATTATTTAGCATTTATTACTTCAAAAATACTTGAAACATCTCAATTTTTAAAGATATTATAACGTTTACCTTAAGGCAATTAGCATGACGAATTGAGCCGACGTCTGTAGTTTACGTAGCCACCTAAGCGGTAAAAGCAAAGATCGCCATCGTTATCCCGTGGAGCAACGGATGCTGAGATTGCATGTCGACCTCGATCTCAGGATGCACGTGGAAAGATAGAGGGGGAAAAAGAACGATTATATGCGGTAAGAAAAATTAGGACGTACATGTGGTGTTGTTCGATCGAGCCGAGATAAAGCGACGCGAATCGATTATATCGATCGCAAAGATCTACATCTATCTATGTAATCAACATACTGATTACATAGATCAACAGGAGCAACACGTGTCCGAAGTGTCAAATATATTTTCTAGCCGCATAAATACTCCGAAGTAGTGTAATAAAATTGTTATAGGAATAACATTTCTTAAACAGTGCTCTGTATTTAAAATTATATAGATATTTTAATATTTTATTTTTTCAATAATTGACTTTTAATGGCAAAAAATATGAACTATAATTAGATGATTATTTAATTATATATATGTCTATATTTTTTCCTATATTTCTTCATTTCTTATAAGTATAATTGAAAAATATATTAGAGCACAAAGGGTCAAACAAGTTTATCGCTGGCATTACCGACTTTAATTCACCAGCATTGTTGCACATTTGCGGATGTGCGCGTTAGTCATTCAATAAAGATTAAGATCGCATTCTTGAAATTTCTAACTCAATGAAAGCAAACGAAAGGGAATGCGCTTAAAAGAATAATTGCTTCGTTTCGACGCGAAATAGTTTCCGTTCACGAAAGTGTAAATTGCGTTCATCGATCTTCGTAGTTATAGTGAATCGATTTATATGTTTCCTTTTATCTATGTTGCAGATCGATTCTAGCTCTGATAATGCTGAGTGCAGCCGGTGTCTCGTCCTCTCACATGCCCGAAAAGTATCCTATAGAAGTAAGTTCTTATAGAAAAATTATCTTCTCTATTTATACGAATTGCAGTAGTTGCAGTAGTAAAATGTTTCTAAAACAATAGAAAAAAATTTTTTCGTGAAATTAAATTACAAAAATATATATACCAATTTTTTCGAAATTCTTTGAAAATTGAATTATTTATGTGAATTCGAAATTTTTTTTTACGCACATTATTATATTATATATTCAAATATGATATTTGAAAACAAAATAAAAAATAATAGCGAATATTGTCATTAATAAATAATAAGTCGGGAGAGATATTAATTGTCGACTTGCCACACGATATTATGACAAACTGGTTTTCATTGATTGAATCAATATTGATGTGGAAACATTGACAAATAATAACAAGGTTCGTGATTTGCTTTCGCGATCGGTTATCACAGCGATCTTGTTTGCTTCTCAACGAAAATCTTCGCCTTGCGCGCATATTAATCCAATTCGCTTGCGAGAATTAATACGCAATTACGTGGTCGCTATATCGAGAGGATAATTAATTGACATAGAGTAGAGGTCCCTAAATTACACGCGGGCGCAAGGCCACGGCGCGAGAACGAATGCAAACACGATCCCCTTCTCTCGTCGTTTGGTCCTCGGAATCATGGTATAATTAACCAGTCCGTTTATTCTGAAAAACGTTGTGGCATTACGGATGACACGAAAATAGACCGGCACGGCCTAGAAAACGCGGTACATTCTTGCCACTTGATGTCACACCTGCGACCCTTATCGCGAGAGTTTACGTCAAGGTCGAAACACTTCTCCGAAGTGTTTCATATATATATATGCATGCTTTTGAACCGATATCGCAACAAGAATTTGAAACAAAATATCAGAAATAATAATTATGTCGTTTTGCATTACGAATTCTTTGACTAAATATTTTCTCCACAAATGTTTTTTTCAGCCAATTTTTCTTGAAACTTATATTTTTTCTTTCAAATCCGATCTACTATATAATATTTATCATTATAATCTGTCATCTTTAAGATGCACGTATTAGTTTCTCATAATTTCCATTGATTTTATATTACAATTGAATCTAAGCAAAAGCGATTGAATCGTATAGCTAGTTTTTCTTTCATTATTGTTCAATACGAAGAGTATTGTCTTCGCACATGAATTTATCCTCAATCAAGTACTATTACTCTATGCTACGCTATAATCTTGTTTCTTCTTTATGTATATCCAACGTGAAGTATATATTTCCTTCTTTGTGCATGGCTATACTGTATAAGTGCTGTGATTAACGTTCCGGAGTTAATGCCGGGGCATTAAGGAAGTATTAGTCTGTTGCTCTCGGGGTTAACGACTTACAAAAAAGCAGCTGAAAGCTCTCGTTCGAATCCGAAATTCGCCGTTAACAGAGACACGTCACACGATGTTTACGACAAATTTAATCGCGCGTCGTGTATTTTCTCTCCTACGAAATCTGAATCATTATATCGGCCCGTTAAAAATAGAAGTGATCCAGCAACGGTGGTCGACAAACGTCGCATTTAAGAAACCGTTCGAGATTTAACGGTTGTTATTCGTCTCGAAATCGACCATTTGTATTCTAGGCTCGAAATATTACGCGTATAGTTCACGTGCGAGATAGATATGCGTGAGATATGCGACTCGTCCGTTTGATTAATTAGACGAGCGTGATTGGAGGGAGGATCGGATATGTGAAGCGTGAAGCTTGGGAAATCCTCACGTGAGAATCGAGCCTTTCTTTACCTCTTAGAGCGATGCTGCATTAGCGAACTTCCGGCAGAAGTTAATACAACGGACAGCCCGTGGTGCGCGGAGATAGATCGAAACACCATAAATTCAGCGCCGTGTGTGCACAATAAGGTAATCGATCCTTCGTTTAATTAATCACGACAAGAGTCCGCGATACCGAGGTATACGCGGTCTAATTGGAATCTCGTTCGCGGTAGCGATATTAATTACCGAACAAACAGTTTGTGCTGTATGATACCGGCGTGTGTGATTAACAGGGAATACTAGACGCATATTATCTACTTCCATCTATCTCCATCGTTTAATTACTATCTGGATACTTGCTTCGCTACTTTTTTTTCTACAAAATCTATCATCTGCGCTCTTCGCGCTCGCGTGGCTGTGTTTCTTAGAAAGGCTGGATGTGATACAGAAGCGATCATTATAATCATTATTGAGGATTTCCAAGATTTCTGAGGATAAGTTGAAAAATATATTTCTTACATAAAATTGCGATCGAATATTTTATTATTGAATGGAGGATCATTTTATTAGTGTTTTTCTATACGAGTATTTTTAAACACGTTCTTTCACTTTTTACAAAGTTTTAATCATTAGCGGTAATCATTCATTTTTCGAACATAATGTTATCTCTAATGTTAGGTAACGCGTCTTTTTTAATATTTTTTATTATCGAAGGGAAGACCATTTCATTTATATTTTCCCATATTTTAAACGCGCTTTTTTATTTTTTAATCTAAGGTTTTTCTAATCTTAGGTTCAGACCTATACATGTTTTTTTCAATATTTTTTTATTGAATAGAGGACTATTTCGATATATATATTTTTCTATATTTTTAAATGCGCGCTTACATAGTTTTTAAATTGTTTTAATCAGTGTCGAACTCTGTCGTGTGTCCAACTTCGTCGTGCGTCCAACTCTGTTGTGTGTCCATTTCGTCTATACGAGTATGTACATATGTACTTACAACTCGGTCGTATGTGCTATGTGTACACATGACCATGTTGCATATACACATTGGACACTTGATTGTATTGCACACATAACATTATTACGCACTGATTATAACTTTGACAAATAAAACATTGTGTTGAAATATATAAGAAAATATTTAGGAAACTCATGACATAACATAAATGGCAACAAGAAAATTATGGAAAATTTATTTATTCCCGTTAATGATAATATTATCCAATAATGTTGTCGTTATATTTATACCATTCAGCAGTTATTATCGCAAGCGTGAACAGTTGTTGATAAAAATAGATAAAATATATTTTATATTTTATTTTTTTAATTACATTATTTTTATTATAGGATTGAATCACGCGCGCGTAGCTCGCGTTTGTTTTGTTCCAGTTTAAATAAAAACGAATATAAATTAATGAAATCTTCAAATTTGATAAATTAAAATTTTTTTGTCAGTTAAAAAATATACATAATTATATTAGCGAAAAGGAGATTTATTTTTATTTACGCAAAATATTAGCTTCTTTACGATTTTAAATTAACATTTAATTTTTAATTTCTGTTGTAAGCATTATCATTTATTAATGCAACAGTGTTGATTGTTTTTCAGGTGTATCATATGTTACAAGAAAGAACGCAATTTGGAATTGGACGTGATAACAGGGTGAGAGGAACTTGGGGCACGTGGAGCTCGTGGAACGATTGTTCCCGATCGTGCGGCACTGGTATCCAATCTCAATCTCGCGAATGCGTCCCTTTACGGTGAGTGCATTAGTATAACAAATTACATTAAAGATTTCAAAATATATATAATAGCGGGATGTAGCATAAAATGTGAAATAACACATTTTAGTTTATGAAGCTAGCAATTTAATAAGAAAAAGAAACATGATGCTATATACATAAATTATAACTGCAACGTGGTTTTCCACGCGTTCCACTCGGTTGTGTTTTGAAGTAAAATAAAAGCGTGACGAGCGCTTATACATATATTAAGTACGAAGCTCAAGCCGCCATATGGCGCGCCGTCCAAATATCTTCACGCTCGATTAATGATTTCCACACCTTGGCCTCACCTTTGTCCTCGCGGAATGGGGGAAGGTACGCATCTTTCACGGGAGGTCATGGCGGGGATCGGTAATCGCGGTTCGAATGCAAAGCACCTTGCGACGATAATGCGCGGTCGATTCTAACAATAATCACACGCTTCGCGATACCGTTAGGGTCTCGCGCAATTTAGATCATAAGCACTCGCCGGGCGAGTCGCGCAATAACTGCGCGGAACTTTGAACTCGCGTGCATGAATACGATATTCCTATGGGATATGCTCCCTCAATTGATAGATCATCATCGATCTTCTTCGGTTTCCTTGTATCCGTGAAATACATACAGGGTGCCTCGGATTCATCGCACCTCTCGTGTCTCATCTGCACAGATTGTTTAACTATTTTATTCTGTAACACAGCTATAAGATACAAATTTTCTTCACAATCTGTAATATACTTCTTATAGCTGTGTTACCAAAATCAAATAAACAATCTGTGCAGCAAGGCATGAGACGCGTAATTTTTTAATAAACATTTTTTTAATGATATTTATTGTATATAGAAAAAATGTGTGAAGTAAGACGAGTAATTAAAATTTATTACAAAATGCACTTTTTAATTTTTTTTAAAAAAGATTGTAATATTATATTATAAAACGTGATTTTTTTTAATTGAATGAATTGATTTTTTTTACAAAATTTATATATTTTCATAAACATATTATATATGATTTTATTTACATCTTGAACATGAGAGCTTCGATAAAACTTCTTGGGACTTATACTTGAGATTGCGTACACCGTCATATTCGTACAAATATTTACTGTATACTCGATGCACGAGTACAAACTATTTACTTATTTAAGTGTACTTTCTCTAGCTATTTTTGGTGAATTTTGTCATTGATGAAATCTTATTTCAAAGTTATATATCTTAAAATAAAAAATTAAATTAAAAAAACATTTTAGAGAGAATAAAAAAAATATATATATATAAATATTAAGAAATTGAAACTCTCTTGGAAAACCACAATTTAATTCACTCTATTAATTAAGAGACAAATGCGAATGGTAAGTGTATAAAAATTTCAAGAAAAATAATTTTTTTCTTCAAAACTGGTGGTTGTGTTCAGGACACAAATTTTATTCGGTGCAACATCAAGTGTTTAAATAATCTCCGCGAGTTGAGATTTATTTTACATCTCATATTCCTCGTAAAAAAAACATAGGCTAGAAAAATATCGGGAAGTCGCTGAATTGAAGCGAAAATTAAAATAAGAAATTAAATTAAAATATATGTGTGCAATTTAAATCAAGCTTTAAATTAGACTATAATTTTAGCATACAATTCCGCACACCCTATATGTTTTGTCCGGCTAGCTATAAAGCAGCGTGCAAATTACGGATCAGTAGCGTAAGAAGATTATACACCGGCAGGCCGACGACTCTCGCTAGCTCCTCTCGGGGGCAGAAACGTGTTGTTATCGCCGCTGACATTTACACCTTCGTAACGCTACCGTGAGCCGTTACGTGACTTGCAGTATGAATATCTCGCAAAGAGTCCATAGGAATAAATCAGGAGTATCCAATTTCTCGCAATTACATCGTCTCGTGACTTTAAACTTGAATTAACGATCATTTCACGGATGTTTAAGAATTACTAAATCACTTTACATTATAAAGGTAAAAAGATTTTAATGAATTTAGGAAAATAAAATTTATAGAAAAAATAAGAATAAAACAGTTTATGAGAGAAAAAAGAAGGGAAAAAATGTAAATTCGAATACTCAAATTATTATTATACTTAATTTGACGTGAAATATAAAAAGTGCAACATATCGAGCTATTATCCTCTCACATAACATAACAAACAAATAATTATTTCTTTCGCAGCATAACAGCATTAAATGAGATGCGCAGATAATTTATTCATTTTTATCGCAAATAGTCTCTCTCCTTTGATCTCGAGATTAGCATAATGCTCTGCACATATACTATAAAAAGTGTGTTTATACACTCGGCATTGAAAAATCGAGATGCATCGCGCGCTACTCGCTTGTGCGAGTCGATGTATGAGCTAATGCGAGCAATTTATTTCAGGAAACTTTTGAGAAAACGAAGTATTATCTCGGAAAATAGTACGAGCAGCGTCAGACCTATCTGTATCGGTACATATAAACGCTATCACACATGCAATACACAGGTAAGTCGCATATAGATAATCCTCAACTTATTAAGAAAGAACAGAAAAATTTTCAAAGTTATTAAGATTTTAAATTTTATAAAAAGGGATGAAAAAAATTTGTTTTTTTCGCTATCCCTTTAGAGGCTTTGTGCCTCTTCTCCTAATTCTCTTGTACGGATCTAGAATTATTTAAAGATTATATCTTTGAAATTTTTCGAAATTTGTGCTTAATCTATATCAGTATAATTATCGGTATTTTAATTTCTAAACTTCAAATAAAAAAAATATATTCGCAACGCGAGAAAAGATTCTTTCTGTTCAAGCATCCTTTCGAATTAGCACTCGCTCTGTTTTCTTATATCGCATGGTGGCCTTGTTTCTTAAGCGGTTATTAGAGCTCCGGACCGGCGATTAACTATGTAAACTTGCTCCATAAAATCCATATACACGCTCACGCGTGTCGCTACTTCTACGATGCCTTATATATTAACGGATGCGTCTATATCCACGTAGCGTGTGTGTGCGGGACACGCTCCTCAGGATTTTCCTCTCGACGGTGCGTCACGAGTCGCAAACAAATCATCGCGCCGGCCAATTAGGGATGCGCACGTCGACGATTTATATACCATGGTCCGGCATGCGTGTGCGCGTGTGCGTTGTAAAATTCATAAGAGTAATCACCATCTGCGAGACTAAAGATCTCCTTGTAATGGATGACTTTGTCCAGCGCATTGGGTAGAAAAAAAGAAAGAGAGAAGAACGACTCGCTGGTGTCGATTAGTCCTTGGTTGGTAATAAAAACCGCGCGATAAGATCTGTTTACTTCTGGACGTGTTTCGATCAAATTCATTGTAGTATACTTGGTTATCAACTATACTGTTTTGCATTGTCGTAAATTTAAAAAAAAATGCTGTCGAAAATACAAAATGGATGAACGTTGAATAACAATTTTTGTTAATGTAAGCTTCAAGTTAAAATTGCTACGAATTGTGCCTGAAATTAAAATACAGCGATATACAGTCGAAGTTGGCTTGAAAAGTTAACCAAAACCATACGGCTTCGTTATCCGTTATTACCTACCCTTAAAAAAGCGGCGGCGCCTCGCTGCAGTAATATTTATCTTCGTGCTCGATACCCGGGACTACATTTCCGAGCTGCATTCGCGATTCGCAAACATGCCCCCGGGCAAAGTAACCACCGTTTCGTTCGCCGGCAATTAATAGTCTACCCGGAAATTGCAATGCGGCCGTGCACGTAGCGCACACCACACACGTGCCGGCATTCGCATGTTTGCGCGAATATACGAACTTCCTCTCGGCGTATACGGCGGCGCGGAATGCGAGTTCTTCTTTTTCTTTTTCTCTATTTTTCGCCAGGCCGCAAATAATTTTGCCTTTATTTACCCACGGTGCTTTGGGAAAAGCGCGACGTGCCGTAAAAAGCGACGCGATCGATCGCACCGGGGGTTACTTTTTTCTCTCCGGAAGCCGGACCGTCTCCTTCTTCTTGGCGTATACTCTTCCCCGATCGATCCTTAATTACCGCAAGTTTAATTAATTCATTATGCGTTTGTGCAGGAATGCCCGAACTTTACGGAAGACCTGCGGGCGGAACAGTGTGCCAAGTACAACGGGAGAAACTACAAGGGTCGCAGTTACGTCTGGGTGCCTTTCGTAGACGGTGAGTCGGAAAAAAACCGATTTGACAGTTCCCGATTCTATATAGGGAGAGATTAGTACCTCTTTAAGATTTATATTGTTTAACTGATATGATAACATAATACATCGATATAGAAGAGATTACATAATTCAATTCATTTATTATTATTATTATAATTTGAAAAAAATGACAGGTAATCAGCTGATCACAGCGAGATATGCCAATCACCAGTTTTTAATATTCGATGTTCTGATATTCATTTTTATTAAGATATATAAATATAAAATAATTCTCTTGCCTCTCGAAAAGTATATACGATCTTATAAAATGAGAGACATGAGAAAACAGATGAGACAGTTCCCAATTCTATAAAGGGAGAGAAAAGTCTTTAGGATTTATATTCTTTAATTAATAACATGATTACATCGATAGAAGTGAAAGCATTTGTTCTATCTTTTAATAGATATATAATCAAATTTTTAATTTAATTCATTTATTATTATTTGACAAAAAATGACAAAAGTAATCAGCTGATCGTAGCGAAATATGCTGATCACCAGTTTTTAGTATCTGATGATATTCCTTTGAAGATATACATATAAAAGAATTCTTTTTGTCTCTCGAGCAGTAAATACGATCTTATAAAATAAGAGGCATGTGCGATATTAAAATGAGCCGATGACGTCGGTGTCCGACCGATGCGACGATGACGCGTATACAGCTAACGGCCAGGCCCGGTGACCTAACTTCCGCCTGGCCTAATCGCGATCACTGTTGTTCTCCAGCGCCGAACTCCTGTGCGCTCAATTGCCGTGCAGTCGGCGAACGTTTTTACGCAACGCTTGAACCGGCAGTAATGGATGGCACGCCCTGCGACGCTCCGAATCTTCGCGGACGCAGCAGCAGCAACAGCGGGATTTCGATGGAACGCAACAGCGAACGGTGGCTCTGCGTCGCCGGACAATGCAAGGTATATGAATATACGCGAGCGATATGTGCGAGAGGAACGACGCCGGAAATTAATGACTGACCAGGGTGCGATACGATACGATCGACGAGATCGCTATTGACCCGTACGTTCAATCGTGCTTTCGGCCCTTCGCCTTTCCTTTCATTTCTTTTTCCTGTCGACATCGGGGTTCATTGTACGCCTGATACAATTGGGCATTTATCGATCAATGATGATCGGAACTATAGAATTTTCTCCGATTTTTATACGAATTTCGAAACGATCGGTTTTTCTCGATAGACATCTCGAACACTTTTAAACAGCTATTTTTTTTTTATAAGAAAAAAAAATATTTTTATATTTTAGAGAGAGAATGTATTAAGTCTATTTAATATCTCTATCTAGAAAAATATCGTGAAACGCAGTGTTGGAATATCCCTCTTTATCGAGAGTAGAGCTCGACAAAATTGGAGCGAGATTGCGCCGCATATGTTTCCTAAATGAATTAGATGCGACAGCACTGGAAACTTGCATGTGTTTGCCATTCAGCCTGTAGGATGTGACGGGGTGGTGGGTTCCGGCGCGACGATGGATGCCTGCGGCGTGTGCGGTGGCCAGGGTAGGGGATGCAGGTTGTTCGAAGGCATCTTCATGGAACCGATTTTGCCCAAGGGTCATCAGCAGGTGACCACGATTCCCAAGGGCGCTATGTCACTCAACATATCCGAGCTACGATTCAGCAGCAATTTTTTAGGTAGCGTCGACGATTTATCAAAGTAAAATAATTATAAATTAATATAATATGAGAGAGATAGAATTATCCCTTATTTATATTTTAAAAATTCTTTCACTTAACGAAACCATTAACAATTTCTCATTTAATCGACGAAACCGATCGATAAAGTAATATATTAAGTGTGTTTGGTTTAATATGCATTTTTCAAGAAATTAAATATGATCTTAACATTTTTTTCTTAAATCTCTTATTCAGAAAGATCGCGTCATAGAAAATCGATAAAAAAGAGTCGCTGCAAATTGTCGTAGACATTTTTATTACTTCTGAAATAAAATACTAGCATATAGCAAAAGGCGCGAGTAATATTAAGCGGTTTTTGCTCGCGATACTGCAACAGTGGTATGCTGGTTAACAAACGATCGATCTACTCGCAGCGTTGAGAGACAGTAACGGCAGTTACATCCTAAACGGACCGTGGTCTTACAGTCCCAGTGGTACTTATAAAGCGGCTGGTACGATATTAACATACCAGAGGGGCGATAGGAACCGTATGGAGTGTATCTTGGCGACTGGACCGTTGAACGAGTCTTTGCATTTAGAGGTACTGCCAATGTTATCGTCTTTTCGTTAATCGTATCAAGGACAGATTAATTATTCGATATTTTTTAAATCGGCCAATAGAGCCCAAGCGCGAAAAATTAATTTTTCGGAACTGTATCTCTTGGTTTGAGTTCTTACTAAGTTCCATATATAAATTAATCTCGAACTTACATATGGAGAAAAAATTCGGATATATTTTTCCGCCTATTTTTCTCCATATGTAAGTTCGAGATTAATTTATATATGGAACTTAGTAATCTCAAACCAAGAGATACAGTTCCGAAAAATTAATTTTTCGCGCTTGGGCTCTATTGGCCGATTTTAAAATATCATATATTATTATTATTTAATATTGAGAGCCGACAAAATATTTCTAGATTAATTATTCGTTCAATTACATAGATAACTTATGTTACATTTTGCAAGCAACTTTACTAATGAATTGTTAGCTCTCTCTAATTCTGTTAGCTTTATTTATTACGGTAATTACCATTTCTATTTGGATATAATTTGAAGATAAAATAATTTTTGCACGTATTTGAGTTATTTATTATTACACGTTATTTGCATCTCTTATATTTGCATTGAAATTTTCACTCATAAATATATAAAATATATTTTTGATCGTAATTCTAATCTACAATCGAATCTATTTATGTTATTAATATTATTATTCTCACATTATATCATGTAGATCTTATCCGTGGAGTTAAATCCAGGTGTTTTGTATAAATTCATGCTCCCCATGAAGGAAATGCCAGACAGTAAAGCGGTGATTGCACCGCCACTGCTTGTCGCAGGTAATCATTTCGTCGTCATTTAATTATATATAATTAAAAATCATCGATTAATAGCCCGTAATGTTTTATTCTTTTTCGCAGGAACGAATGATCAGGGCAACGAGATACCTAGTCCAGATAGTCAAGTGACCGTGCGGGTACCTGTTACAAGAATGTAAGTGCATGCGCTCTTAATAAAACCTCATTAAAATCTTTAAAGCGGTATATTTTACAAGTTGTTACCATTTCTCAAAAATGCTCGACGCTAAACATTAGAATTACAAATTACGTATCTCTGATATATTAATTTATTAAATGTATGTATATTTTTTTCATAATTTTAATCCATTTAAAATAATAAATTAGTAAAAAATTATAACGCTCTTATATATTAAAATAATAATTGTAAAATTAATGTAAGAACAGGTAAACTCAAGAGCATAAATTATTAGGATGTTAGTGAATATTATAAATTTTTATTACTTCCCAATTATACCATATTAAAACAATTAAAACATATTAATACAATTAAATCAAACGTTTCGACTGTACGCAGTCTTCATCAGTGGTGTCATATAGTATTAGTCAATACACATCATCCAAAGTTGTAATCGTTCGCATCATCCAAGTTATTTTATATATGATTATAATTAATAGTATGAATTGCAATCGTTCGCATCGTCGAAATGTTTTTCTAAAATTTTATAATTGACTAATACTATATGACACCACTGATGAAGACTGCGTACAGTCGAAACGTTTGATTTAATTGTATTAATATGTTTAAATTGTTTTAATATGGTATAATTGGGAAGTAATAAAAATTTATAATATTCACTAACATCCTAATAATTTATGCTCTCGAGTTGGCCTGTTCTTACATTAATTTTACAATTTTATTTTAATCCATTTATCTTGAACAATTTTCTTCTTTTTTTGTGCGTCTTTTTGTTTTTATTTTTTTTTTTTTTTTTAATCGTAACATTTCTATAATACATCTTATGGCGAGTCTCTCATACAGCGTTCGGCTCGAATTCTGCTTTGTACGACACGGAAATCTATGCGAGAGCTTCTCGCGAATCAAGCCGCGCGATTTGTCTTCGTTCGTTCAGCACGCTGCTCTCTCTACCTTCCAGATCAAATCGGCGGAGCGATTTATCTCCAACGCGTCGCGATCGCGATCCGCACGACGGACGGAAGGAAGAGATGAAGCATCCGCCGACTACGGTGATGGCGGGCGATCAGCCAAAGTCAAAGACGACGAAGAAGAAGAGAAAAAGGAAGTTTGCTTGGAAAGTAGTCGGCCACGCTCCCTGCTCGAAGGAATGCGGAGGAGGTAAGAATACAATAATTGATCGCCCGTAATTAATATCAAGCTATATTTATGTGGAGAATATTACGTGTCGTAATTTAATTTACGATATCATATCATTTAGCATCCGAGATTTAGAAGCAAAATAATTTAAGTATCGATTTAGTACATTACAGGGCAAATAATGAGTTGCAGTTTATGAAAATAAGTTTTTTTCAAGCAAAATATTTATTTCGCAGTTTTAATATTTAGCATGGACACGCGCTTTAATTGTGTTTATACTGTGCAAACACTGATGAATATTTCAATTTTCGAAACGTGATGCGCGGTATTATAATTTCAATTTGAGATCGGCGAGTTTATATTAACTTCCAATATCACTGATAATGCATTTTCGTGTATCTCTCGTATATTCCAGGAAATGCAATATTGCAGTGTTTAAGAAATAAATAAATTTAGCAAATAAGTATTATTAATGCGTACGCGAAATATATTCTAAATGCACGCGATTAAATATTTGTGATTGTCCAACACAAATGTTTAATTGAGCGCCATAGTAAAGCTTGTTGATAAAATTAACAACTACCATGTATTTCGATATGTAAGCATTTTTCTGATATGTGAAATGTGTTTTTACAACATTTATTTATTTATTTAAAATTATTTATTCATAACATTTAATTATTTTCTGCGATTGTCCTTTCTAGTATAAAAGCACTTTTGAGGGGGAATAATTGAAATATTATAATAAAAGATAAATATTACAAACATATAATTTGAAAGTATAGCTGTATATGATATTATAAGTATTACATTTAACGAATATAAAAAATATCGTTAAATACAAAGATCATATAATTTCAAGTCATCATTTTGAATCTTTCGTAAGGAGCCGATTAAACGGACAATTAAGCAAAAAGCGCCGGGATAATTAAGGTCATTACGAAAACGACTTTGTCTAGACATCACCGAGGCATTGCGTGGGAAGTGACCCGAGATATGTTTCGTTTCGGTACAATTGCACACATTTTATCGTGTAACGAACAAAAATTTTGGGTGAAATATTTTTAATCTGCTTTATACAATAATGGAAAAAAAGCTATTCGCTTAAAAATTATTTTTTTACATAAATCCGGGCTAGAGATATAAAAAGAAATAATTGAAAAAAAATCAAGATAAACGAAACAAATGATTGTAGACGTCTGCAAAGATATGCAAAAACACATTTTGTTTTTGAGATGCACCAGCCGGAAATCAATTGATACTCGATGCATTGATACTTTCTTATTTATTTGACGTCCAGACATTGCAGACGACAGCATCGATGTTACGATTCAAATAAATGTCGTAATCCAAATTGACACGATACGGGCGGAAAGCTACGGTTAAGAAAAAGAATGCGATAGTCACGTCAATCATAATATAAAATATTCCTGTCGCACTTCATTTTATCCGTGAAATTTTTGTCACTAATATGAAATTGAAATTTCCTTAATAAAGATATCGAAGCATTAATGATTTCTGAATTAACTGACTGAAAATGAAAGCTCTTTACAATTTCAGCATATATTCTTTTCAGATTTTATTTTAATAGAATTTCCACTGCAACATATTTTTTATCTTGTATTAAAATCCAACAAGACTAATATCAACTTGAATTTTTACAAAGAAAAGTCGCACTTCATTTTATCCGTGAAATTTTTGTCACTAATGATGAACGAAATATTCCTTAATAAAGATATCGAAGCATATAATGATTTCTGAATTAACTGACTGAAAAATGATAAAGCTCTTTGACAATTTACAGCATATATTCTTTTCATTCAATTTTCAATAGATTTTTATTCAACTTTAAGTTTCCCGAAGCATTAATGCAACGTATTTTTTATCAACTTAATCAATTTTCCAACAAGACTAATATCAACTTGAATTTTTACAAAGAAAAGTTTAATTTTTAATTGATTGAGGGTGAAATAAGACGCGAAATCTTGTTTACGCCCTATCGTTTGTGCAACTCGGTGCATCTTTACTTACAGGTATACGTACGACGATTTTAAAATGCATTCGTGAGAGTAATCAAACGCTTGTCAGCGATAAACGTTGCCGCAACGTGGAAAAAACCGACTCATCCTCCCCCATTGCGATGCAATGATCATCCCTGCGCTGCCAGGTATCTCATCGACATATTTCTTTCTTCAATAGATCCTCCAATATCATCGTGTCCTCTTTCAGCAATTTTTTTGACGCATACTTATATTTAATTGTTAAAGAAATTGTTTGAAAATCGAGAACCTACATTTAATTATATTTTTGCGAAGGAAAGGCTCTTTCAGCAAGTTTTTTGATGCATATATTTAATTTAAAAAAAAATTGTTTAAAAATCGAGATCCTACATTTAATCATATTTTTGCGAAGGAAAGGTCGACTTCAAATATATCGAAGAATTCTTGAGTCAAGAAAATTGCAATAATTTTATATATAAAAATCAATTTATCACACAAGTTTGATTCTCGTACTCGATGAAGTGAAAATGTCATTAGATGGCGAGCCGAACAATGGAGCGAATGTTCGGTCACTTGCGGAATCGGCGTCAGAACGCGAAATCTCGAGTGCGTTCAGGAGCTGAATGCAAGATTGACAATGCGCGTTGCTGCCGGTGCGTGCATTCAACCGCCAGATTTAAGCACTACGGAAGCTTGCAATCTGCCCTCCTGTCCCAACGCGGGCCCAGAACTGAGGCATATGCCCTCACAATACGACGCACCCAGGTGGGATGTGGGCGTTTGGAGTCCGGTGAGTCATTAATCTGTTCGACGCTTTTATCGTTGAACTGCTGTTTTAGCGGTTTAGAAGTAGGTCAGAAAATCATTAGGGATTAGAAGTTAGAAATCTCTCCAAATAGAAGAGACAGTCTTAATTAATATCTACTATCAGTCTTAACTTTCAGTTACCTCTCTGGGTTACGTTAACCCATATCAAAAATTTAAACGTGTCATTTTGGAGATTTTAGAAGATCATTTTTTCTCAAATATCTCGAGTCGTAGAAATCTGGTGACATTTGTACCGATATATTCTTTTTTCTTACTGTCTGGCGTATCGATTGAAAAAAAATACTTCAAAATAGCTTGTTTAGATCCAAAAATATAAAAAAAAAGACTCTGGGTTACTCTAACCCATGAGTAGTAAAAATAAGGTGGCCAAAAATGAGTGGTAACTGAGGGTTAATAATCGCTATCACTGTTGTGTCTTTTTACACATCAAAAATCAGAAACAATTTATGCAGATTGAATACTTTAATAAATATTAAAAATATTTTTGTTATATTAATTATGTAATTCTTAATGTTTATTATAACGCGTGTTTAACACGCGACAAAATTAGTTGTGGAAAAATATACTAAAACGTAAGCTCAAAAGTTATTAATTTATATGAATGATAGCGCAATAATCAAATTCATTATAAATATATTGTTATAAAATTAAATTTTTTATGAGAGCGAATTTATTAATATTAATTTTTATAAATGGCTATTGGGACTCTTTACTTTAAATTGATTTCAATTGAGAGATATCGTATCGAGTCTCCTATTTGTCACGTAATTGCACTTTTTAGTGTTCGACGACATGCGGTCGTGGAACTCGAAATCGAACGGTGACTTGCATAACGCCCGGAGAATCCTGCTCATTAGCCAGTAAGCCGGAATCCCAAAAAGCGTGCGAGATTACAGCTTGTAATGAAGCAACAGACGTGGGACATCATGCACCCTGGCTATACTCAGAATGGTCTTCTAAAGTATAAAACGCATTATTAAATTAATTTCACTAATTACATGAGCAAATAATGAATATTAAATTAAAGAGAGTACCTTTGTTAAAAAATTATGAATTCTGCATTAGATTTTTAAGAACATTTCACATCCGATATATTTTAACTTCAAGCATAATTGAATTTTATTTTACATTTCTGCACTTTGAAATAAATGAAGAAATAAATACATTCATTCGGAATATGCAGCATATAGCATTTGTCGCTGTTGCAGTGTTCCGCGGAATGCGGAAATGGTTTGAAAATCAGACGAGTGGCATGCGCTGACGGTAGCGAATTATTTTGCAATCCCAAAGAGAGACCGGACACGGAGATGCATTGCTTTGAACGAGGAACGAACTGCGATCGAGCCAAGTGGTTCGCCGGCCCATGGACTTCCGTTAGTACAAGATGACTCAGAAAATAAAACGCTCGCTTCGTGGCAACACGTAATGCTAAAGTGATCACCGTAGATGACATTAATTTTTTAAACGAATCTAATTTTCATTTCAAAATGCATGATTTTAATTACATATAGAAACAATTGCACATAATTTTTATATTATAATTTTATTCTTTTAGATGATTTAATATAAGAATAGAAGCAATATTTTTTTCTTACTAAACAATTCTTTATCTTTATTCTAATTATTATATAACATAATTTTATAATCAATATATAGCAATATATGTATATAATCTCTTACATTAATTTTTTCTTATGCTTTTAGTGTTCTGTCTCGTGCGGTATCGGCATGCAACATCGAGATATCGCTTGCATAGTTAGAACAAATGATGAGTTTGTCGTATTATCCACGAAAAATTGTAGTGATCCGAAGCCAATGACCAAACAAGTTTGCAGAGTTTCGGCATGTTCGTCGGAATGGTTCACCTCGAATTGGTCGACGGTAAAATATTTAAATTATATTTCAAGATTTTTTCATTAAAAAAATTGTTTTTCTTAAGAATTTTAGTTTAGGAAATGATTAACGTATGCTTGTATCTTCTCTTTAGTGTTCAGCAACATGCGGGATCGGAGTACAAACACGACATGTACGATGCATCGTCGAGGGCATTAGTAGCACTAATTGTTCAGAAATTAATAAACCAAACATGGAACAACGATGTAACTTGGAGCCGTGTAAAAAGGAGCTGCCAGTAGCGAGCAAACCACCGAAAAGTAAGAAAACTCACGCTATATCTTTCCAATTTCGATTCTTTTTAATTTTATTAATTATTATTAATAATTACTATAATAATTTTAGCAAACATTATTTAATGATAAATCAATATAATAATAGTGAGATATTATCACTTGTTAATAATAAGTTTAAGATATGCTTGATATATATATATATATTTCAATATTACATTTCAGAAGTGCACGAACCGTCCGAGTGCGTTGACAAGTATCCGAATTGCGACTTAGTAGTAAAGAACGGTTTGTGCCGAATTAAATATTACAAGCACTCATGTTGCCAATGTCGCCAGTAGGCAGCAATTTTGCGCCGTTTATTCAAAATTTTATAAATACGAAATTAGTGTTCATGAATAAAATATAAATATCATGTCACACAGGCAAATTATGCCGAGCGTAAGACTGCTACAGAAAGACGATTTCTTATGTATAGTTTTACTAATGCGCGAATTCGTATTACGCGTTTTCTTATGTAGTCGTGCTTTCTTTTGCCATAAGAGTAATTCTCATAGAATGCAACATTTTTTTTATTTCAAAGAAAGTTTCAAAGAAATCGACGAATTTAGAACGCGTTTATTTTTTTGTTTTAATTTTTCATTTTAATTCTACGAATTTTCAAACTTTTGGAAAATATTGAAACTAAGTATGCTCTGCTGATTGAAACATAAATAAATGAAACAATGAAACAATGAAATAAAATAATAAAATATAGATTCAGAAAAAAATAGAAAAATATCCTAAATTAAAAATGATAAATCTTTTTATTAAACATAGAGAGAGACTTTTTTATGAGAGAAAGCCAAGCCTCGAAAAATTACTTTTGATTTTTCGGAGGATTTTAAATATAGTGAGAATACTTAAATTTTGTATTGTTTGATATTGTCAGTTTTTTGTATGATAATATCTTGCAATGTGTGTGATATGATACGTCCACATGCAGATAAACGTGTACGGATCGTTTACATCGCTTCGTATGCACGTGCGAGATATCTGTGTTATCGTCGCAAACAGGGGATGTAGGGCCGTAATTTTATCGATTCGGAGTGTCTATACATACACACTGTCAGCCCTGACGCTTCTATATGCAGTATCACAAACTTAATTTTTGTGTACTCTTTGTCGAGCGCCACGTTTAACATATTCAAAGTGAAATAACAATGTGATTTCATTATTGAAGACCCGAAATATATTGAAGATTAGAAAAATATAGAAAAATAAGAAAAATAAGGGAACTCCAAATTCGTTTCTCTTTAATATCATATTTAACAGTAAATATATATCTGAATTTTTTTATTTATTTAATATGAAAATTTATATATAATATGTGAATTAGAGAGATTTTTATTACATTTCATTGAAGGTGATGCCATAATTGTGGCTAGAAATTTCAATTCAATAAAGTTTAATTTATTATATAAAAAAATTCTTCTAAATTTAATTAAATATTGTATGTATGCATTAGAGACATCTGCCATATACGGTTTTATTTAAAAAAATTGCATTAAATTAAAAATTATATAAAATTAATATATAGGTATGAAAGAAAGGGTGGAGTATACATGGTAAAAAACATGTTATTCTTCTCTAAATATATCATTATTTTAATTTAATTTATGACATCACCACCAAAAAAGTGTATATGTTTTTAATGCGTTTTTAATTTAGCTCTGATGTGTTTTGAGTGGTGCATGCTATGAAGATAATCCGATTAAAAAGTAATATTTTCGAAGACGAACACTAATTGTAAGTCTCAAATACATCCAATTACATCCGTGGATAACGAGCCTCTCTTTGCATGCACGTTTGCGCAAAACCTGTATGCTCATGGAAATCTCCGAAGCTACTATATCCGCCTCTGCATCGATCGCGTAAAACGAAACAAGTTTCCAGTGAGTCCATATTCCGGAATCAACATGAAACGATGTAAAAGGTGTCGTTCGAGCGCACAGCCTTGTGTTACACAGACCAGAAAATACGTAGGAATAAAAAATCAGCGGTGCTTGTTTCCGAAGAAAAACATTTTATCACAGAAATATAATTGCCTTCTGTGTTGAAATGTAGAATTTCATTAGATGACAATTTAATGTGGCAACGTTATTGCGCCACGCTCGTACTTGAACAAACTCGAGCTCAATCAAGAGGAAAATAAATGTTTTTTATGTAAATAAGTTTGGAAAATACACAGCTTGTTGTATATACATTAAATGGCGAAATAATGTAATAAAGTACTAACGTCACGATATAAAAAATTACGAAAGCATTTCTTCTAACAAAGCGTAAATATTTGTTAATGTTCTCTTTCATTCGTTGTAGCTTCGTGATTCAAACATTGATTTCTTCTTTTAAGAATTAATAGTTTCTTTTTAAACATATTTTTATGTTTATAACTATTTTTATATATAAGTTAAAAAAGTTGCAAAAATGTCTAATTTACGTTAAATGTTGGTAAGATATTCGTTTTCTCGAATTAAAAAAAAATGTATAAACAAATGTTTGATCTCGAAGGAATTACGAATGTTATAACTCTTGCTCTGCATACGTCACTAGGTATCGAATAAATTCATCAGTAAGATAATTAAATATGATAATATATACAATAATATAAATATATACTTATATGTGTAGATTACATGAACTCGTCCTTAGATTTTATATATATATATATATATATATATATATATATATATTGTATATTTCACCACACCGGGAAAATTAGAGTTATTCTCTACATTCTATATCGTCAGCATACTAATTCGATGTTAAACTCGTTTTTAATTGCGTCGTTTTTAATTAGAAACATCTGTTAACGCATTAATATTAAGCTGTCTAGATTAATTAATCCAAACCGTATCATTGATTCTTTTTATCAATTCTGAAGGATTATTTGAATGAATTCTGTATTGAATTGTATTCCTCATATCTCCATCTCGCTCAGATTCCCTATTTTTACCGCAATTACAAATTATTTAAACAAAACTTTTATTTATTCCATTTTTGATTATCAATTTTACATCGGTTTATTTATCTTGGTTACATCAGGTAAGTGCCTTTCATAATTTTTATCTACTTTATTTGATAGTTTGTTTAACATATTTATATATTAACATTTTACAAATTACATTAATATTTATGTTAATTTATTATTAAATTTGTGTAACAAATGGGGAATTTATGCTTATATTTTATTTAAATTAATTGTGCCTATAAATTGTAAAAATATAAAAATTTTTAATTAAAATGCTTGTTTTAGATATACAATTGATTTTATTGTTTTATGTGATTTCATTATCTTTATCGTGATATGGTATATTTTTATTGTTTAAATATATACACTTTTATTATTTCATTGTTACAATTTCTATCTTCTACAAACAGATGTTCCTGAGACTACATAAAGTTCCTTGACGAATATTATCATATTTCATTATTATTATTACATTTGAAATCTAAATTTTTCTAAAATTTTTTTCTTTTTTAAATTTAAGAACGAAAACTTGCTCAATTGAACATTAATTGCAAGTGTCCGTGTTTTTCTCGAATAATTGGAATAAAACTGATGTCACTTGCGAGTATAATGGTATGATAAATATTTACCATTTCTTACGGACATTATCAAATAATGCAATTTTACATGCAAAATGATAGATTATGGGAAATGCTTTGGAGAAATGCTTTAATGCGAATATGCAAATGCGACGATAGTCTATTATTAATTATGGCAGTAATTATTTGAATGTTAAATGTCAATATGTCTGTGATATAATGTCTTATATACATATATTCAACGAAATCAACATTATTAACTTTACTTTGCTTGCAGAACAATTGCAAAAATTGTATCTATTTCTCATTGTCAGTGGAAAAAACTATCACAAATATCTGTTTAAATATTTTATAAGTATTTAAGTGCTGTATTTATAAAATTCTAAATGTGTTCTCTTTAGAAAAACAAGCAAATGTATAATACTTATATTTATATCGTATTAAGATACAGATATATCAAACAGGCAAAAAAAATATTGTACAGGAATTTTGTAAAGAAAAACCTTTTGGAAAAATATTTTATCTATTTATATACAATTTATTAATTGATTGATTTGTATAAATAATAATTGTATATTTGATTGCAGCACTTTTTTGTCTGTGTGAATTATAATGTGAATTTATAGAAGTCATTTTCAACGATAAACAAACTTATTTTTGAGATAGTACACTGTACAATATCACTATCATTAAGAAGTACGAAGATGAATATAGTAAATCACTCGTGCTCCTTTATCGAGACAAAACGTCCACTAATGTTCATAAATATATGTTCTGTGTCATCGCAAACACATATGTCTCAATCGCGTAGCTCGACTATCGCGAGCGTGATCTCGTCAAAAACTGTGATACAATCGTAGTCTGCAGGAATGAAGTACAACGAATAATAACGAACAATTAATGATCATTACAATAAACCAGCTGCTCCAAGAAAAAAAAATTGTCTGGCGCTTTGTAAAATTGCTTTCGTGTCACTTGTAGTGCAATAAAAGCCTTAATCGAAAACAGTATTATACGACAATCATATTGCAATTGTTGTATAATTAATCGTGACAAAATTATACATTATTAAGAATATAATTGTTATGATATTACAAACGAGAATGATTGGAATTATAAATGGAAAATTTAAAATTTGACTACTTCATAATCTGCAAATGTATTATGTCAAGAATCTTTTTGCTCGTATATATAGTAACATTTAAAAAATGTCTCTTTGTATAAAAAGATCTATCCTCAATTATACATAGAAAATCGGAACTATTTATTATATGTTCGAAGTATTTAATTTACATGGATAGAACACATATGACTAACAAGAATAAAACGATTTTTTGTTTATTTTTTAACAATTTATTCAATGCTTTATAATCACGCAAATTTCTATGCTTAATTAATTAGTTAATTAGTTCTCGTGTATTTTATAATGTTATATTCTTGCAGCATATAAATAATCATCGATTTCCCGCAATTTTCTCTTGCAGTGTCACTATAATGTACGTGCGATTTTACTAAAGATCGTTATTCTGCGCATGAATCTTATACGGCATATCTTCTAAAATAATATAGGATGCAAGTTTCTATTTAAGATAAATGGGCGACGTGAAACGAATCATAAGAGAATCAGACTGATGAAGAATGAATATGCATTATACTTATGTATTACACAGATTGTAATTACGTACATGTTTGACGTTCGAGCGCTCTTGAATATTAGATATTAATAAAGCGGAAATCAACAAACACCTGTTTTTGCTCAAGGAAATTTGGAGAAGCAATGAATTAGATGGATATTAACAGATTGGTTGGAAATAAATATCATCCTCTCTTTTCTCCTTGTCATTTATATTTAAAAAAACCATACAGACTATATATTGGGCATAATCGAATAAAAATATATGTTATTATATGTTTTTTTCACAAATCAATATTTTTAATTTAATATATTAATTGCTTCTTTGACATATTAGCATTTATTTTATATTAAATGAGATAATATATAATTTCCTTTTAGCAATATACTCATCGGCAATATAATCAAATATTTTTACATAAATTAATTAATTGGAATAATCATATGCAAAATGAAGTGAGTTGCTCTCGAAATAAATTTTTTAGTATTTTTAGTATCTCATTCGTGTAAAATTAGATGAACACATGAGAAGTGAACACATGAGAAGGAAAAGGAAATAGTATATTAATTTAATAAATTAAATTTTTTTATTAGTTAAAAATAAATTTTTATTTTTTTATAGCCAAATATAGATATATGTTTGATATTATTTTATTTAATCCATCGTATGTAGAATATGAGGAAGTGTTAAAAAATAATAAATATGTATTTAAGACTTGGGCAGATGGCAAAATGGTAGGCAAGTTATGGAAGAGATATTTACTATATAATTCCCAAAATCTTATCAGATGTAGGCTTATTTTATTTAGTCGTTATTAAAGAAAATGATTCTGAATACATCCTAAGTGTTTTCCAAAAATTAGGTATGTCTAGTAAAATTATTCGTGAAAGGAAAATAAGAGAAAAGTACTTATATGTATATTTTACGTTTTTGTAAAGTTATAGATAAAAAATTGAATATAAATTAACATTACGTTAGAGATATAACATCTACAGATATTAGGACACAGTGCATTTTATATTTTTAATATTGTACAGGAAATAGATTATGTTTCATCGATGATATAAGTTTACATATCCAATTAATTTCTGTGGTGATAAATTAAGTGCACTGAAAATGCAACGCATTGTATCTCTTATAATATAGACGTATATCATATAATATTATTTAGATTTATAAAATATTATGTATCATAAAAAATTGCAATTAATATAATTATATTTCTTAGAAATATATAATATTCTTATCCATATATTTTTGTTCCATCTTTAGGATCTTTTAAGAATTAACAGATGAGTGATTGTGTGTAGGTAAAAAAAAAAATCGTTACTAGATAGCTCTTTTTTACAAATATCATAATTTATTTTAAAGTTCTTAAAATCTACATTGCTGATATCGAGATATGCAATAAATATCATATCGTATCGGTAGTCAGTATTATGAGCACTACCGCCATCCGAGAAATTTTAGAAGATGGAACGACAGTTTGCTCTGTTGATAATTTTAGAACAGCTCAAATTAAACATACAATTTTGATAACAATGAATGTGAAGTACTAACACTCTAGACTCTAGACCATAATTATTGTCTGTTTATACATACATATATATAAATAATACTTATTAAATATATTGTTTCTACACATTTTTTAGTGTAAAACATAAATTGATTTATATTCAAAATAGCTTATTAGTATTAGTCTACTATATTTTTTTAACATATAAATAGAAACAAAATAAAACAAAAATGATTTATTATTGTTATAATAATTATTAAATTAAATTATTATTATTATTTATTTTTATTTATATACACACTGAAAAAAATGTATTGAATTCGAAAAATATTTATTTCAATACTGCCTAAATAAATCATTTATTTAAAACTAGTAATATTGATTTGATCTGAAAAATATTTATTTGTTTTAAATAATTTATAAGGCAGTGTTAAAATAAAAATATTTATTATTTTGATAATTTTTTTCGGTGCATATATTAAATATAACGCGAATTAAATATTCACATATCAACGAAAAAATAAGTTAAAAGAAGAGCCTTTTACCTTCTAATTATAAGCTTTATTATAATTTATAAAGAAATAGTATGTGAGGAATGGATTTATAAAAAAGTATGGTAGTGTTATTTAAAATTATACATACGTACATTAAATATACTTATAATTTGTTTATTATCATAATAATTATGTACAAAGTTGTGGTAAAATTCGCATATTTAAATATATATACAACACATATATGTATAGCCAACATAATTATCAAACATTCTTGCTTGTCATTTTCTTGAAGTAAAAGTGTTTATCTTTTGTATAAAATTTGACATTATCTTTTGTATAAAATCTGACATTCTGTATAAAATTTAAAATTAATACAGGAAGGCAAAACAGAAATTCTTGACAGGCACTCTCATACATACACTGTGAAAAATTATTTTAACACGTCAATATACTTGCGTGTACTGTAAAATGTTTATAAAACGCTTGTTTGTTAATCGACATATGCGACTAGCGCTTATTTGTATCGGAAGATTAACTTTTATATTTATAAGTTGTATCGAAATCGAAATTTACGCATATTTTAATCTATCAAATTATATTTTGAAAATTATACCATATAAGAATTTAAAAAAAATGTTATATCAAATTACAAATACTTATATCGTTCTCTAATATTTGATATTAAAAGTTTATCCTATTTTTTGAGCTACACAAAAAAAATACGTGTTGCGCAGTTGAAGATAGATATTACTATGTTAGAGTTATAAATATATATTATAGATAACAATATATTAAATATTACAAAATATTATGCTTATTTAAAAATAGAATAATTTAAAACTAACTCAAATCAACTAATAATACGGGTTTTTAAATATTATTTCTATTATTTTTAAATCTATACTTTATAATTATAATGCGATTTATATTATACACAAAATACGGAAGAATTACGATTTGTTGTAATTAAATGTATTGATGACAACTTTGTTGCTGTTAACATTTATTAATAACAACAAAGTGACCTCGTACATCTTTATATAATCGCTGCATAATTCACCACAATTTATTAGGTAATTCTAGTGATATCTTTAATTTCATGATATGATAATCGAGCAATGTGTGCAATGTTTCCTTAGACTTTAATATTTTCAGTGCCATTGAATAATATTACATTTGCTCTTTTCTATACATAGATACTCGTATGTTACGAAATGACTAGTCTCTCACTCGTGAATGAGAAATACGTCGTAAGAATAATCTTTTTGGTTTTTTTAGTTTACTCTATATATCTATAGTCAGAATGTAATACTCTTTCGATAAAAGATAAAAAAAAAATAAAATAATTATTTTTGCTGATTACTCTATTACGACGTTCTCTAGTCACGGGAATAGACAGGAACTTTCTAAAAAATATGTTTACAGGAGTGTTTATTAGCATATCACATATTTGTTATACTCAGCAAATAAAATAAAAGGATATTTAAATGTATCAAAATATTAACGCGAATATATTTATAAATATGTTCTAAATATGTAATGGTATGATTTCTATTATATACGCGTATAATTGTAGTGTTATATGTAAAATTTTCCATGGATGATAAGGATTTTTGGTCCCTTTATAGAGCACAACAAAATTATCCGCGCGTAAAAAAATAAATGCGAGAAAAAAATAAAATCCACCAATCTCTGTTTAATGAATTTCTTGAATGTTAATTATTCTAAATCTCTCACGATTTGCTTGAATTATCCGATTATGCTTCTATTTATTAAACCTGTTTATTATTTTTATTTAACTCATCAGCACTAGTGATAAACTGAACAATAGTGAAATAGACTAGACAATAGTCCAAGCTTAAAAATATGCCCATTTTGTTTACATTTCCATAAGTGGCAGTATAATAATAGGCACACACATTAATTCTGTCTATTGTGACATTTTTTTAGTTTTCCTTAATTTTTGTTTGTCTTAATGAATACAAAATTTCTTCTACACATTATAAAAATATAAAAATTTACCATGTATTCTATTTCATCGAGAAATACCTAATCTTTTCAAGATGGCACCAACTCACCAGATGTTTAACATACATTCGTGAAAATAATAGATCGCGTGTCTTCCTATTCACTTTTTCGTACCTGTCTCCGTATCTACATTGATCGAAATCACTCCGTTAAGCTCGTCCTGGATTTCTCTCAAACTCTTGCCTTTCGTTTCCGGCAATAGGAGTACTGCGAAGAGGATACTTAATACACAGAATGCGCCGAACATCCAGAAGGTCGCATAGTTGCCGAACGCAGTCTCCATATCTTTGGAGAACTTTGTTATGAGAAAAGCCAGGAACCAGCAGACAGAGACTGTTATACCAGAGGCCTTGGCCTTGACATTCGAGGCAAACATCTCACCCATCACGGCCCAAGGAAGCGGACCCCAACCCACGCTATAAGTAGAGATGAAGATGACGAGCGAGACTACCGGCAGCCAGGATATCTGCGCCACCACATCATCCGCGTGCTGCACTTCTTTCAGATAGAAATACAAACCCAAAGCACCCTGCAATACAAATAGATTACGTGATAAAATGGAAAATTTGTGAGATAAAAAATTCAATGCTACAAAACATTTGATATTTAGGACAATTCTAATCTATGACGATTTATCATTTGAAAGCTTTTGTGGCAATTTTTATATCATTAAAATTTCAGGCCCTAAATCCTTTTCTTTAACAACAACAATAAAAAAGATTATATCGGATTATACAAATTTTTAAAATATAAAAAATATTTTTTATATAATATTTTATAATTTTTTTTTTTTTTTTTTCAGAGAACCAGAGCTGTCACGGATTAAGCCTCTATTGTTTCATTGTGAGTATGCATCATCTTTTTTCTGTCGCAAATTTGTATCATTTTATGTAATCGCACATACGCGGTTGTATGCGGAGTCCCCGCTCTGCGTATGCAGTAAATTGCATCCGATGTAATAATGATCGCTGCATTCCTACGGCATGTGTATATCGGCATGCATAATAGTGCTTGACCTTTCTCACGTTTTGCGGGTATTGTGCATTCCGCGATGCACGTACTTGTTGCATATCCTGCATCGGACATTTCCGAGTGTGCCAGACCTTGCCTCGCGTTTATCTTTATTTAATTTGCATAAGAGGATCGCACAAATCGCAAGTAATAATTTCATAAGTCGTGACTCGATCCCTCACATCAGATAATTAAATCATTCGCCTCGTTCTCGAAGATGCATTTTACACGTGATAAAATAAAGGTTATTAAATTGCTAATTTTTGTAGCATAATTATAGCAATAAACGCATTTATGCATGCCGACCATGAACACACACTGCAATGGAATGTGTTTAATGATCTGATGCATATAATCTACTAAATGTGGCATGAAAATGAATCGGTGTGTGATAATTTCCGCATGAGTTGCAGCTTCAAAAATTCTATCAATAATTGTTAAAATTACTTGTGGAAAATGTAGGTTGCTTAGTATAAAATTTTAAAATAAAAACGTTATAAAATTTTTAGAATTTTAATAATTATTAGTAATTTTAATTTATTTGGCACCATAATGCTAACAATAAGTCCATTATCGCAAATATTTTTGCAGCTTTCTCGCAATTTTGATTGGTTGTCGAGATTAACATTATGTGTTATATTAATAGCATTAAACATATCTTATCATAAAGATTAATAGTTTGACAGTTGTAAAATAAAAAATAAAAATAATAGCAATATAACGCGCGCGAAGCGTGTACTTGTGTTGTCCGGTACATAACAAAAATTCAGAAATTAAAATTACATACATAATTAAAATTTGGCAAATTAATATTATGTACGTAATATACATTCGAGAATTAAAATTAAAATATAAAATATATAATAAAATATAAAATTAGAATATAACTGTAATACAATATACTATAGCATCAATTATACGTGCATTATTTTTTAATAAAAATTATTGAATTGTATTCCTCAAATTAGTATTCTATCAGTTTACTATATATTAACATCTATATAATATAATATAATTACACACGCAAAGCAAAGTTATATTATTCTTTGATAATAAAATCTCAAAAATTGCGACGCATGCATGCACAAATTATTATTGCAATCAGTGTATAAAAAATATATTAATTAATTATGCAACGCATAAAAATTCAATATTTAAATCTTTAACAGAAAATACGAACAAAGAAATAAAATTTTCTACAAGAATCTTTTGTGATCAAATATGTTTTACGCTTTTATTAGACTCGCGCGAAACTCTATATCCCACACATCTATCACGCTGCGCGGTTCGCGCGAGACTGATTTTCGTGTGAGGTATCGCGAGCGCGAAGCCGAGATCACGTGACCAGTGGACTGGTCATGTGACCACTGGTCATGTGACCATCGGTCCCGCGCTTACGATACCTCGTACGAGAATTAGTTTTGCGCGAGTCGCGCAGCGTGACGGATGTATGAAGTTTCGTGCAAATCTAATGAAAGCGTTGATATTTGATCACAAAAGATTCTTGTAGAAAATTTTATTTCTTCGTTCATATTTTCCGTTAAAAATTTAAATATTGAATTTTTATGCGTTGCATAATTAATTATTATATTTTTATGCATTGATTGTAATAATAATTTTTACATGGATGCATTGCAATAATAATTTTATACATGCGTTGCAATTTTGAAGGTTTTATTATCAAAGATGAATAATATAACTTTGCTTTACGTACGTAATTAAATTCAATTTACTAAACAAAATGAGAAAAAATTTTTGTTAAACAAGATACATACATACAAAATAGTTTTCAAACAATATGATAGAAATTCGGCAAATTAAAATTATGTACATAATAGAAATTCAATAAATTAAAATTATGATCATAGCATCAAGCAACTGTCATTGCAAAGATTAACAATTTGACAGTTGTAAATTAAACAATGGAAATTATATCAAAGAAATAATGCGCGCTTATGTCGTCTAGTAAAATTAAAATATTTATGAAAAAAATTGATAAATGATAATATAATATACAATATGTATACTAGGAATAGTTTAATCTGGATTAATTCTTATATTTTAATTATATATAAAAACTTTAAAAAAATAATCGTGTACTTTTTGAAAAGTTTAAATTTTGTGTTTGTACTATTTATTAGTCTTTTAAAACTTTTAATTTTAATAAGCTGTAATGCGTGTCTTCTTTAACTAATTGTTTAAGTTCATTATTATTCTGTCGCAATGCGACGAAATTACAGATCGTTGCATAAAACAATAAGCAAACTTTACGGGAAACCGCGTTGCGTCTATCCCTTAATGAATACGCTAATTTTGAACACAATTTTTAATGCAAATTTTTGAACAGATTTGTTGTTTATTAAGTAAAGAAAACAATAGTTTCACGCGACGACAAGATATGTATATAAAACACTAAATCGTCTTTTCTCGATATATAATATATTATCAATATTCCGTAATATATCACTTTATATTTTCATATAATTAAGTTAAAATTAATTTTAAAAATGTATTAATAATTTTAAAATTAATTTAATTTTAAATTAAAATTAATTAAAATTTGTAACTTATTTTAAATTAATTTTTTTATAAGTGCGTTTCCAAATTCGTGATGAAGATAGATAAGTAGTTTAGCATTAAACTTGAAAATAGAAGAAATTACTTACCAAACTGACTGTTTCTCCAATGCCGGAGAAAACGAGAAGCACTCTTCTTCCCCATCTGTCGACGACGAAGGGTGTTACGCATGATGCTAAGCATTGCACGACACCGATGATAATTGGTGAAAATTCTGTTGGGACAAAACTTCCGGCGGCAATAAAGATATTTTGCATATAGAATAGCACGACATTGATACCAGTAAGCTGTTGGAAGGAAGCCAAGGCACAAGTGTAGATAAGGGCCTTTAAATTAGCTTTCACCTTGAACAGATCCAAGATGCTGACTTGATTTCTAAAAGCCTCATCGATTATCTCCTGAAAAATTGGAAGCAAAGTCAAATGTATTAAACAGCGAAAATTAGAATGAGAGAAATTAAATCGAATATTTTGCACAGGAGATTCTGAATTGGATGTTTAAAAAAGAAAATTGTTATTAACACATCCAAATGATATTAAAGCAAAAATAAGTCCAGTTTTCTATTATCCATTTATATCTTGAACTTTAATTCTTTAAAATTTTCCATTTAGTAATGCTAATTAATTTTGTACAACACTTTCAATGTTTGCTATGTTTCTTCATTTAAAATCTAGCACTTGCGAATGAAAGAACACTCAACAATTTCGGACACTGCATTATAAAAAAAATGTCGATTGGAGAAGCCAGTCATAATAATTATCTCTCACAGCTGTATAACATTATCATTTAGGATCAAGGAACGACCTTACAGCCGCGACCTCGTTTGCTTAACGTGACCTGACGAACAATATATTCAGATATACGTCCAACACTGCTACTACTTATCGTGTAAATAGCAGTTACCTTTTTACTTAAGAGTGTCTTCTCGACAAGACATAAATAATAATTAGTAGACTAAAATCACACAGCATATTGCCAAGTTATAAATTACATATAATTATATATTGTGCAATTTTATTCTACTAATTATTATTATGTAAATTATAATTACTACATATATATATGTATATATATTAAATTTAATTTCTGTTTTTCTAATAGCAGAAAACAATTAATGAGAAATCAGTTGGGATTAATTTTTGATTTTCGAAGATAATCAGAATTTGTGATGTTTTAAAGCAAATTTCATTAAATCTGTTCTAATTTACCTGCATTTCATCAGCTTCTTTCTGAACAGCTACTTCGGTTTTACTTCGGAGTTTTGCCAGAGACGCGATCGCTTCATTTCTACAGCCCTTACTAAGAAGATAATACGGAGACTCCGGCATTACTGCGAAACAGACGAAGAAGAGTACTGGCAGAATGGCACAGACAATCCACAAGGTTGTATAGCTAACGAAAGGTCCAATAGCGTAAGAATACAATAATCCAACTGTAATAAAAAGCTGAAGAAAAGAGCCCAATGTTCCTCTGATGGAAGTCTGAAAAGATAAATAATATTTAGTACAATAGCCAATTGCGAAAGGATAGCAACTTTATTCTAATTCAGTTTTTAACACTTTAAGAAATTAAATATTGCAAGTACAATGGCTTACAACAAAATTAATTTATACAAATATATATAAACTTCTATCTAATCATAATTTTTTAAAGATGAAAATTTTTTTAAAGAAGAAAATTAAATGAAGAATTTATTACAATAAATCCCAGGGAATCTTTACATATAAATTGATATTGTGTCACTGTGTTATACAATGTGTGTTATGAAAAATAAATTTACCTCAGCGATTTCACCACAATACATAGGTATAATCGTGAATGCAATACCCAGAGCGATTCCAAATATTATTCGCGCGATATAAAGCTGAGCAATATGAACTGCGGTAGCAACTAATGCCCATCCAATTAAAAACGGTACGACGGAAAATAGTGCTGTTTTTTTGCGACCCCATCTGCAAAAAGATTAATAGAATAGTTTTTATTTTCTCATATATTAAAAATTATTATTTTTGCAAAAAAATAGAAGCATCTTTGTTGTTTCGACTTGCTGTCTCGAAAATTGGATAGCACAATTAAATCATTAGACTCATATATAGGTATATATGCTTATACTTATTTATACCTTTCTCCGAGGTGACTTGCTATGAAACTACCGGGGATTGCACCAAGGGCCACTAGAGATCCTATCCACGAACTTTCGTCGGGGGTGATCGGTGATCCCAAAGGTCCACCATCTTTCTCCAAATTAGGAAGAACTGGACTAGTCCATGACAACATCGCACCAGTCGCCACAATACATAGATTACCTGTAATCATATTAAATACCAAGATGCATTTCTAGGTAAATTTAGAAATATGTATATCGTGATAAAATAATTTCATTAAATATTTATTGCTGTAATCAATCATTAATATCTCTTCAATCATCCGTTATAAATCCAATAATTGAACACATTATTAACTTACAATTTTCATATCTAAAGCCTACCTATATACTGATCGCTATTTTATCGCTCCGATGGGATTTGATAAAATATCTACGACATCCTATCCTTAAATTTAAATTTATATAAGCTTAGAGAGGGAGATAAATATACGTCAAAGATAATTTATACACAGCCTATTCATGCGTCAGCGGTTCTCTAACAAGGTTCTCTCATATTTATACATTTAATACATACTTTTAACAGAGAAATAATATTAAAATATTTTAATCTGCTTTTTTATTTAAGGAATTAATTTTTTGTCAAAAAGCTAGCGACATGTTTCTTTATCATGTAATACATTCTTTCATAACAGTCTGCATTTTTTTATTGTAAAAAAATTGAATTTTTAAATTATTGAAATAGTTATGCATTGAAACTTTGATTTGAAAATGTTTTCATTTAAGAGAGTATATATCTGTAAAAACTCTCATCAAAGTATTTCTTATCGCTTTCGAGAAATTGACTTTTCGAAAGTGTTTCCACGCGCGTCTCGAAATTAGCAATTCAATTATGTCAGTGGTCCGTATGCTTGCCGGCAATGCTTTGCCGACGAAATGCGAATCAAAGCGCGCTTTGAAGGCTTTTCCGACGATAGAGCGGTTTTACATAATTGTATTTCAAGCAATACGGTGAAATTCAAGGCTTGCCGCGCTTCCGGTTTTACGGAGCAGTGCACGTACATACAAACCTTACAAAGTATAAAAAACCACAGAGCAGTAAAAGATATTCAACGGCAAACTGTCATGTGTACGCTATATTTTGCATTTCAGATTTTAAATAATTTACATGAAATAATTTCTATATGATTTTTTTATGTTTGCACGTTTTTAGGATGTATTAAATTTTTTATATAGATAATACAATAAGTAATTTTTGAATATAATATTTGTATACTACAAGAGAGAATTTAACTTAATATTATAGCTATTATATAATATTACAATATGTTATATAAAATATTTCATGTTATCAAATAGTATTTCTATATAATAGTATTCTTATATTTTATATCTTGAATGCGTAAGAGGAATAATAGCTTTTACGTATAAACTCATAGAATGAAATGCACTCATGTGTCAGTTTCATACATATAGAAAAACCGGCAATGCGGTTATTTTAACGCGATAATATGCTCGTCAGAATTATCGCATTTACGTAATCTACGATGAATTGTTATGCGATTACACTGTCAACGGTACGTTGCATCATCAAACAAACGAGACAGTAAGGTATGAGTCGTAAAAATCACACTATAATATCGAAAAGATACAATCTCGGTATTGTCAGATATTGTAATTATCATTAATAGCACGGAGTTGCATCCCGCGAAATTCCTGAGAAAAATAACTTCCAATCTTCATACCAAACTTGCTGAACAACTAAGGAATAACACGAATTAGATATGCAAATATGCAGCTTTAAGTTTATCATGCGAATTAGATTAACGTCGTTTTTACTTGCCTTCATTTTACAATTAGAGAGTGTCCCAGATTTCCATAAATTATACGTAACAGTTAATGAACACGGAATTATTCAAACAGTTCTGAAAAGTATACTACAGGCAATCAGAACAATATGCTGAATTATGAAAAAAAATTGCAAAAAGAAACAACGATATTATATTATTGTGATCAAAATTTGTGTTGATAATATAATTTGATTAACTTGTTTCACGTATGATCGTACGCTAAATTATTAATTATTATATTTTCTCGCGAATAAATATTTTGTTGCAAATCAAAAACTGGAAGCAAACGAACGCATTATTTTAAATGACCATTAAGTGAATCACATGTTGCTAACATAATTTGTTATTGTCAAATTTTAAAAACTAGTATAAAACAAGTACACGATTAATCGCTTACGCGTTATAGATATAAACGGTCTTTGTGACAAATAAGATAAACGAACTTTTTACTTGTAAAGCCTAATCAGTATTGTGTGGGTTTATCTTTACGTTTCCTTTCGCCAACTTTCTGTACGAGCTAACATGTCACATTACTAATTCCATTGCGATTGGTAAATTATTTTCCGATTGACCCCATGCATGTGTGCTAGATGATAACGATTATCTATCGCATTTATTGCAACGCAATAAATCCGTGTCAAGTATCGTCAAATACAAAAAATCAGATAGATATGCGTTCAGGTTCAAAGCAATATAAATGAACATATATGATGAGGTAAAATGAAAAAGAGAAAAGAGAAAAAAAAGAAAGTCACATTTGATATGAAAGATCATATTATAGTGACCTCTTTTCAATCCCATTTTTTTGATCTTACAACTCTTGCGTTTGATAAGTATTTTTCCACACATTTGATATCATTAGGTCATCATACTATATATCTCCTAAACGATTCACAATTTTTCTCTTACTATTTGACAAATCATGATACTATTTATTCTTCTTATATAATTTTCTCTTTAATTATGGAATTAAATATACTAACAATTCAATTTTACAAAAACAGAAAAACGAAAATTTAAACATCAAATATTTAGAGTGTAGTTACACGTTTTTAAAATTTACAGCAAATATATATAATGGATTACCATATGTATTATATATGTTATGTATATACATATATATACATACATTATACATGTATATATGCATATACATGTAGAATGAATATATGTTTTATTTTACATTTATAATATTTTACCATCGATATTAAATGACATTCTCTATCGGAATTTTTCTGTCGAGATAAGCAATCTGCCTTATGCATAATTTTTTGTCACAGTCTCAAGCAAAGATTCTTGACCTTTATTACATGACTGAGAAAAACGCTGATTATCTTTAAAGAAGTCATCATAATCACGCGAGACTTCCAAAATAAAAACGTTGATATCAAAAGAGGCGCGTCGTTGAAGATTCTAGGATAGGACTTTGTCCCTAAAAGAGATAGTTGATGCTGCATTAAATAGCCAAAGTTGGAAATGACGATGACCTGTCATTGAAATAGATAATCTGTCTTAATATTCAATTTTATTTGTCGACTTATTTAAAGCTACGTACGATCATATACTTGCATACTGTGTTTTTTTGTTGCGAAATGTACATGATGAAAATCCGCCCCTTTGCATTTACACGCGTTACATGGCATATGTCAGATAATTACACGACAAAAGTTATATCAGAACGAACGACAAAATGGCCCATGTACATGATAAACGCGATAAGAAGTAAAACGTAATCAAATTTTCCTGTAAAGTGCTCATCATGAATTTAAAAGTCGAGAGTCGACTAACTGTCAAAAATGATGAGTTGCAGTTTACACAATTTTACATATTTATTATACTCTTTTTTAATAATAATTGAATAATAATTAATTAATTGAATTATAATATTATATATTATATATTTATTTATATATTTTATATTACATTTTATTTTAATTAAATTAAAATGTTATATATTATTACAATAATTTCTTTCAATTTACGTTTTTAGATACATATCTATATACAAAAAAAAATCTAGGAAAATGTATTGTGTAATCTTAGCAGCGATAAAATAATATCGGAAAATCATCAATCACGCCGGTGAGTAAAGCATAGCCATAAAAATCTTTTTTATCATTATGATAAGGTAATCGCTAGCTTATAGCCGGCGGAAAGTATAGCTACTTTCATTTTCCGATACAAAACGAGCAATTTTTCACTTTTGAAATAATATCGCATAACGGATAATGACAATAATGCGCGCATGGATTCGAGGAAAAACAATCATAATATTTCGCGGATTATTTGCGTGCGATTAATATTCAATAGCAATAGAAGAGAGCAGTTGTGCATATTTTCATATATAATTGTAAATATGTAAATATTGTTATCGTTATTTCGTTGCGCAAAATCGTTCGCATTGACGTTATATGCCAAATCGCGTTAATTTACAAACATTGACGTCCATGCAATGAAACTACTTTTGACAACAGTTGGAACATAATATATGCGTAAAATCACGACGGAATAAAAACGAAAACAACGATAGAACAAGCAATCGATAGCTAATGACGAATACGCAAAAGGCGTTTCTATAGATAACGCAATATTCAAAAAAATATCCCAGTATTGGTTAATAAAACTATATTGCATTATCAATGATAAAATGTAGTTGCAACAATAGTATTATCTGTTATATAGATTGATATGTAAATCGATATTGTAGAATTGTTTTGTTATATATCAATCTTGTCATCAAAGATTGATAAAGATATAATCACGGATAAATATTTTTCTGCGATAGATAAGATCAAAATTTTAAAAATTATTTTAATTACATGAAAGTACACACTAATCGATTCTAACAACATTCCTAGAAAAATAAAAATCTCTTTTATAAATATAAAAGTCTTTCTGTAAATACCGAGCTTATTGTTCCTTAATTCGTGTTGAAGCGAGAAGTTACTCAATTAAATTTACTTATCAATGTGTATTAAAAGATTTTAACAAATTGCATCTGTAGATTGATTACGTAGGCCAGATAAAATTTTGTTTTCCAATTAACTCTAATTTTAAAGAGTGCTTTATGATAATTAAAAGTGTGCTTTATCAAGGAAATTGTATTTAACTTAAATTATATTTTGATAAATTATATTTTAATTTGATAAATAAGATTGGGATATATATATAATATTTGATGCAATGTATTTTATATTTTATGTGTTTACTTTATGCCTCGATTTTTTGTAATACAAGATAAATTTATATATATTTAATAGAAGTAAAATTTTTGGTTGAAATTAATTAGTTTTGTATAAGCTGACAAACTGGTTATGCTAGAATTTTTTCCTATGATGTAAAGTCTCGTAAATAAATAAACATATATATGTTTATTTGCAATCAACCAGATATTCATTCATTATATGTTAACAAATTGTAATAATATGTCGTGTAATATATGCATTCTAATAATTATGGCGTGAAGTAACCATGAAAATATCTGGACTTTGATCACGGAAATTTTGACGAGGACAAGTCGATTTCATGAATATTGACTATGTTTTGTCGTATTGTGGTTTGTCGTCCCAATTCATATATATAACAGAGAAATCTCATCGATTAATCCTCGTATAAATAAATAATTTCAGAATAAAAACGTTCGTTTCCTGCAGTCAAGGATTTTTGCTATTCGTGGATTTTGAACTCTTACGCAAGTCGACATTTTCAGAATCTAATCAGAGCTAATCTGAATTTTTATTTCCAGAAGTGTGTCACTGTTGGAATTTTAGGGATTTCCAGGTTTTGCATTTTATTATATTTCTGTTTACAGTCTCCGATTTTGGCAAAAAACAACATAATAAAAAAAAAGAATCGCATATTGATTTCCGTTGGAGAGAGACAAATCAGGTTTCTTCTAATATATTATACAACCCGACAATCATTATCGCCAGTATTGTGCTTAAATGATTTAAAAATTAGCTAGATAAAAATAAGATAAAAATATGTAAATTCGTCTTAAATAAAATGAAGATGATTTTGTTTTAAATATATCTAGATAAAAAATAAAATTATATATATAACAATTCACATCTCTAAATAATTTCCAGATAATATTATTTTTAAGATCGCTTATATAAACATATTTATACAAAAATTTAAATTATAAAAAGGATGATATAAAAATATATTCATATTTTTATTTATATGTTTTTATCGCTTACTGCTTGTTCTAGGTACTACTCAAGTATTCTTATATGCTATAACTCTAACCCAAATTATCTGAACATTATTCTATGTAGATAATTCAGTAAAAATAACACTTTTTTCATCTAAGCTGCAGATATATATAATAAATAATAATATTTTTATTATCTAATAGTTTTATTATATATACAACAGCAAAAATTGATTATCGCACAATCGAAGGATACGATTCTCTTACGAATTATATTGATCTATTTCCCTTGGGAAAAACGTTCGTCTAATTCAGACTTCGAAGTCTCGTTGACTCGGTCGCGGCAGTTGTACTAATGAGGAAGTAATTTAAGCCGATTGCGATCTCTGTCGGTTAAGATTAAATTCGGTCGAGCACCGGATGCGAATCGTTTAATATTCCCGTCAACCAAATATACGAAGGACTTTACGATGGGCATGAATCGTGGCACGTAACTCGTCGTCGTCCTCCGGTGCGACGTTCTCGAGTGCATTCTCTATGCTAATGCATCAAGTTCTCGCTAATCTCAACTTGATCAACAGGGAATCGCCGAGCCGAATAATTACTTGGGTTTTTCTTTCCTCCTTGCATGACGCGGTTTCGCGCTAATTCAATAGTAAAAATTGATCAGAGTTTCTTTTCCTGCTAAACTGAATCTTTAATTCTATTAATCATTTTCAATATTAAAAGAACAGGATATTTTCAAGAGACGTAATCGAAAAATATCTTCATATATGTTAATATTTGTGACTAACAGATTTGTGTTTCTGCAAACAAATTATTCTTAATTAAGGAAAAACGTAGGATTATTCTATTTCAATGAATATTGTACTTATTGTGAACTTGACATAAAAAATAAATAATTGACGAAGAAAAGTGCACGTGATGAAAATATCAGAGGATTTTGTATTATTATTTGTATTGTTATGACAAATATTTACGTTTGAATGCATTAATTATTCATGTGAATTTGAATGCATCAATTGTTTTACCTGACTTAATATTTTCATTGCTGTTATTTTGACACAGTATTGTTATCTAAGTTTCAAAAAATCTGTGTAATATCATTAGATTTTATTATATAACATGCATTATGTTTAATATAAATAAACATGATTATATAATAAAGCATCTTGTTTCGCTGTCAATGTTTGTTTATTATGTACGTAAATAAATTATTTACTAGATTCTTTAAAAATATATAATTGCGCGCACGGAAAAATATATACTGTATATTAAATTTACATTATATTAAATATTTTAAAACATATTAAATTATATTAAACATTTTTATATAGCAAGCTAAAGAATAATTTTGATAACCACGTCGCGTTGCACGCATGTGCAGTTGCAGTGTACTGTATATACACGTGGTGAGAGCCAGTAGATTATACCCTTTATCATTTAATAACGTCATTCGTACCAAGGGAATAAGTGCATTGTTAAAACATAAATCATACGATCTCGTTATTCAATCTCTTATTTTGTCCAATCTGTAATTATTATTCAATCTATTCATTAAGCCCCGTGTTTTATTACGTTGAAAAATACATCGTTTAATTCTTCTTGAAGGAATTTGAAATAATCTTGCGTAAAAAAATTAAATATCAAATTTAATATTCTCGATGTATTATAACATTGCTGTATAAAAATGATTAAAGTATAATATATATACTGTAAAAAAATTTTTAATCAATTCTTTCTTCAAGGTTTCTCCTTGAGAGCCAAAAATACAGAATGATCAAACAAATCTTGAATAAGAAGCCCGTGTGAAAGATATTCCCTAAAGCGCCATGTCGATCGATCAGGTTGCGTATAACACGATAATTATTTGTTCTAATTATTAATATCAATATATATATCATTGATAAGAACAGAATTCGTCCTATTCTATTTTTAATTAAAAAAACAATTTTAAAAAATAAATACAAAAAGATTATATATATACAATCTAATTTTATGTGAAATTTTGCAAAGTAAATCTCTTAGACTATTATCTGCTAATGAGGAACGTTGCATAATTATAATAATTTTCGTTAGTGCCGGTGGAAAATGCATGATGCTTTTGCATGAGAAGCGTAAAAATGAGAAATAAAATGATAAAATAAATATACACATTTTAATAAATCAATTTATTAAATCTTCGGTATTTAATGAATTAATTTTATTTTATTTTGAAGAAAATTTAGCTCTGGGCAGCATGGACTTACCTGCCGCAGCAGCCAGGAACTGGATGAGCTTGGAACCTTTTTCCGTCATGTTTTCAGGACGATAATTGTCAACGACGCGGAAGGATGTTCTGCTTTTTCCTGCACTTGGCTCCACAGATTCTTTGCCGGGGGTGACAGTGTCAAACACTGCCGAAGAGGAACTCACTGGCACAGAACTGTAAGCATAGTCTTTATACGAGCGCCCCTCTATCTCTTCATTACGAGTAGGAGTCATTTTCTCGATTTCTCGCGCGCCCTCTCTCTCTCTCTCTCTTTTTCTCTATCTCCCTCTTTCTTTTGATCGCTCACTCGCTCGGCTTCCTCTAATCGTTTCCACGTTTCTCTCCCACTCTCTTCTTTTTGTCGCTCTTCGTCAGACGCGAAGATCTCGATCGCGTTGTGACAGTGCGGGATGCAACGACCGACACGACGGTCACGAGTCCTAGACCCTGAAACGAAGCGATGTCAAGGTCGCATGGCTATAGAAAACGATCGCGCAACTTCCCCATCGAAAGGAACAGACCTTCGATTGATGGGAGTTATTTCAAGTTACAGGAGAATAAGAAGAAAAAAAGTATTGTATTGTTTGAAAAGTGTATTTTTACTTGTATTAATGTTAAATTAACTTTAAATAGAAATTTGATAATTATTAATGATGCTTATGAAGAAGAAAGAGTACATTTTATCTTCAAGAGAAGCAGAAAGTAGCTTTAATACTCTCTTTACCAGAACACATTTATTTACTCTTGATTTTTTTTACTGAAAAGGATGATCAGACTTCTTTATAAATATGAGATTTCCAGTATGAGAAAAGGAAAATGAAATCGATAGTTGTGTTTGTATAATATTTTCCGTTTGCAAAGAGGAAAATCTACGTAATTCTACGATAAAAACAAATTAAGTTGTAATTGAGTATAATTTGAATTCACGATCCGCGTAAAATTTTTATAGCAAAAACTGCAAGAATTATACGATAAATGTGTATTCTACATCTCTTTCAACTTTTATATCAATATTTTCTACGTATATATATATATATATATATATATAGAAAGTCATAAATAATTCTGGGCAACTAAGAACTGACGCAGGATGAGAGGTGCCAAATAAACATTTTCCTAAGGTGAGTCTTTCTATTTTAAACGTTTCTGTTTATTTGGCAACTCTCATTCTGCACCGGTTCTTAGTTGCCTAGAATTATAAGTTTTAATATTTTATTGAAAACCTTACATAATTATTTAATTTTATATATATAGACTCACATCGACCAGAAAAATAATTTATCTTGAGATTTTCAAAACATTTTTGACATTGGATCTTCAATTTTTTAAACACGATTGCAAAAATAATTTTAAATAAAAATTCAATGTTTCGGTGCGCGAATAAATTGGCACAATATATCTTTCCAGCGAAGAGTATCACCCTAATCGAAGATGATTTCCCTCCTCTTTCGCCATAATTCTCTCTCCCTAATACGAACCGAAGGAAAATCGATAACGCGCTGTACCAAATGTCGTAATAACGCTAATGCAAGCATAAGCGAGCGAGCGATCGATTAAAGTGCGAGAAGCGAAATTCATCGCGATCAGATATACCAGAGTGGAATATTTTACCAGCGTTTCGTCTCGTGTCATTTCGTCCCGTTTTGATAAACTTATCCGGATGTAAATGTTAATTTGTTACGTAACGCGAATATATATTAATTTATCTATCTTTTTAAGAGCTTACTTCATCTTCTTTTTTCTCTATTGCGAAACGGTGGGAATGCGTTGTAACATTTTCTATTCTACTGATTGAAATATATGGTGCGGAATAATTCGAAGAAGAAATTTTCTGCCTAACTCCACCCACTTACGTCAGGAGAAAAATCAATAAAATCCAGGACGATATTTACTCGTGTCCTGCGATGTCGGCTCGCAACCGATACTGCGTTACGCACATGCGTATTGTGTCTAATTCTCGATTCCGAATCAACAGCTTCGAGATCGCATGAATATAAACTATTATAAACGAACCGAGTTTTTCAATAGAGATATTGTTCAATAGAGATAGAAAAATTTAATTTTACAAAATATGTTTGTTAAATAATATATTAGTGATAAAATGTGATTTTCTAAATTTTAATGCAGTTACGTTACACAAATATTTATATAAAATTGTGAAGAGATTAAAAACAAGGTGTCATTTTGTTAAAAAATCTAAACAAAAATAAATAAAGATAAATAAAGTTCAAAATACATAATTTCTAAGGTAGATGTTATTCTTGCACTATAAAATAAAATAAATACAATCTTTACTGTAACATCATAAATAATTTCTATAATCTACTCGATTAATTAATTATAAAAGACATTTTTATTATTATTTTCATGGAAATAATTAAGATATGAAGCAGAAACTTTATATATTGGTATATGTAAATATAAAACTCAAATTTTCTTAACAATATTTTCTATTAACTTTGTTAAATTTATCTTTATTTCACATAAAAGAATTCATTAAAAAACAATTTTACATGGTTTGAATGGATTGTAATTAAAAGAAATATATTTAGGTTTTATTAGAACAAGTGTTTTTTGCGCACTTTATAAAATGACATTTTTTTAATTAAAAAAGACACGTTTAGTGAATTACAAAGTGTGAATTATAGATAAATAAAGATATAGATAGATAGATCAATAAAATCTCAATGTATTAACAGATGCACTCTTGTTCTAACAAATGAATTCTGGAAAGAAATTTACGAGTTTGATTTATGACGTTCGGCGCAAGTTATATTCTCGCATTATCACTTTCACGGTTGAAATGACACTATTAGAATTAGAACCCCTTCAGAATGAAGAATGAAAAGTATTTTATGCGTATAGAATAATTATTATCGCATCGGCAAAAATTCCGTTTTTTTCACAGCTTATCTCCATTGTAAAACCTTCAAGGGATCGATAATCGCTCCCTGCGTCACACTTTTTTGCAAACGAAAGAAAAAAAACTTGCGTATCACTCATATTCATTGCGTATCAATGATTTAATTACAATCTATCGTTTATCGATAGCATAATCGAATGATCTCACACGGTTTGACAAATCATGGAAAATCCGCGACGAATAATCTAGAGGAAAAAATGGAGGAAATCACTTACTTCTGTCGCACAGGTACTTGATTAAAATGATCCTTTCGCCAAGTAAGAGCTGTATTAATAAGCCCTCGATTAACACCTTATGTAATAAATGAGGTGCGATAGATTATCGGAATGTATCATGCGTATGACCATATTACGTTGATCGTTCGTATCATATCTCGTATCTTTACCGCAGTAGTCCTTGATATAGATAAACAAGTTAATCTTTGTAATGTCGCTTTAAACAACGATTACGTAAATTAGTCATAAAATATTTATCTACCGTCTCACGGATTCTACTAAATGTCAACTATCATAAATTGTAAATAAACATCTTATTGCTTCAGTATAGGTATACACAATCAATTAAGAGTCACGACAATACCAACATTTTCTTTCGTTTTTATTTATTTTTTTATTTTTTATAATTAGATTTAATTTATTTAATTACTTTTTTAGTTTTAATATATTTTTGAAATCTTTTTAATTCAGAAAAAATGTTTTTTTATGAATTCTTTCACAGATAGAATAAAAAAGAATTTAAATCTATATTATCCAATGGTTTGATATAAACATCTGACGTTTATACGTCACCTGCACAATCATTAAGTTTTTATCAGTTTTATCACTCGATCAATTTTATAATACGTGAACGATTTATGTGAAGATTAAAATACATAATTATTGTGCATCGTTATCGTGCAAAGCAAAACACGGAAACGATTTATTTGTCATATTTGCAACAAAATTATTCTCAACCTTCTAAAAAAAGAACACGCGTTTAATTACTCGAAGCCAAACGTTTGTCGTGATTAATCATATCCTGCGGCGAGCTTTTATACAATCCAGCTTTTAATTAATTATTACATACGAGAAAAAAGTACTAAATTAATTGGAATAAGCGAATTAATTAACTCAACGAGATATCGATTGCACATATTTTTCAGCAAGAATTATGTATGAGTTAATTATAGGCAGTTAATTTTAATTAAGATTAATGAAAAAGCAATTATTGTTTATTCTGATATTTTTTACATATAGAAAACAAACATAGCGAAATGTTGAAACTCGCGAATTTCTTCGTTGTTTTCATCTATTTGTAAAAAGTTCATGAGTTAAAAAAATTCTGTCTTTATATCATACTATAGAGCAAAGATTCTGCTTTAAGAATCTATTCTGAAAATTGCTGTGCGATGATTTTTAACGGAGTTATAAACAATTAAAGTAAAAATAACATTTTCTCTTCAATTTGCAATAACTTGATAAAGAAAGATCAAAATTAAAATTTTAGAAAACAATTTTGCAGGAAAAACTTTAGGTTTTAACGTGAAAATGTCAAAAAAAATTTTCAAATCTTGTATATGCGACATGTCTACAAAGTGAGGAGAAAATTCTCCATTTTGTTATATTCGTCGTTTTCTGTATGTAAAAAATATCAGAATTGAAGAAAATGAAAAATAATCTTTCAAAAGTACAGATTTCAAGCTTTAAAACCCTTTTTCAAAATTTAAATTATTTTTCAAAACAAAGTTACACCTATTTAAAATTTGTCTATCTTTTGAGCAATTTTTTTTATCCTTTAATTATTTTGTGGAGTGTATTTGCAAACGAATTGAGTTAAGACGTCTTGGATCATCCATCGCGATTGAAAGCGCCAACTTTCTATTGATACTATTGACAACTGAGCAAATATAATCATTGACGTGTGAGGTATTGCAGAAAAACTTTCAGATAACTATAGTGAAGAGAACTATGACGAAAATTGATCTCATACATCATTAATATCCACGTGATTATGTTTACTTATATAGCGGTAGCATCAACAACAGAAGCTCGGTGTTTCCAATCATCCTTAATAGGATAGCGAATTGTTCAAGCGAGTTCCTAATACAATTTGCGGATCAGTATATAATTTACACCTTGTAATTCCCTTTAATTAGCGGTGCAGCAATTTTTCTCCATTATAGTTCTTATTATAATTTATTGCGTCTCTATGAATATTTCATAAACATTTTCTACGAGGAAATGAAGATTTTTACAAAAATAGAGAGTCTTATATAATCCAGAATTCAAATATTGGTTTTACATAAAACGTATATATTAATATCGCATTCTATAAACAAGCAATAAAAGATCTTGATACTGAACAAATTTCAAAAAAAATGTGAACGCATCATTACTATCAATTCGATGCCAATTCATACAGCTATGCAACATATGTTACATAGGGCATTTGCCCCTTTCTAGGAATCAGTAAAAAAATTAAGCATTTACTCTCCTTGTGAATAAACTCTGGAATTTATCTGCAATTATATTTAATATCCCTAATAGCATAGCACAATATATCCGAAAGATATTCAGAGGATATTCAAAGGATATATCCAGAGAACATTCGAACATCCTCAAGATGTTCTCTAAACGTCTTCGGGATACGTGTGTTGTTAGGGATAAAAATATTAAAATAAAATAATAAAATATTAAAATAAAAAAAATAATTAAAAATTTAAATTTAAAAAATTATGGAAAAATAATATAATAGGAAAAAAATTTAATTATGTCCCTTCCTGAAGAAAATTCCTGCGGACGCTCATGGCAACATATGCTCTTTAAGATTAAAGGCAGACAAGTCTATCTTCGTCAATTACGCGAATCACACGTTTCATTATCAACTTATGTTTCTGAAATGTCTTTCACCGATTTACTATCGGGAAACATAGATTCATCAATTAAGATTGTTCATTTCAGAGGGACTTAATTAATTGGGTCACCCTCGAGCTTCGGGCAATCCTCGGGGATTCGTCGAAAAAAATTGCGCTCCAACGTTCGGGAAAGATCTCCTTGTTCGCCAAATAAAAAGCATGACACAAACCGCCGATTAAAGCTTCTGCTGTCTCCTGGTTTTGCAAGTAATCGTGGTAATAATACATTTAGCCCGATTAAAATTAAAGCGTTTAAATAATTTCTAAATAAATAAAATTAAAAATTAAAACTATTTACTTACAATTAGAAGTATTGAAATATTTCCATTTATAGAGGAAAAATGAGTAAGGATGTATTAATTTAATTTCAGTAAAAAGCTAGTAGTTTAACTTTAGTAAAAGGGATATTGAGTTTTTTTTAAAGGCAAGCTAACTTTGTTCGGAACCAAAAATTGACGCAATAAAGTATCATTATGCTGCTATTGTGTGGGTCTATATTACGTTACGTAAGTAAGTAATGGCAATAAAAATCCCATTGCAAAAAAAACAATTGTGGGAAATTAGTTTTATCACAATGTTATTCCAAGACTCGGTTGATTATGAAATTGACCGTCAATATACCGTTAACATAAGTATGCGATGAATAATGTGACGAGAAATCAGTTAATCTTTAAACGATGTATGTACATACCTTTTCACGTGCAATTTTCACGGAACGACGAATGATCTAATACGCGAAAAAATGTGTGACGTGCGTAAGAAAAAGATTAATTATTGCTGAAGGAATTAAAGGGAAACGTGAGGATGAGTGATATACGCAGATAGTAGTGCCAGGCAAAACGTGAACAAATTTATTTATCTCGAGTGCACTTACGTCCGATGCACCTACAATATATGAAAATGCATTAAGTCATCGAAGATAGCTCATTAAAATTTTTAAATAATAAATTACACGGCAAATTATTCGTAAAAATTGAGTTCATATATTTGAAAGATTAAATTAATACTTTTGTTATTCTATGCAAGGATAAACTGAATAAGAGTTGCTTTTTATAACAATTCCATAGCATTTATTAGACAGAAAATCTATATTTTTGATATTTAATAATTCTTTTTTTTTCTTTCTCATTTTATTACAATTTCATAATATTTTCTATAAAATTTTCTTAACTGTAACATTTTCTTGGCTTTAATTTTTTTACATCAATATTTTACATAAGCGCTTATATAATTCTAAAACCATGATAAAATATTTAATTAAATAATATTTTGACTTACAATATACTCTATTACGAAATGAACTTGATTGTTGTATGCTATATTTTTTTATGTTACCAGAATAATTACAAAACGTCTGCAAAAACACTATATTTCAATTATATATAAATATGAACAATGATTGTTTATTTGATTTAGAGCCAGAAAGCTTAAAATATATATTTTAATAAAAATAATAATAACTTGTAAGGATAAGAACTATTCATTTAAAAATTATTTTAATAATAAAAAATAATTTTTTTGTTAATGTTAAGAATGAGTAATCCGCATCATTTTGCGTGGAAAAGTTTTCAGTATTGAATATTAATCTTCTCGCATAATTCTTATGAAACTTGTTTTATGATATTAATTGACATGAGATATCTCTATTTATTAATTACGCAGCAATAAATTATATTTGCCAATTTTTATGCATAAAGACTTGAAATAAACATGACAAATTTGCATACCAATAAAAAAACGAATGTCGTCTTGCTGTAAATTTTAAAATTTTCCATTTTCACAGTTTGTTTCTACTGGAAAGTTTTGCTTGATTTTCTGACGGAGTAATATTACGTCAATAAAATTCCATCGATAATTCCTGTGAACAATGTTCTTACCTTTAAGTAAAGAAATTATAATTTTTTGCAGTCTTATTTCATATCTTGCTTAAGTACTTTGATAATCTTTCAGTCTTAAGAAAAAATTTTTGATATATATTTATACAAAAATCATCTTATCACTTTGGCTATCTTTTTTATTGTTTCAATGAGTAAAAGAAGTTACAATACATATTTTATATTTTTCTAATATATTTTTAAATTAATCCAAAATTCTATTTTTAAAATACTTTGCATTAAAATTTAATTATAATTAGAGATATAACAGCTTCTTCAATTGCAATATATAATTTTAATTAAATTCTAGCAATTATACAGATATACAATAGATCAATTGAATCTTAGTCAATTGTATGTTAACATTTTCTACTTTTGCTACTAAATTCCGTTTTAATATATTCAAACAATTTTTTATTGAATATTAAGTTCTAAAAAGAAAAAATTTATTTTAATTGTTTCTATTAACATTTTTTATATAACATGTTCTATATACATTTATTCTCACGAGAATAAAGTTTTAATATACTTCAGTTCGCCTGTATTCATAAAAGTATATTCATATTCTGCATTACAAAAGATATATTCATCGTTATCTATTAATAATTCCTCGAAATTCTGCAAATGTAACTTTACCCTTTGACAACAATTTCATAAGAACTATTATTTCTACCGCCAGCCTTTCGATGCTAAGTACTCTAAGAATTAAGCCGGCCATTAAAATCGTGTTAAAAAGTAAAGTTTGCTTTGAAAGAGGATTTCACCGCTTTTTTTATTGTGGAAATTTAATTTACATATGTTTATCTTACATATATATATATATATATATATATATATATATTTAACAATAAGTAACTTTGTACGATGCGATTTTCTTTTATTAAATATGAAGAAAAGTATCTTCTGAATTTTAAAACTACATTATTATAATTATTTATAAAAGATAATTAAAAGATTGAAATATGTTTTTTAGCATATTAAATTTTTCCCAAAATAATTCAATAAAAAATTGTCAATAATTATAAATATTAGAAACTTTGAAATATTTTTTTCACACAAAAATTAGTGATATCTCATTTTCTTCTAATCTCATCGACAAAAGATCGGGATATTTCTAGATCTAACTTTACACTTTCTGCGATAACCTTGGAGAAATAAAAATAAGATTGAATTGACAGCTGATTCAATAATTATTGTTTTATCAGCATATTTTATTGAAGTGAGTAAGAAGTTTACTTCAAAAAATAATTAAATTTACAATGTAATATAAAGAAATATTATGTAAATATAATATAAAGAAGATTATAAAAATAAAAATCTTAAAAAAATTGTTACTTTAAATTTTGATAAATTTGAGAAAGAATAGAAAATATAATTGTTGCACATTTGATTTGTGTATATTATATATTTTTTATTTTTTTTATAAATATATAACACTTATAGCTCTTTGTTACTGTCATAGAAATTTTTGAACGACGAATTAATTAAAATTACGTAGCTGTTGTATGTCAACTCTATTATCACCGCTGCTCTAAAATTCAAATGTTAAGTGTTACGAGCAAAGATATGAGTTATAAAAATAAATTTAAATTTCCATTTGCATTAAATTGTTTACGCTTTAATCGCTCGTTGATAGCTTCAATCACAATCTGTGTTATCGCTATAAAGATACTACTCGTCTTGAAAATAATCAGCGAGAAAAAAAATAACGAATATAAGACATACCTAGTAGCCAGCAGTATTAAAAATGTTTTCATTCTCGAGAACAGAATAACACTCGAGATATTTGCCATAATGTAGAATAGACAGATAATAACGTGTGCATTATTGCGCATAATTGTTAGAAAGAACGCGATTAATGGGAATTGCTAATCGTTTTAAGAAATATTTATTCTAGATTTTTAATTATTTTTATAGTTGCAAAAAGAAATAATTTTAAACGACTAAGAAAAATAAAATGAGATTAATATTGAAAACAAATTTTTATTATTTAATTAACATTTTATAATAAAACATATAAAATGTTACTTATATTTACATTAACTTGTCATAAATTTCTACTAACATATCATATACATATATGTCGAAAATTGATAAAAAATTAATAATTATACTTAAAAATATATAGTATATATTTATAACAATCTAATATTTATGACAAGCTGTCAAGTTATTTATTATATAAGTATATATTCTCATTATTACATAATTAATTTTATTTATATTTAAAATATTAAAAATCGTTGAAATAAATGCAGATATGTCGCAGCTAATTAAAATAAAAAAAAACGTGAAATGATATTCTATTTCTGTTAACATTAACTGCAACATCACAATATAGATATTTATAATTTACGGTTATCGGAAAAAAGATTTTAGTCTAATCTAAAAAATGTGATCGATGACCACAAATGTAAATAAAACCTCAATCTATGAGATATATTATTTTTGTTCTAACATAATGTACATTTAAATAACAATTATCGAATATATATATATTTATATAAATGCACGATAAAGTTTGTATATGTATGTCAATGAAGTTGCGTGAGCAAGAATTATAAGATCAAAGATTTATGGCAATATATTTAAATATTGTAAATGAGTTAAACTTATGAACTACGTAACAAAAAGGGTGATAAATTATGAAGTTGTAAATTGTGAGGTGTGTTTATCCATTTTCTTCTTACAACTTGATATTTATTTTTCAATTTGTTTCTCTTTTTTGTTCGTTTATGCATATTTCATCACGTTATATCAAGATCTTCTTATATCTGCAATTTAACTAGATAATAAACAACATTTTAAATTATTTACGTTTTGATGGATACTATTGTTGAATCGACAGTCGTAGTAAAATACGTCAGTGCGAATTTTCGCGTTTATCAATGCAATTCAGGTATTTGTCATCTAGAATCGAGCGTTGCCTTGTAGCTCCTCCTGAATCTCTTGAGAGGATTTTCCCTTAGTTTCCGGTATAAAGAAGTATATGAACACAGTTCCGACCACCATAATTCCAGCAAAAATCCAAAAAGTCGCATCCGCACCTAATTCATCGTTCATCATCGGAAAAGTTTTCGTCACCAAGAACACGAGGAACCAATTCAGCATCACAGCGATACCGGAAGCGACCGCTTTGGTCTCTGCAGGAAATAGTTCGCCCATCAGCATCCATGGTATCGGACCCATCCTGTATATAAAACGTGACGTTATAATGTTATAATTTATTTATTTTTTTTTGTTTATTGTAATGTAAATTTTAGTTGTAATTTTTACAATTTCGTAAATATCTAAGTAGTCAATTTATTTAATTATTAATTTTCAAGCAACTTTTGACAATAAATCAAATAAATCTTATAACCAGATCATTTAGAATGCAAATGTAATTCATTGCAAAATTTACCCAATAGAGAAGGAGATCATAAATAATGTCAGAGATGTGAGCGGTAACCAGCCTAAATTGCTGACGTCATTTTCGTTTGCCTTAATATTGAAGTAAAGACCAAGAGCTACAAGACTGACTGCCATAACACTTGAGGAAAATATAAGCAGTGGCTTCCTTCCAGCACGATCTACAATTACAGCTGCTACACCTGACATCACAACCTACCAAAAACATTGGAGGTAAACATCGTCATCTACGAGTAATTAGGCAATTAACAATAATTGCAGAAGATGAATATAGATATACATCACAGATATATAACACGCTAATTACGACTATCTCACACAGCTATCGCAAAAAAAACAAATTTTGAAGATAAACAAAATTGCGAGAGATCATATATGTATCATTTATATAAATTCATGTTCGATAAATAACATTAAAAAAACAACAAAAGCTGAATTAATTCTTCAGAAAAGTAGCTTTAATCAAATTCTAAAGATTTGAAGAGAAAAATTGTTTGATATATTCTTTATTTCATATTTTTCGAATTCAAAACATGTAAATTTTGACGTAATCTAAATATTCGCAAGCGTACCTGAACAACTGCTACGACAATAGAGGCGAGTTCCGGCGACATCGAGCTGCCGGATGCCTGAAAAATGGTAACGGTATAAAAGATTACTGCGTTTATTCCGGACAATTGCTGAAAGAGCATGCCGCCCAACGAAGCGAGCAAAGCTTTTTTGGCTGCCCGCGTTCGCACAAGATCAAATATGCTCGATTTCTTCGACGCTGCCTGCTCAGCCTCCCGTTGCATCTCCGCGAGTTCCTCGGATGGATCGTAAGACTCTCCTCGGAAGATTACCATTGCATGCGTAGCTTCCGGTTTCAGTTTTTTGTTCTACAAAAATTCGAAACACATTCGAATTTTTATTCGTTTACGAGAAATTTCATCATTTTATTTCGATTGTTATTCAAATATAATTTTTTGCTTAATATTGGAGCGAGAGAGTTAATATTGGGTGTTTCAGAACTGGCGGAAAAGTTTTTAGTATCAGATTCCTGGTATCATTTGGAGACAATTTTTCCTTAGTGAAAATTTCGTGGGAGACCATCATTTTTAGCACGTTCCCAATTTTTGCTATTATGTATCTATATAACTAACAATAAGTCTTTTAAAATTCCAATAAAGCAAACTCTATCTAAAATTAACTGAAGAATGTAGTTCTGTTAATATTTTATTTCCACGAGGCTCATTGTTAAGTTTCCAAAAAAGCCTTCATGTTCAGCTGCTTATAATTCGAAAACTATTGGTGTCTCGACATCTTCGCTGAGGAAAAATCGTCTCCGAATGATACCAGGAATCTACCATTAAAAGCTTGTCCGCCAGTTCTGAAACACCCTATAAAAAATGAACGACACAATCGGAGGAGAATTTATCGATTCGACCTACCACTAGCCAAACAGGTGATTCTGGCATCCACACAAAGGAAGCAAAAAAGGCGATCTCTATGAGAGCACAGATTACAGCGAACGCTGTGTAACTTAAGACCGCTCCAAGTATGAAGGCCAACAAAATTCCAACCGTGAGGAACAGCTGGAACATAGCACCGAGAGTGCCTCGGGTGGAAGTCTCCGCAATTTCCGAGATATAAGTCGGTACGAGGACGCAAGCCGCACCGACGCCGACGCCCACTATAAACCTGGCTACGTTGATCAGCCACAGCTTGAAGGCAAGTATAATAATCAGCCAGGATAGAAGAAATGGAGCGGTCAGCAGAAGAAGCGACTTTTTCCGTCCAACTTTGTCGGCCATTGGTCCGGACAGGATGGCACCCAGCATCGCGCCCAGAGCCAGCAATGAGCTAACCCAGGATCCTTGTTCTTTGGTAATGACCAGCCATGAATCCGGTTCGTATAGCTGAGGTAGAACGGGAGACGTCCAGGCCAGAGCGGTGCCGACGCCGACAGCCATTAAGGAAGCTTAAGAGATTTAAATGTAAAGTTAATAAAAGAAGAAGAGGAGAAAAAATTGTATTTAAAAAACTTTATTACGTATTTAACTTTATTTAATATTTAACGTATTTAACTTTATTTAATCTTTAAAATTAAATATTTTATTTTAAATTAATAATTCACGTTTTAAAGGGTAAATAGAGATCACGCATATAATGATTCGTTACTTTCTATGAATTTAGCGAAATTACGAAAATTAATTTAGAAAATGTTTGTAAAATTACTTTTTAAATGAAGACATTTTATGTACAAATATTTTTTAATATTGGAAATTGAGAAGTTTTAGAAATGTGATGTCATATTTGTCTCATTTTTTTATGAAATTCGTGTTTTCCGGCATCTACACATTTAGGTCAATCTTATCAATCTATTCATTCAAACCATTACACTCATTTGTTGAAATACAAATATCGTCTATCTGAGAAATCATATCTACTTTGATAAGATATAAAGGCAGAATTTTGTAAAAAATTTTCCTTTATTTCTCGTACCATTTTTTCATATAATGAAAAGTTTCTTTTTTTTTTTTTTAAGCAAAGTATATATTGTGTTACTCTCAAATCAAATATCAAGCGAACATTATTGATAACGCAGATAATTGTATTATAAATTTTGTCTATGGTGTGATGGATAATCGCGACGTAGAAATACTATTTATAAACGAATTATCTGACATACGTGATAAGACGGTCAGCCAGGCTAAATTATTTTATCGTACTTAAGAGTGAAACTTCAACTCGATTAAAAGCTTTAATTTAAAAAGCCGCCGTCGCGAACAGACAGTCATGTATTATGATTAGGGGATGAAGTAAATCGATTCATGGAATATGGTCACAGGAGACAGCAAATCCACTGTCCTTTCATACTTCAAATTCGTATATCAGAAATATACGTGTATAAATTGCATTACATTGAATTCGGATGGCTTTGAGATGAACATCTACATCTCTCATCTCGGAGCAAAATGCGACACTCATTTCAATAAAATATAACGACCGTCCCGTCGCTGGGTTTCAGTAATATGATCTTATTCGACGCGCGGAATTTTATAATAATGGAGGGTCTTTGATAAAAGGACGGTTTTATTGTGTAATTTTGCAGGAAAGTCGTGAAACTTGTTAAAAGATAGTCTGTCGACGCGCGCACGTTTAATATTCTTTTTTCTTTTTTTTTTTTCGTAAATTTATCACTTATTATACTTTGAAGGCAAACTTTAATTAATATAATTAAATACAAGCGGATAGTTAAAATGTGAATATTGTATTAAAATTAACTGTAGCAAGATTTAAATATAATAAAATCAACAAGCTAATTGTTTGTAGTAATTACTATGTTAATGTTTTAATTATATTAACGTTATTTTTATGAAACTTTTTGTAAAAAGAGGTCAGATAATACGTAATATAATCTTTTAGTAATATTGTAACATATTCTCACATAAAATTTTAGCTGTTTATAAAATGAAAATTTCATCGTTGGTGCCAGACAAAACTTAAAATAAGTTATTAATTAAACAGACAAGCATGAAAAGGACGTAATTTTTAGAAATAATTAAAAATATGCAAGATTTTATCTTAATAACATTATTATTCTCTTTTGATAAGGAATTAGTTTTTATTTAGATATAGATAAGAGAATCAAACTTTTTAATAAGTAAATTTTGTCAATTAAAAAGATTTTAGGGAATCGATATCAAGATACATATTCGATTTACTTTTATTACTTAATCATTCTTATGTCTTTATATATACTGTTACATTAATCTGATAATGTAATAAATAATTTTCGTGTAATTATTACAGTTTGAAACACGTATATGTTTCTTGCAGTCAAATCAACTGATTACTCAAATGATAGCACATCGTTAATCGCGATAATAGCATAACGATTATCACGATTAATGATTATCGGCGGACACGCGCATTGCAGTAAATTGATACTATCTAAATAAGCAATCACGAATTATTATATCACGAAGTAATAACTTGATCGTTTGCAATCTTTATTATTTATAACAACGAATGAGAATGCTTGAAATAAAAAGAAACACATTCTGTGAAAGATAGATGAATTAAAAAGGAATTATAAGAATTTTTATAATAAATTCTATTTTATTATAATTATTTTTAATTACATTTTTTTAAAAGAGAGAAAAAGAATTTTAATGCCTTTTAATAAAGTTGAATATTATTTATGTATTTTTGAACTTTAAACTTTGGATATTCAGAAAAGGCATAAACAATCTATAATTTTAATCCGTTTTAAAGCAATTAAAGCAATTCATTTTTTTATTTTTATGTAAGAACAAATCTTTTTTATAAAAATATATTGAGAGAAAATTAAAAACACTAAAAATAATATTATTAAAATGTCAGATATTTTAATATTAAATATCTGAAACGCGAGATACAGATTAAAAAATAAAGTGCGCAATTGCAGAAGGGAAACATTATTAATAATTGATCATCTGGTTCACAGATGCACATTTATATGTGCTATTATATACAATTTCATTAATATACATTCTCTTGAAACATGTAGTTCGCAAGTAAACATAAATGAAAATAGAATTTACAAATACATATATATATTTGCCACAAGTTCGATGGATTATTGATTAAATATATAATATGTGCGACCAATTAAACACATATGGATATCATTTTAAACAAAAGGATGCGATTACATAATATACTAATTATAAACACATGAATCAGTCGAATAATACATAAATTTTGAACTCCCGTTCAAACTTCCGTTTGATTGCTTGAAATAGATATACATGCTCGTTCCGACCAATCATCTATCTTGTGTATAAAATATTTCCAAATATATACAATTGTTGAAATACCGGACATGGATGCGAGGTACTGCCACAACTTTTTGCCCTCCCGATGATGCGCAGGAGTACCACTAATCATCCCGGTAGCCTCCATCTTCGTGAATCAGGTTACTCCTTTGAAGATTCTGAAGCACGAAGATCAACGCTTGGGAATCTCGTTCCAGCACTCTTGACACGTTTTCGCTCGCCTTCTTCTCTCGACTCTCCAAGCAACACGAAATACATTAACGACGGGAAAAAGTCGCAAGCCACATTTCGGACAACGCGAGGCGAAATGAACGATCCGTTACCGGGGCTATCGTATATCATGATCGTCACTATCTAGTCATCCATTATCACTAATCTTTACCGCTTATCTAGCACGATCAAGGCAAGAAAAATTTTCAAATCACGATAAATAGGGATCGGCAAAATAAAGGAATCCAAATCTGAATGAACGCGCGATACTGAATGGTGGCGATAAATGCCACACGCAAAAAGAAAAACCGAAAAATTTTATTAAAATTAAATTAAATCAAAAGAAAAATAAAAAGAGACGTTAATATAATATTATATATAGATAAACAGACTTCGCGCGACCGGTGATACAAAATAAAAATATAAAAAGCGTGTGATCGACATAACTAAAGAGAAATAATAATAAATAATAAGGCTCGAAGATAGGAAGAATAATAAAAAAGGTTAAATGATAATGCTAGAAAGATCTCGATTCTCAGCCGGTACGAATAAAATTAACAGTGATATAGAATATCTCCTCTGGAATCGGCATATTTTTTTGATTCTTCATTCTTGTCATACTTCGTAATGTTTGTATTAAGAAAGCGTATAGAAATTTTGTATAGAAAATTTTGTATGAAAAGTATTAGAATCATCTTAAATCTCTCCATCTTCGAGCATTTCATAATATTTTGATAAGTTAAAGTAAAAGAAACTAAGTCATTCAATTCAATGCCTTTTCTTTTCATGCAAAATATGTAACATTTTTTTATACAAAAATATATAGTAGTATCTTTTTTTTTCAACTTAATATAAATAAAACATCCTACTTGTCTACTACTTTTTAATTAATATAGTGAGATATATAATTGCATAATATAGTAATGTAATGTTTTTCAAAATATTTTTTCCAAAAAATCTTTTTCCGGTTATCATGAACTTTCCATTAATTTTCGAAAAAAATTAAAATCATATTAAGAATAACCACCTTTCTTAAGAAATTTACAATTTCTCATCTTTGTGACAGATTTTTTTTCTATACAAAAATGTGCCTAAAAAAAGAAATAACGTTTACTCTCAATTTCACTTTAATATTTGCACATTTCAAAAACGTTTTGTGCATTATTATAATATTTCATATATTGTATGCAAAATAACATTCGTTAAAAAAAATGAAAAAATTTGTATAACGCAAATCAATACTCAAATTATGCGATAAAGTATATATGTTTTGTATTAAAAATGAAAAAAATAATAGACATTTAAATTGCGCAATAATTAATTTATACGATATGAAATTTACTGCATAAATACGATATTTCGGCTTATAAAACATTTACAGAATATTTTAGTAAAATGAATCTAGCATGATTACATAAAACGTACAATGAGAGCATCTATCGTAAAATGAAAAGCGTTTTGACACGAAAATATTCGATAATTTTCGACAAAGAAAATAAAAGCTGACTCTGACAAATATAACTGCTTATTTCCTCACACACTCTTTTTGAGTTTCGTGTGAAGGACACTTCAATTCAATTTCGATCGTTGGCAGAAGGTAATTTTCGATTTCCTCCGGCACCGTTAAATTTCCTCCACATCGAATTGCACGCGATCACAAAATTGTGATAAATTTTAAATTCAATGTATAAATAAATCTTTCATATACAAGTTTAAAAAATTACAATTACAATTATATTTTTAGAATTAATTTTTATAATTAATTATTATAATTCTTACAATTTCTTTATAAAACAAATGTTTGTTTTAGAAAACAATTTATTACTAAAGATTTTCTATCCTAAATAAAAACTTGGATAATAAATTTTCTCGCATATAACATACTCGATAGGATTTGCAATAAAATCACGTCGATAAATCACTTCTATATTTGATTCTGGATATCCGGATTGCGATTGTATGTTATCTGCTATTTTCACGAAAAATCCATGACGCCATACTATACAATATATAACTAAGAAGCTGTTATCGCAATTTTCTAAGTGAACGGTAAATATACTTTAAGATTTGTTCAGTGATTAAATCTTTTTTCTTCGATGTCACATAATCATGGCTCTAAAGCTAATATATAATTTTTTTCGTTATTATCGCATTACTTTATAAATCGAAAGAGTAAAATGATTACGCTTGGCTCACCAAAATGATATATTATACCGTTAAAATTTTGCTATCAAACAATTTAAGATAATAAAAAAGGTAAAATTCTTCTCTCGACCTTCTCAAATATCTACGTTTTTATAATTTAAGATAATATTAGTTAACCGCTAAAAAATGTATATGGTACCTGCATTATGAAATTAAAATTATTCCTTTCGAAAATTGAAAATTTAAAGTAAAGCATAAAATAATAATACTAAATTAATTTACACAAATAGTGTATCTCTCTTAATCAAAATAAAATAAATCATATTCTTCAAAATATCAAATTTTATTTGCAATAATGGACTCTGTGTTTATCAATATTAATTTGAAATGCAAAGTACAGACTATTTAATGTTAATATACCTATGTCATAAAATAATATGTACAGTGTTAAATATCGATAGCAAATTAACTGTAACGCTTGATATTTGGCCTTTAAGATAAATTTGGTATATGTTATTATTATCACAGACGCTCATTGTATTATCATTCGTACGGCGCGGCAACACAAGCAGAAAAATAGTGATGCGAGATACTTCGTATATTAAAGAATTTTTATTTGAAATGCAATCTGCAACTTATTATTTTTTCTGTTATTTGTAAAAACGATCGTTTATTTTTATTTATTTCTTTAATTTAAACAAAGAGATAAAAAAAGTGATTTTATTTATAAAATTTTATAGAAGTTTATAAAGAAACGTTATACACTTGTTAATAAAAAAAAATAATTTTAAATAATCCCAAGACCGTAATTTATAATTTATGAATTAAATCGCCGTAAGCTTTCTGTAAAATTAAAAAAAATAACATTATAAGGAAGTTATAAGGAAAGGTATTAGGAAAGTTATAAGAAAACTTTTTTCACATATCTTTGTCATGATTCATTATAGGATTGATAATTTAAAAAAGATGCTAAAAATAATTAAGTTATAGACTTGTATTAAATTTATTTTAAAACATAAAGAAGAGAAAATAAAATTTCTCTGAAATGGAAAATTACAAAGGATGGCTTTCAGCTAATGTTATTTAAAGCCATGATTTTGACAACAAATTAAAGTTATTAAAGTTGGCTTTTTTAATCAATATATTTATCATTTTCGAAAGTGTCATTTTTTCAAAACACATAAATTATAACGTTATATAATTGCTACTTTAATTTAATAATCTACAAAATAATATAAATATAATAATAAATATGTAGATTTTTATAAGACATTCTTTATTCAATTAAATTTTCAAAAATAAGAAATTAAAACGATAAAGGTCTCAAATAATAAGGTCAATAAATAATTTCTAATTTCAAAATATAATATTCAAATTTATTGCTTTTGAAAGGAATCGACTGTTTTTCGCAGAACAGAAATGTAAGAAGCCTTATTTGACACGTCAAATACGAAATACAATACAATCTAAAAAAAGGAGCAAACAAAAATGAAAAATATCTCGAAAAACGTATAAATATAACTAAATCGTATAAATATTAGCGAGAAAAAGAGAAATATATGCAAATTAATAATTGAAAATAATTTTAGAGATAAAGTAACAAAAAATGAATTATTTTTCTAAATACATAAATGTACAATGAAATCGCATAATTGTGCGTAATTAAATTCCTGTAAGTGCATATTCTCGCGAATGAGAGTAATAATTCAAATAATTTATTTGAAAATGTAAAATGAGAATAAGATTATATTTATCTATATTCAAAATGTGGATAATTAAATTGTGGTTCCAATTAAAATATTCTCGTATTTACTTGAGCATAATACATGAAACCCTCAGTTTTAGAATCATATTGTATCTTGAAATATTGAATTTTTGTTTATCATAACTGTGTATAGGTGAAATACTTTTATCATTTCAATTTACTTTAACTTTATTTTATTTTATATACATATATATATATATATATATATATATATATATATATATATATTTTAGTTTAATTTAATTAAAATCATAATATTAAATCTCAATAAATCTATGGTGTTTTCTAAAGAATAAAGTTCCATTTATACATGTATATACATAATGTAGAAATAAGGAGAGAAAGAAAGAGCAAAAAAAAATATCCAAACCACTATTTTGATCCTAAATATAAGAAGTTTCATTGTTATTTTTAACAAAATTTACGAGTTTTTGATTGAAACCTTGGACATCTTTCATCTTATAGATCTATACATATATCCGTGAATTTCAAACTTTTTAGACTCTCAATCGAAAAACTTTGAAATCCAATTCTTCAATGTCCAGAAGAAAACTTTCGTTTTATGAATAGTGCTCTTCGCGAAAATTTAAACGCTACAAACACGCGATGGAAGTAATACAATGATCGTCGAAACAAAGTGAAAATCGCATTATTCTTAAGTATCTGTTGTACTGAACACTTTAATGGATCATACAATCGCAATAATGCGTTAGTAGGCTGTTGAATTAAAAAATCCGCTTTCATAATGTACATTTAACGCTAATGATATCTGGTTTTCAATCTTGATAATACGATTTAAATTACAATATAAATGAAGGCTACCACATTTAGCATTAAATATGCATTACGAATGCAAATAGTTCTCGCATTGCCTAAAATTATCGCATAATGAAATTCAAATACAAAAGGAATACCTTCATTTAGTATTTTTGTTTCCAAGTGGTTTGATACTATTTCACATGATGATATTGCGGAGCTTGTATCAAATCCATTAGAATTAAAGCAACTTCGTAATTTACATGGCGTCTGGGAAATAATAATTTTTCGCGAGCCGAGGTCAGAAAAATTTTAGGGATTGAAATTTAATGTTTAATTAACAAACATTATTTTCTTATTAAAAAAAATACTTCTTAAATAAGAAATATGTATTTACACATATACATATATTAATAATAAACACTATATGTAATTTCTTATCTCTCTAAAATTTTTACAGACGTATCGCGCGAAAGCTTAAAATTTGTAGAGAATTAATATATATCTAAAAAATAATACCTAGAGATATACTTAATTAAATGTATAGATTCCTATCGAGGAGGTAGAATTTAACAAATGCGAGAACTACTTTGCGCAGATTAATGTTACTTATCGATGCTATTCTATGTAGAAAATATTATCTTACGTACTAATAAGGCCTGTATTTTAGGTATTTATCGTTCCCATTCCATGTCACACGTGTAAACACTTAATGCAAATATTCAAAATTATGATAAACCACGGATCAAATTGATCATAAATCATTTTTTTTTTATCATTTGATCCATGAAAAACGTGTAACACGTGACATGAAGAACGTGCTTGGTATAAATATAAAGATGAGATTCGGACGGTCGCTATTTCTCTGTGCGCGAATATATGCGGGAGCTTAAAAAATATCTTAGATTAACTCACTTGCTTATCACCGTGATAACACATTGTCGCGTGTGCCGCATTGACGACGATGCTCGCACACGCGTGCAATGTCCCTTAAAAAATAAAAAGTCGACGCTCCCTTCGTAAAAAACGCATTACTATCGATTACTCTGTCGCTCTAACTTACCTTATATTAAAACGTGCTACCATAAAATCGTACGAAAAGTAAGGTTTCTTCTCGCTTTTTGGTGTGGAAGGTATCAGACATGGATAGTTAAACTCTTCTATGACTGAGCAGGATTTATCGAGGATTGGATTTTCGAGAGGAGTAGATTTTCTTGAATCATTAAGCAATGGGGTCTCTTGAATATTTGAATCATCAGATTCATAGCTCAGTAAAAGTCTCAAAGAATTTGTGTCCTGAGGGCACTTTAACTTTTAAATCTATCGAAACTTCAAAGAGCTTTGAATATCCGATTCTTATACCGTAAAAATTGCATTTTTACACGAATTTTTCATATATTCTATTAGGAAAAAAAAATTACAAAGACAGAAATAAATAAACTATTATTTAACTCAGCCGAAAGAGTTAATTTCTCACCTTCTACTACGGTTCCAATCATTTTTCTCCTAAAACTAAAATTCTACATTCTACAAAAACTACGAAAACTTCACCATCTGTGCTCTTTCGCTTTCTCGAGATCAAATCAATTTCGCGTTATTTCTCATTAGGATAAAAATTGAAGAACGTAGCAAAGAATGATAATCAAGTAATCTATGCACAAAGTCAATCACTTTTGCTAATACACGTATTTTACAGACACGTGAAATAATGAAGAAAATCAGTTTGTACACAATATCAATTTTTTAATACAAACTGTCACGCGTTTGACTTGTGAAAAAATTAGTATCTATAATTTAGAAATTTCTTTTGTATTTTTATCATGTAAATAGATATGAATTATTGGAATATTTGGAATATCTATTGAGATGAATCACATTAATCATTCGCGTGTACGATATGTATGAAATAAATAGACATTATAATGATGTCGCATGATTTGAAAGTATTTTCTCGCGAAAGAAATGAAATGCCACAAGAAGGTGGGAAAGCGGTTCTGTGTTTTCACACGGAATCTCAGTCTTTATCGTACGTGTCATTTGCACACATAAATAGAGAAATTAAAAAAAGCTCTCTCTTATCAGACTTGTTAGTAGTTATCGATTCTCGTAAAGTAAACTGAAAAAAAGAAAACAATCATGAGAAAAATCGTAGCACGTCTCGCGATAATAAGACATATGTAGAGAGTCATGTATCTATGAAACAGATTTAAGGATTCGCACGTTTCCGTCATAGCAACTGCAAAATATACGCGTGTTTAGAATACGATGTCACTACATTTCGTCTGCGTCGATGAGAGAAATCTTTGAATCCTTTATTGACGGTTCGATAAATGTATATCAAGAACGCCGGAGAGTAATCCGAATTCTCGATTTCTCAAGGTTACACAACTTTTTAGATGTAGGATCACAATTTATCTCCTGGATAAGGGCAATTTATAAGAAGACTACATACAAAAACAATTTGAGGGAATTCTTAAATTTTATACAATATAATTTGGAGTCGAGATACATTATAAGATCTTTGAAACTTAAATTACAATTTTAAATATTTCAGAATCTGAAAAAAATAAATAAATCCCTCTCTCAAAATTTAATTCCTAAGTTTTTTATTTAATTTAAAGAATTTTGTACCTTTGAGTTTCTGAAAAATCAAAATCTCTTAATTTCTCGGTTCTAATTTCGACTGAATTCTTTAAATCGTTGAATCGTTCAAAATATAATCATTATATATCTTCCATTGTAACTTTGATCAAAAATTCTTAAATTCATGAGTCTTTCGAGATTCAATCGATGATTGTTAATGAGTAATACTCATTTCAAGTTGCCATTTTATATCCTATAAATTGCAAGAAAGACATACTTACCTTTTGTTAAGTGCCGAGACAACAAATTCGAAAATTCGACAGAAAACTCTTTCCATAGGATTGATTACTTCCGGTGTCCTTAATATCGACGGTGAAATTAAATCGTCCTTGCGTGAGATCAAATGGGAGATCGCACTTTTGATCGAAAGAAATATTTTTTTAGGCAGTAATTAAAATATTAAGAACGAATCAAAAGCGCAGCGAGAAGGGTTAATGGCGTCTCGAATCGCTGCGACAGACTCCCTCCTCTCTATGTCCATCGCATTAACCTGAGTCAAGAATCAAATCTTACGCAGAGTATTGTACAAAAATATCCACTTTCCGGTGTCTGTCGTGTGTACGTGCTTGAATCTTCGACTGGTCATCTTGTCGATAAAGTTCTTCGTCTCTGTCTCGCTATGATTGGGATGCCAGCGTATCGACAGTATCGATATTCTTATAATATCCCAAGGGATGGTGTCGAGTACCTACATTCATTTTTAATCGCTTTTATGAGCTCCACGATACTCATTATATTTTTATAATTCAAAGACAAATGGAACAAACTTGTCAGAGTCGAAATATGCATTTAACCACGATATGTCTCAAATGTTTCAATCTCAAAAGTAAAACACTATTTCTGCTCTTGTACAAAATAAAATGGAAAACAAATCAACGCATTTCGTAAAATTCGAAAGAATTAGAAAGAAAATGATTAAAAGAGACAAATATTTACCTGGCCATCGGGAGCATCAGGACTGTCTATGCTTAGATAATCCAAGGTTGTAATGTTATACGCCAACAGTACGCTATAGAGAGGAAAACACTTGAGCCTAGTGGTAGGAAAGCCGTCGTCCGAAACAAGGCTGTTAGGACCGTCGCCCAATTTGGTGACCTGCACCTCCGACTCCTGGTGATACTTTATCTACAAAACGCATGCGTTCGCTTTGTCGCGCTTCCCTAAAGAAAAGCTTGCCGAAGAAAAGTATATACGGTCTATCTTTTACCTCTTTGGTATCCGTGTCTGTGCTGAGACAGGCATGGAGAACTCTCGATCGCGGATTCCTGCTGCTTCGCTGCGCTTCGAAAAAGTTCTTGGGCTCGGTTAGTATCAGAATACCACGCCAATTCAGATTGGACTCTAGCCAAGTTGTGCTGGAAGTTACGCCTATCTGAAAGAACGATAACGCCTCATAATGATCGATAACACGAAAAATAAATTAACCGATTTAAGATATGTATATATATCCCAAATTTTGGGGTAATCAATTTTTTTAGTTTAACGAAACTATACAGACTATAACTAAAAAATATTAGTTATCACAGCTGAAATTTGGCATAATAACTAAATTTCACGTGTAATATAAGGGTAGTTAAAATTTAGCTGCGGTAACATTTTTTTCCGTGAACGAATTTACGGCTCAAAAATCGCGATAGAAATCGAGAGATAAGTTGAATACACCACCGACCTAATTTTCATTGCGTGCAATAACAAGAAGATAAATTGCAAAGCAAAAGAGAGATACCGAAATTCATGTATACATTTATCTCGTTCATCTATAGTTTTAATTGATTGCGTGCCGATAATAATTTGCGTGTTTCGCTGATATTACAAAGCCTTATCATAGATGATAAAGAACTATATTAATACAATATTGCGATGTTTATTATAGACTTCTAAGATTATTAAAAAAAAGCACCGATATTTAATTTTAAAAAACTTGATGAATCGCAAAATAAAATATACAATAAAATTTTGAGTGAGATAAAACTCAATTCCAAATTCTGCAACAAGTATGCTAACTTTTATATATATTATATAATATATATGTATGAAAAATACTTTGAAAATACTTTCTCAAAAATTTGCATATTAAAAACCTTACAAATTCTACATAAAGCGATATTATCTAGAAAATTGTAATCTTCTAAATTTCCATGATGCTTCTATATATATGGTAAAAACTGCAGAAATTCAATTTTAATTTCAATTTTAACTCATAGAACTTACAGAACATTTTCTTCAAAAAAAATTCCTTTATTATAACTTTTTAATAGTGAATATACATTATATGTATGTATTTGTATGCATTGTAGACATAAATATAATTAAAATTAAAAATTTTTAAAAAGCATTCCAATTTTTTTTCAGAGACATCGTAAAAAATTCTTGCCTTTAATTATACTCTTCGAAATTTTAATTCGTAAGATAACTTTTTCTTCTCAATTGTTCATCATTTGAAAATTATTATTAATATCTTAACCGATCAATTAATTATAAAATGTTCTCTTTTATTATCTCTGGCTTGATTAAACATTCTGTCAGTAATTAAGAACTTTAGAAGACTCTGTATGATACACAGGCCATTCTTCAACCCCGAGTTCCGCAAACAAAGGGAGATTACGCCGCCACATGGAAAAGATGAGACTTCCAATGTGGTGACATGTGAAACATTAATCATGCTCGGGATTAAAATGGAAGAATCCTCACCCTGCTGATGTACTCCACGTAGATACCCTCGCGCTTGCTCTGCGACAAGCTGACCACATACTTTTCCTCCGACGTTTCGTTGGCGTTCAACGGGTCCTGATGGGTCGTGGATTTCAGATGCACCTGTCGTATGTACGCGATCAATTGCGGATTGTCCATCGAAACGCTTTCAAGCACGTAGTCCCTGGTCATATTCGCATCGAACGCCTGTTTCCTGTAACGGAACATCCGCTTTAAGCTACACCAGTGGTGTTCAACCTTCCGGAATTCAATCATGTAATCCTTCCCGGGAATAAAAAACGAAAATTAATAATTTTTTTCACGGATTCACGTCAAAATCCAATCGCTTCGACGGTAGATCGCGTATATGTTTTTTTCGATGTAAAATGATGAAATTTTATCATAGGAAATATACGTGAATTTTATGATTCATTCAAAACAAAAGAAAGACTTTAATAAACTTCGAAAAGTCGGAAGAAGAAAAGAGAGCACAATTAATGTGTAACAGATTTTACATATAATTTCGTATATTTTTTCCCCAAAATTACGTGTAATATTTTGTTCTAACATTATAAAAAATAAAAACAAATTGTGTCAAAAATTGAGGGAATAAATTAACAGAAAAAAATGTTAAAATTTTATTGCAGAGATGCAACTTGCCTCAAAGCTGCCGCTTCGCTCCAGACGAGAAGCACAGCCATAGCTGTGCAAAAGGCAGAGATGAAGGCCAAGCAGGGGGCCACTTTTTTCCACCAGGCCCTTTTATAACTGGTAAACGACGTGCCGACCAGATTAGGCCCTATAAACGGCGGCAGAGCTGCGTTTGACGAAGGTACCACTGCGGGACGCATTCTGCGAAAATAGAACGAACGTGTAAACACGCGTTGCACGCAAATCACGAAAATGAGACACCCGGGGTGACTTGCAATCTGACAACTTTGTGACGTGTCACGTATTCTATTCTATCCTCGAAACTGCTTTTAACCCCGAAATCTTTGCAGCAGCAAGTAAATGTAAGGATTTTACCATTTTAATGGTATTAGACTTTAAATAATAGATGAGTGAAAAATTGTTTTTTTTTAGTTAATCTAAATTAATTTAGAGAAATAAGGAATGGTTGAAAACTGAGGCACTGTAGTAAAGAAAATTAGCAGGAATTAGCAGATATTACTGAAATAGGGTAGTATTCTCAGTCGGCAATTTAATTAGTAACTAGTAAAACCTTGCTTCGCAATTAACTTCAACGACAAGTACTATGAGAAAGACTCGCAATTAAAAAAAATTTGATATAACGTTTAATCAAGTAAAAACTTTAAAATGTATACAAAAATAAAAAAAACATATTTATTTTTTCTCCGCTAAGAAAAAATTGCACGTGATATTCAACAAAAAATTGTAATTTAGAAAACGTATGGATCTTTTGAGACACCCTATACACACGACAAGGCATGCAGGTATACAAGAGTGAGTCACCCTGCACTTTCTAACCATCATTTTTTCAGTCACGTTCAAGTGAATGCACACCTAAGGATTCGAAACAAAGGAAGACCCTTATGGATCAGATTATCACTCGTTTGTCATCTGTCATGAATTGTAATTCCATAAATAAAAATTTGTTTTTACAATTCATTAATTTTATTTTATTTCGATATATTTTTCCAAGTATTTTTCATATTATAGAAATTAAATTTATCATATTTTATTTTTATTTTATATATTTTATTTTATATTTTATATTTTATTTCATATTCAAGTTTATATATAACAAAAAATATATAAAAAACAATAATATTTTTTTAGCTTTTTATCCTCAACATTATGTTATAGAAAACTGTTATTGATATTCATTTAAAAAAAAAATCATTTAACCAGAATTTAATAACTTAAAAATAAAATTAACTTTTATATATTACAAATTATAAAATACATTAATAGTAAAAAACGTTCTAATTCAGAAAATAGAATGTACAGTTGCATGAATTGATAATCTTAACAAAGTTTAACAAAAATAGATTTGCATCATATATTTATATTGCAAGTGCTTTAAAAATTGTTTAATTAAAAAGTCTAGACTTTTTATTAATATCTTCATAGATATATTAAATGTCCTATTTTTAATTAGATGTTTTAATAAAAAGAAAAATTAGTCTTCCTATAGAATCTTTAAATTTACGAAAAGCCTGTAACACATTTATTAGATAAGTTTGCGTGTGTTACATCGTACGGAACAATGTTTGCTCCGTTATTTGTCTCACACTATTAAAGGTGTGCCATGTTAGCGGTACAAACTTCGCCTCACTTCGTGCATCTCACGGTTCGCTTAACTAATTCACTGCGAACTTTTAGAAGGATAAAGCAAACCAGGTATTCGCCATAAAATATATTTGCTTGTTTGGATTGAGACAATCTTCTACGTAATATTTCGTAGCGCATGTCAGAAAATTTATTCTTACATCTTTTTCGATCAAAATCAATTTAGTAAAGTCAATCGCGCAAAATATATATATATATTTTTTTATATCAATTAATTTACATAAAAAAATAATATACATATATATAATAAACTTCACAATTAATTGTTGATCGCCAGTGATAAAATTTTAATAAATAATAAGATGCAATTTAATTCGACCAAAAACTGGCTATTCATTTATTGAAAATAAGTACACACTACGTTTTGACCCACATTGTGGTTCTTTTCAAGTGTTGTTCTTATTCAGCAATTACATTAATTAAAAATAGAAATATGAAAGTTGTCCTGTCATATCGACAATCTGTTGACGAGACGTGCGTCTATTTTTTAATTAATGTAATTGCTGAATAAGAACAACACTTGAAAAGGACCACAATGTGGGTCGAAACGTAAGTATGTACTTATTTTCAATAAATGAATAGCCAGTTTTTGGTCGAATTAAATTGCATCTTATCATATATATAATAATTTTCAAAATTATAAATGATCAAAAACAAATAAGATGTAACAACCAAAATTTCTTTTAATTTAAATTAAATTCAACAGAATTTTAATAACACAATTTAGATTTTTAAGTGATGTAATGTCACAGAAATAAAAAAAAATGCACTGTTTAATCGAATTGTCATAAAATCAGTTCACGATCTGTCAAAGGATCTATATAAGTGAAGTTTGTTGAGTGGGTCGCGGCATGATTTTTTGACACATTTCAGCTGTTTACGAATATATCCACATCTACTCACTTTCCTTTCACCGGTTCCACGGTGACTCCGTGTTCTTCCTTATTCATGAAATCGAAGAGATCGGCGAGACGTGCGTCTATAAAAACGGGACCATTTACAATCTCTGGTCAGTTTCTGCTCACGCACGAGCGTTCGTCACATCTCCCAAGTACCGCACTACGATATTCGAATCGATTCGATTTCGCGATCGGGCCCAAACTGCACTTTTCCGCACCGATACGTCGTCGTATATCTCCTCCGATGATCGGATATTTCACGTCAAATTGCGAATGTGTATCGTGGCGCGATCAAAATATTGTTTGGCCGAACGCTGTGTCACGTGACTCGACCTTCCCAGTGTGTTGTCGTCCTGTTGTGTTGTGCTGTGTGTCTCATAGATCGTTTTCCTGGGTATGTCCCGTTCCGCTTTCCCCGACGTTGCAATGTGAAAATTTCTCTCTGAAGAACGCGTCGACGGGAGAGTGATGAATCGAAATCGAGAAGCTCGCTTCGCCTCCTTTAGTTGCAGATTTATTGTGCAATAAATTGAATATATCCAATGCAATCCCGAGCAAATAATTTTAAAGTGTCTTTCTAGTACAGTTTACAGAACATGGAATTTCTTCGCGCGCGAGATGTCTTTGAATTTTCCCTCATATCTTTGAAACAAAAATTAAATATTAATTCCATCACAATTTTAAATCATTCAAAATACCTAGAAAATGTCTAGATAATTTGTTTTATAACATAATAACGTTTAATTTTTAGCAATTTTCCAAATAAATCCAATGAAATAATTACTGAATATTCAAGATATAATTAACTGTCTTTTAATTGCTCCACTTGTATTCTTTATGAAAATCGAAACTCTTTAAGAGTCTTGAAAATATATATTAGTCTAATTGGTTCTTGAGGGATCTTTTTACAGAATCAAACATTTCAAGCATTCACTGCACATCCTTCTTCGTTTCGCTCTCCTTTTATTTTTTTTTTTTTTTATTATACGACTGCGTTCCCTCGAAGGATTCGACTCGTGCTTCTCGATAATGGAGCCAGATTTTTATAGAATATATAGAGGCCTTAAAATATAGTCTTTCACTGTCATCCCTTTTCTAAATTTTTCCCTTATTTTCCCATGCATTCATTACAAACTCCGCTCCGAAGATCTTCCACGTGTTTCTTAGCACGACCTTCGATTCTTCACGGGATTGACATTTCTCGCAAGTTTTGTGCTGTCACATCCCTGGAAATGAGAACTCGATATCCGGAGCAAAATCTCACTCTTACCAAGATCGGTTGAATCGGGATCTCTCGCGGGAATTTCTTCTCTCCAGGAATGCACTCGCGATTGACACTTCTCCCGCGAGAATTCCCCGACGTGAGCGAGTTAACGAGAGAGAGAAAGATATCGTCGTCGCTCACTGGCGGCGCGACTCGTCTCGTCTGTCTAGCCGGTCGCCGACTTCCTCGGGTTTGACCGACATCGAATCGCACATATATATATATATATATATATCGATTCTACGAGCGGGAACGACAACGACCCGACAGACAGAGAACAAAGACGGCGACGTCGGGATCCGCGACGCGACAAACGAGCCGCGTGCCAGGACGTTTGTGGCGGCTGCGTCGCGGAAACGTGTATTGGTATTATGGTCGAATGTCGCATTGCAGAGCGACGACGGTGTAGTACGGCATGCACACGACGATGGCCCGTCGCCGCCGCCACGTCGTCCGCATCTGTCACCGTCTGTCCTCGTCGCACCCAAGCGTATATACGAACCCCTTGTTTCTCCCTCTCTGGGGATCTCTTTCTCCAAGAGCCTCCGACCCTCGCATTTCTTCGACGGAACTTCTGTTCTGTCAGTGTCGATATAGGCACCCGGGAAGCCTCCTGCGCGACAGACGGCGAGCGAAGAGGCTCGCATTCGAGATATAAATGTGAAAGAAAGGGATGATTCCCCACATTGTTTGCTTTCCAATATATATATATATATATATATATATATATATATATATCGACGATGAAATTGAAAGAAACTGCGCGACCACGTGTGCGGATTGTAACAATTGTGTCGACTCGAGATTGCATTGGGAACGAGAATTGTTAATTTTGCCGAGCGTTTTGCATCGTTTAGCTTCGATATCGAAAATATTGACGAATTCGATAACTTGGGTTTTTTTTTATCTTTCGTATATAACGCGAATTCGATTAGATTTGCTATTTATTGTATATTGATCTATTGACGTACACGAGTTTGACATAACAATGCACATGCACTTGAGAAGCAGACCGTAAATCCGATCATTGTTTAGCAGAATGTTTGCTCGACACTTCTAGTGGTCAATATATTTGTAAACTGTTTACCAATCTCTTCCTATAGGTATTTAAATACCTAGGTAAAGTTTTATACAATGGTTTTGTTTTTTTACGTATGTTGGTGCATTCAATCGAATTGACATGTAACATGCATAATATATAATCGGGAAATATGCTAATAAATAATATGACGTAAATTAAAAATTATTATGTATGTGTGTGAAATAGGAGGATATTACTTCATTTAACTTCTAATACATTATCTGCTCATTTACTTATAATATATTAATATAATCGCTCAGTATAGCCGTATATTTGAAATGCTAAAAATAATTTTGTAAAGTTCCCTGGGCTTTCATTAATTTTCAAGAGTATTTATAATAAATTTGCCCGTTATTGTTATTTTAATTTATAATAAAGTTTATAATAGTATTTATAAAAAAAATAAATAATATATTTATTGTTTACATATATACATATTTTTTCTACAAGAAACGAAAGAAATTATATACGATTGAATACTTTATATATTAAGCAATTTATAATAAATCGAACAATTTTCAAAACAATTTATAATAATTTAAGATGTGAAATATTCTTTATACATACTTGCAATTAATTAAAATTTTACTATTTGTGTGTATATAATACAAGTCTTTATTATTTATGTTGCTAAAGAAATTTTCTCATGAAAAAGAAGCAATTTAATTTCCAATTACTTATATATAATATTACTCACACAAGGATAATTAAAATATTTTAATAATCTGATCTAACAGTAGTAATCAAGTATTAAAATCAGTCATTACATTCTTTAAGTCGGCACTTTAGCTGAATCAAGAGAAAGTACGATAACTTTTAGAGCGAAAATTTTATAGAAAGTGCAATAACTATAATAATATAATATGATATTATAATGATATTATACTAATAACATTATAATAATATGCATACAATGTAGATTTTGGTGAAATTAATTATATCTCATCGAGATATTCTCTAAATTTTCGACATTGTGTTAAAATAATTTATCTATTCGAATTATTAGCAACTGTGATTGCAAATACTCTCATTACGAAATACATATCTAACTAACAAAAGGAAAAACTCTCTTTTTCTCTTTTAAATTAATTTTGACTTACTAAGAAATAGAACTTCTGTATTAGACGATGGAGAAAACTTTATAGTGCAAATTACATGAAAAATAAATTCTCTTTTAAAAGATTTATTATTGTAAAGCTGCTGAAATATAAAGTGGCATGAAAAATATATTCTCTTTCAAAAGATTTATTATTTATTATTATAAAACTATTATAAAATATAACGATATTAAGATAGTAATTATTATAAAAATTATAAATTATACATTTGTTCTATCCTTTGGAAAAAAAAATATGTAATATTGTTGAAGATAAAAATTTCGCGCCTTTCCATACATGTTAGTCATGTTTGATGATTATATAAAAAATGATATTGTAATTTTTACCATAAATATTTTCTCCATGTGTGTATGTAATCACGTCTCGCACACTAATTCATACACGAACTTGCGTAAATCACAGTGCACACGTACTAACACAGAACACAGAGAGTCCGTTTCACTTCTTATACCGTAGAACACCTGAGAAATCCATCAGCTAAAGAGAGAGATTACGCGAACAGATTCTTTGTAATCTTTGAAACTAAAAGAACATAATTCTTCCCTCACCTCGTTCCTCCCACTTCCATTATGCTCAGATCTCCTTATATTTTTCTTATCGTACGTATTCCTTGGAATTTGGATAACTAGATCTTCTAGATCTGCGGCCGGAGTGCAGGTTGCTCTTTCCGCGTACCTGAACCCGCGGCCGGGCGACCTATCCTTTCGCGCTTCAGTCAGGAGATTGGAGCATCATCCAGAAACAGGTTTCCCTCTTGGAGATCGGTCCTGCTCGCGCAAATCCGTCGCTTTAATGTCCCCGAAAACGATCGGGGAGAGACCCGCTCGATGACTCGACCCACCGATGGAACGAGTTACACACTGCCAGCAGTGTTTATGACACTGCGCGCGGATGATGACACGCGAGAGTACCCACCGAAAGGAAGTCCCTCTCTCTCTCTCTTTCCATCTATCTCTCGCCTTTCTCTCTCGCTCCCTTTGCCTTTTCTCGTCTCCCACGCCAGACTTGCGGAGAATCACCACAGACCGAGAGAAAGAGAGAGGAGGACCATTTTGCGCGCGGTTCACCACTGATTGTCAGATGACACCTGAACTGTCTAGCTAACTAGATACAGAGGAGGAAGTGCAGGCAACGTCGTACTATCGCTCTGCCCTGACTCGTGGCGAATAGTCTGCCTCGACTGCCCTCCAGCACCTGGAACCTAGCGCCTGACGCTGGTTCGTTCGCAGAGTACAATGCCTCCTATATCGGGTGTCCTTCTTTAAAACACCGCCTACCTCCGTGCTCAACTATCCCCTTCAAAACCGACGCGCGAGGCCGCCTCTTTCTCTTTCTTTCTTTCTCCCTCCTCTCTCTTTCTCGCTTTTACGAGGACATTTTCCGCTCTCCTAGCCAGGTAGGAACCAGTGACTCTCATCCCGTCCAGGTAAATCATGCCGATCGGTTTACGATTCAATCCGAGTATATATATAGAGTCGCGAAAAGATTTCGCGCTATGTGATGCGTATTGGATGGAAAGTATGAATAACTTTGGATTTTTATTTTTTAAGCAATTGTTCGTTAACGAGTAAAATCAGAAAAATTAGTATGTTAATGTTGGAAGCCATCTCTCTCTTTCTCTCTTATTAATTTTATGCTTTTTTCAGTTTCTATCTCATTTCCGTATCATAAATGCTAAAATAATGTTTGTGTTAAGAAGTGTGTTAATTCGCATATACATATGTTAATTGTGTCAACTAATTTATGCGCAGAGAGGATTTTCTCTTAGAATTTATCCTATGAAAATCATGGTAATCGTGGGACAATAAAAATATTAGTATCCACCACAGTAAGATATAAAATATGTTCGATTAATTTTACTATATTAATATTTTTTATTGCGGTAAATATTTTAATCAGAGAAACTCTTATATCTAAAATTCTTCCAATACCATATTGTCCCACAATTACCATAATTTTCAGAGTAAATTTTAAGAGAAAAATTCTCTCTGTGTCATTTTTCAGAAGATGTTGCACATAGGAGCAAATCAACTTTCTTAGAGACTTCGCAATAATCCCATTTGTTATTCTAATTTGTTATTTTTTAATAAGAAACCAAATGAGAAGATTGTATGATTGCTTCTCTTCATTCTTTAATTAAAATTGTATGATTCATCAGACAGAATTGTATAAATATGCAAGAAAAATCTGAAATGAACTTTCTATTATGCTCCCGGGACACTTAATGTCTCTCAAGATATATACATATACATGCACTGATCTGTCATCTCAAAACATATGATGCAATCTGGAAACTATAACATTGCTCTCTGCTTGTACACATAATTTAGATATCATCAATTATTTGATTTCTAATTTGTTATACAGGAATCTCTTACAAAGTAATAAATTTTAAAAACACACAAAAAACTTGTGCATGAACATATACGTTTTGTGATAAAATATTTAATTGTAAAGTGACTTGAATTATTGACGGAACCAAAAGGATTGCATCATGAATTTATACCTCAAAAAGTGTGAAACGTTGAAAGAATTTATACATCGCGTTAAAAAGGAATCACATATCGATTGCGCATATTTCTAATATGAAAAAATTAGCGCAGAGTGGTATAAAAAGGCTCGTTAACTTGAAAGCCGGACATGAACCGCAAGTTCAGTCAGCTGGCTGCGTGTTATTGATCCTGCAAGTTGCGCCCTTTGCATAACGAAACATCGTTGTTGAAGTCGACAAAGGCGGCTGTGGCGTGCGCAGTTCCTTGATCAATGTACAATGAATTAATTTTAGTCCAAAGGAATCCGCATACTTCAGTTGCATCTGTGCACATTGTATCTGTTCATGACACGGATCGCAAAGTGATATATAACTTCGATAATTTCAGAGTTTGACTTTGCTTTAGAGATGCAAAGATATATAGCATCTACTATATTGCATTTTCCAAAAATATATTTATTATGTTCAATATAATTAATATACACATTATATATGTACAGTACCCTCCATATAAGTTTGGAAACACCTTACATTTTGCAATTAAATAATCGTATAGCAGCGATCTGTGTAGATTTTTTATATTAATAAATCGTAAAATATTTAAAGGACATTTTTATTTATGACAAATCGCTGCCATGCGATTGTTTAACTGTGAAATGTAAAGTGTTTCCAAACTTGTAAAGGATACTGTATGCAATAAATAACAAATGTTCATTTATAAGATTGTTTTTTGTTATCACGATTAATAATATTTCAAATAATATACTGATAAAAACATTCCATTAAATTTATATTTTGCATGTTACGAATATTTAATTAAAGAATTTCTTTAGAGAATTTTTCTCTTAAATTAAAAGGATCCTTTTGACAGAACTGTGCAGATTTTTTGCATAAATAAATCATAAAATATTTAAATGACATTTTCATTTATAACAGATTGCTGCCATGCAATTCTCCAACTGTAAAATGTAAGGTGTTTCGAAATTATGGAGGGTACTGTATATATTAAATAATGTACATGTATTATATATGCTACTTTCGATCGAAATGCGAAATTCTTTGCACGAAAAATTTATATAATCGAGTCAAAATTAGGCCGATTAATATTGGAGCACTTTATTTCGTGTCCCATTTCGCGTAATGTTCTTTCTATTGTAATAATAACTTCTAAATGCGATGACCTTGGGTTTGCATTTGGCGTATCGAATTTTTACGAGGGCGGCCTCGACGCTTATGGATCATGCTCATAATTCAAGAGGCCAGTGGCGGCAGGTCGGCGGTAGAAAGGTGGCATTTTTATTTAGCAGTGCGACATAACGAGATCGTCTTCCCGCCAGAGGTGGAAAGAAAAACTGGGTAAACAATGACAAGAGAGGGGCAAAACAAATAATAAAAAAAAATATGGAACAACGCCAGCCTTATGCGAAGTCACTTCTCGACGGCAATGTGTGTACGATTTTGACAGAATAATTTGAGAAAATTCACGAGAAAAAACATGACTCGAAACAGCACCTGTCTTTTTCAAGTCAGCATTATATTTTATCACAAAAAGCAACTGTGCCCGCGGACGGCTATGAATAGCGGATAAAAATAAAAAATAAAAAACTGTGCGGAAATGAAATTAATTTTTTAACTCACAATAAATGAACTAGTTTATTTTAATGACGCGATTAATGTAAAATACTTTCTATGTTATCAGTGACTCTGAATATTAAATGTCTTTATATTTTTTTATGTTTGACAAAAAATAAAAACTAATAAAAGAGAAATGTAGTTTAAACTTGAATGACAAATTACAAGATTTTTTATGATATAATTTCATACAATAAATATAAGATTATTAACAACGACATAACACGCGTTTCTGTTACCGCGCTTGGCTCCTAATTAGCTCATTTAATCCTTCTTATTATTGTTTTTTACGAGAGCCTTCAACTGATTTTATAAAAGATTTTTTATTTTTCAAAAATACCGGTTTTATAGAAATAAAAAATTAAATTTTATATTAAAAATTTAATTTAATTTTTTACCGCACAACATAAACCAAAGGAATTGAAATAACTTTAACTGTAAAAAACAATAAATTTACCGTACAATACTAGTTTAAAAAATAATCTCTATTCTTCTTCTTTTCGATATTTTAACCAATTTTATACTCGTTAAAATTTCTCGGTATACAAAATATAATACGGAATATAATATGCAGATATAATATGAAGCGTAAATTCGTCGCATAAAATTTATAATGCAAGATACTTCTATGCGCAGAAATTAATATTTCATCACGTTATTATTGTATTGTATATTAATCTTAGTAAGCGGTGACAATATTCGCGATTTTAAAAGCAGATATAGTCAGATTTAACAATAATTGATCTAAAAATCTAAACTATTCATTGATTTATTCGATATTATCATTTTTGTCAAACATGATGATTATAGAAAAAGTTAAAAGTTGGGATTAATAATTTAAATTGTTCTCCGGTAAAAAATTTTAAGTTAAAAGGATCTTTTATAAAGAGTGAGCTTTACATTACTTTGTCCAACATTGTTTCATGTTGTGAACATACAACCGGAGGCAGATGGCATAATTTCAGTGACATTGAGAAAACAGCCCGACGATCCGTCACCCTTCGCTCCAAGTCCAGCTGCATTTGGATTCGGAGGGTTTGGAGTAGGTAATATTCTGGTGCACGCATGTGGAAGCAAACGAATTTTCTCTTTTTTGATAATAACTTGTCTTTAAAATTACCAAGAAAAATTATTCAGATACGTCAAAAAAGTGTATAAATAATTATTTTATACTTCTATCCTTATAATATTTTTATTATTTTATTCCTTTCTTTTTTCTTCATCTCCTTATATTAAAACTATAAATCATACATATGTGCCATATAATTTGCATATCGATATCCGATCATTCGTTTCCTTCTTATGAAATTTTTATACATTTAGGTATGTATATACATTTTCTTTATACAATATGAGAACAAAACGTCTAAAGTTGCTATTTTAAATATTTATTTTGTTCCTTTCTGTTTGTCATTTCCTTCTGTATTATGCGTACCTACTCTACTTTCATAATTTATTTCGTCAACATTGCATAAAGGCACCGGCTATTCTAAATATATATATTTAACTTCTATTTTCCATTCTTCTTACTCATATCACACATATATATATATTTTTTTTTCCTACATTATCTTCTGGATTTCAAAAATCGCAGAAAATTGTACAGAGTATCTGTGCTATTATCAATAATTGCCTAATTTCTTATTTCTCGCTCATTTACATGGTATTTCCGGTTCAAGAACAAATTATTTGAAAAAGTGTCTATTTCACTCCTTATACACTGTCACTATATTTTCATTAAAAAATCTCCGGTTCTCAAGAAAGCAGATTAGTATAAAAAGTGCCAAAAATTGTACAGAGTATCTATGATACATTATCAATAATTACGCCTTATATCATTTTACATCGTATTTCCGGTTCAAGAAAAAATTATTGAAAAAACCGTCTATTTCACTCTTTATATACATTTGTCACTATAGACTTTCATAAAAAATCTCTAGTTACGGATTAGTATAGAAAGTGTGCCACAACTACCTTTATATTTGCTCCGCGTTTAATTCCCCGTTCCTCTCTTGCGTTGCATCCGTATATATATCCCGACACTTATGCACATGGCATGCGAACTCGTTCGGGCGCAGACGCGCCGACAACGGAGCGGCCGTTGCGCGATCAGCGGCATACACGACTGTGACGGAAACCGGCGCGGCTGAGGAGCACTCGCGCACCGACCGCGACCGCGGTAGCTCTGATCTCTCGTCGCTCTGCTCCGGAACGCTCAAACGCGCGCGCGTGTGTGTGCAGCCTCCGATCGTATTCAGAAGTTTTCCCTCTCCCTCGAGTGTAATCCCGAATCCCCCGAGCTCTCCGAGTGTAATTCAGTATATATGCCCAGGACGAAGGCTGCTTCGTAATTGAAACGCTCGATAAAACTCGATTACTCTCGATACATTTGACGGAAAAATTTATGTAATATACGAGAAATGCATATTTAGTGTGTCATAGTAATTGATTGATTACAACATGATACATATGAGACACGGCTCGTGAAAAAATTACTCGATGCTGGAAGAAATGTTAGTATTGTATTTCGTTGAGAATATCGATGTTTGTGTCACAAGTAGATAAAAATAGCCGAAAGAGAATTGCTTGATGTTGTAGAAAATGTTAATAAAATTATTATTTTTATTTTTTATATCGCGGTCCTGTTATTTTTTAAATGGAGCCAATTACTTTAAGATTGCTTTGAAACATGTCACATGTGCTATGAATATATGTTATTGTCCTTTATTTTAATAAGAGAGAGAGGAAGAGAGGAATGTAGAGAAAATTTCTACAAAATTTCTGACTGTATAAAGTTTAATAGCGCGAGTTGCATGACTAAACAGCACTAATGTATTTAGGAAATCACTCGTGACTTTGCTGTACATGATGTGTGTGTCCAATAGTTTGATTATTGTTTCCTCTAAATATGTCCTATAGTGTTACATATATGTATATATATATAAATATATTATATAGAACATTTATTAATAATATATAACTAAAGTATTAATAATTTTTCCATTAATAATAGATTTTTTGATAAATTATTTATAATATTTAGTTTTGTACATTCGTGTTTCTGTTACGAAACTACATTACATTTAACATCAAAATACAAATAGACTATTATGAAAGAACAAAATCAGTGTTGCACACTGATTTTATTCTTTAACAATAGTCTATTTTGATGTTATTATGCTTGTAAAATGTGTACGAAAAATGTATGTGAGTTTATTTCTCGTTCAAGAATTATATCGAAAAGATTTGTAGCATTTCAATTGGAAGATTAAATTACACGAAATAAAAATTTAATCGTGCGAAATATAACAAATTTATTAACTTAATAATTATTTGTTTAAAATTGAATATAGAAATGATATAAATTATGAAAATATTGGAAGTAATTATGCGCATATTTTTTGCGAGATTTCTGATAGTTAATTTAAATTTTTTTTTCTCTACAATATTCTCATTGATGTAATATGTGTGTCACTACTAATAACTTCTGAGAGAAATAAAATTCAACTCCTATCTCTAAAACTTCATACAATTACACAACTATTGATGGTGACACAATTCTTCCTATCAGGAAAAAATCGAAATAGAAATTCGTGGCAGAGAGCAAGAGAAACGATATAATATGCATAACGGGGCATTCTGTAACAATTTTATTGCGAAAACTCTTTCATACCATCTTTGACGAATGGACTTCCAAACGCTTAGTTACGACGTAACGTGATTCGATTTTGCTTCGGCACATTGTAATCGATTACATTGTAATTGAAGGAAGCCACTTCGATGTGGAAGTACGCGCTCTCTTGTTTGCAAGTTACAAATGCCCCTTCCTAACTTTGGTCTCGCAGCTTTCGCTGTTTATATAGATGTAAGTTACATAAAGGATGAAAGAGCCTGTTCTCTTGTCTTATATCGCTGTTCCTCGGCTGTCCCATTTAAAAAATTCTGGCTCAAGCTTCAAATAACTTCAACAAGACAATAGAGAACTTTGAAAGTTATATAGAAGGAAGCCTATAAAAGATATCTAAAAATTAGGGCATTAAATCAGTATTGAAGAAAACTTCTAAAAAAATCAAACGAATCATCTAAACCTCCTATAAAAAATTACCATGACATATGTGGAGTATTAATTTTATTTGTGTAACATATTTTATAATTTATATATTTTATCTAACAATAAGTCACATATTGAGAAGAAGAGATACGAAATGAAGCATCTGGCGTTCATCATATTTTATACTTTTGTTAATCATACAATCGTAAATATATTTACGCATCCTACAATTGCGTTTAATTTTTACCAAATGCTCATCTTTTTCTCTTTATTGTGATTGTATGTCAGAAAATATTTTTTTCTTTTCGTCCAGACATTTTCTTTTTTTACAACTTATCCGAAATGAGCTACCTGTCAGGTAAAACTTATCAAGAATTTGGAAAAATCGGCCCTTGATCTAGAAATGCTTTTATCATGTCAGAAAATATTTTTTCTTTTCGTCCAGACATTTTCTTTTTTTACAACTTATCTGAAATGGGTCGACAGGTATGCTACCTGTCAGTAAAACTTATCAAGAATTTGGAAAAATCGGCCCTTGGTCTATAGAAATGCTTTTAGCATAAAGTTAAAAAATATTATTTATAAATTACTTAAATTTCGCGAATGTTTAATACTTTAGTTTTGCGAATGTAAAGATATTCAAATATCTTATATATATGCTAGTTATAAATTATCGATCAAATCTTGTAAAACATAAAATGATATTTAAAAATAGTGACGATCTTTACACAAAGTAAAGAAAGATTTTTCCTATGTACAAAATTTCAAGAAAGTTTCAATCAAACTTTTTGAAAAAAGTTCAATCCTTCGCTTGAAGTTGTCCTAAACATATGCTAAACTTATTTCATTGAAATGCAGTTTTCTCCTAGTGTAATATACCTTATAATCAAATTCGGTAACCGCTACTCTCGTTCACGCCGTCAAGACAAGTTTGTCAAATTCACATGAACGTAAAATCGGATTTACTTCGGTTGGCGTAAGTAACTGCGAAACTTTATTAAGGTATTTGTGTTCGGTCTAGCAGTATCGAATAAGTAAATTTTCCGCTCTGCGAATTTTTTCTCATTTCTGTCTGTTATAGTTCTGCAATAATAATACGCGTTTTTATATACGGTACCTTTTCACAAAGCTTGCCTCTACCTTTAAGAATTCCTATGCATGAACGAATAGGACGGAAATCATTGCACAGAGTTCAAAGATTATTACGTTTTTTTCCTAAGAGCAGATATTCAATTTTTAAATGTAATTGAAATTTGCCGCAAGCTTTGCCATCAAAATATACACATTTCCAAGTAAAAAAAGATATATTAAGTTTAACAAAAATTTTTTTAGTTTTTATTGCATATTGCAAGTAATATTATTGTGATTATTAGAATTAAGCAATGATGAAAAAATTATAAAATCTGGAAACTAAAACTTTCAAATTAATAAATTAATCATAATTTAGTAATAAAATAATTCAAGAGGATAGATATAATATAACTATACAAATATCTAATATTCGCGTAAGTCATATTATAAATTCTCATTTATCTTCTCTCTCCTGTTGTTTCTCTCTTGTTTTTCCTCTCACTCAAAAGTTTTCCTGAAAAATATCTAGTGCTTTTGGATATTATTTTTTATTTACTTTGTATATTATTCCACTTATTTACTTTGTATACTATTCCACTTATTTACTTTGTATATTATTCACTTTGTTTTTCTAAATAATTTTAAAGTCTTTGTCGTATTTTATATCATATCGAGCAATGTTTTGTTAAAACACGCAAGTATATGTTCCTTTTATTGATAAAACGTTCTGGAAAAGCAAACGTGATGGATGAATAGATGATGTATGTCCCGACAAATGTGTATTCCGAACTAACAACGCGAACATCAAGATGGAACGAAAATGTCGAGATATGTACACGATGAAGATTCATTCGCTCCGTATTTATTCGACAACCTCGATATTATCGGCGATAAGAAAATTCTGTCATAGACGAAGCTTGGCTTATCTAATGAAAAATTTCGTTTTATTCGAAGGCTGCGGAAAAGCTTTTTACGAATTTTCACGAGCACTCTAAATTCTAAATGTTAATGTGTTTCGTTTTCAAAATAAGAATCCTCTTTTCAGCAGCAAGCTTTAATCGCTGCTGTTGCAGTCAAACTTAATTGACGTTAACGATTTTTCGATATCCATCAGGCATATAATCGTTACCCCATTTTTCCACAATCTAGATTATTTTTTTTGCAGTAAAACTACACAGTCTTTGAAAATGGCGAGGTTACGGATATTAAATAATAATATTTTGTTAATGGCTTTTAACTCTGAAATCACCAAGAAGCAAAATTTAATTATACTACTATATATTATATCACATATATTACTCATACTTATTATATCGAGATTATATTTATTTAACAATAAGTCAAAGCACTTTTCTCTCTCTTTTTTATCCCTTCTTTACGCTTTTTTTACAAAAAAAATAAATAAATGCGATAATACTTTATAATTCCGAAAGCCTATTTTATGGTTTCATAGCGACTCTTTATCTAGTGATAGGTTGTGATAAGGAGGTTACTTCAAAAGACATAGCATACGTGAGTGGCCCTGCACGCGGCAAGTAGTGACACGCGCTGACACCCACACGCGGCATCGTACATGACACCTCGAAAAGCGACATGGTGTAGTGACGTGAGATGCATCAAGTTTCCCACATATCCGATATCTCTCTAATGATAAATTCAATATCGTCACACTAAATTTGACATGCTCATCGCACACAAATACATATGTATACATATATATATATATATATATATATATATTTCCCCTATGAAATCTCTGACAAATTTGACTCGTCTTTCGTCTAGAAATATTTTACCATTTTCTCACATATAGTCCAATATATTCAAAAGTCTTCTTTACATCACAAATTCTATCTAGATTTAATTAATACGAATTTATATTATAATTATCTGTATATATATATATATCATAATTACACGATGTTAATTATTTGCGTCGCTCTTTATGAAGTTTCAAAATAGATGCGATGAAGCTTCTTCAAAATTTCATTAACGCAATTTATAACAGATGCATTAAATGTTGAAATTTACATCTGCGATAGATCTCGTTGTTCATTATTGACCAATATTATCAATTAAAATAATCGTTTATTCAACCGTATCGAAGATTAATGAAGCGCGTTTCGACTATATAAATTGAATTAAAAGCGAAGATCCATATAATCTCGCATATACATTTAACCGAAATACATATATATATACAACAATATACGGATGTATGTGCGCGCGGAAACCTCTATTCGATCTGCAATTCGAGTGGCAGCAATGCATCAGCCGTCATATTTGCTGCGCCCGCACTGATTAATCAACGCCATTAATTGGTGCTGATGCTGCGCGCCTCCGCTCGGCAGTAATGTAGATCGCGCATAGAGAGCATAGAATTCCGCCGATTAATACAATGTCATGTGGAAAAGTCCGTTACCTTGTTGACAGAGAGAAACGAACGATTGTTCCTGTTTAATCGCTCGAGCATGCTCCAAAATTCATTCAACATTCATTTAAAAAATTGCTCTCTCTTTCCCTCTCTCTTTATTGTTGTTTGACGAGTTTTAACACTTTAAAACGCAAGCCCCAAAATGTTGTGTTACGTATATCGCTTTTTATGTTATTTCAATAACTCACATTTTTCATTATGTGTCTGTATGTAAAAATGTACATGTTTTTGTCTGCATCTATTTTTGAAATTGACGTACAAAAAACGCATTATTGATTGTACTGCAATTACAATTAAGTATATGTAAATAAGAGAAAATCTAACTTTTTATATTAATTTTTAAATACATTTTGTATATATATCACGGAGAGAATCTTCTCTTATAATTTACTCTGAAAATCATAGTAATCGTAGGACAATATAGTAGAATTGCAAGAATTTTATAAAAATTTCTCTGATTAATATATTTACTATAAAAAATATTAATACGTACATAGTAAAATTAATCAAACATATTTTATATTTTATTGTGGTAGATATTAATATTTTTATTGTGATAAATATTAATTAATCAGAGAAACTCATAAAATTCTCCCAATATCGTATATTATCCCACAATTATCATAATTTTCAGGGTAAATTCTAAGAAAAAATTGTATCTGTATATATATATGCATAATAAAATTTTAATTTGAAAATTGTTCCTCTTTTATAGCACAGCACATTTTATTACAATAATAAAAAAATTCAATAATTAATAAGTAAAATATAAGAAGGTCAACTAATATTTGAACATCAAATTTTGCTTGTTTTAGTTGGTCTTCTTATATATTCTACTTATTAATTATTGATTTTACAGGAGCCTACAGGAAAAAATTCAAATTTAAGAAACTATTCACTTTCCTACATATATTCAGTCTTAAGCAAGAGTTTTGCCTTCCCAATTTGACGATACGTCGTATCATTCATCGGATACGACAGAATTGCTTCGACCTAACCCGAAATCAATTAACGCGCAACGAAGGAGTAATCACGAGGAACATATACTATTATAAAGTGATCAATCAAGCCATTCATGTCGTAAGCAAGATTCAGCACGGCGACGCGTCGCGAGAGCAAGTCCGCCGCGTTGCCGTCCAAAGGCTCATCAGCGATCGTCCGTAATTATTCCGCACGTTAGCTCTTAATTAAGCCGCTCAAATCGACGGCGGACCGCTACTAATTAACGCCACATCGGGGAAAGAGCCTCACGTCATCAGTTGACGGATTTAACGAGAAGCCATTTGGCGCGCGTGACGAGCAGCATCTCTCCCTTTTTCTCCTTCATAAGAAGAAAGGATGACACTCGTTGTTCGATAAAAAAAAAAAAAGTCACGCGACGAGGCGTCGCGGCGCCGTGACAATGTGGAAATATGAGACTTTCTACGCCGTCGCATCCCGGCGTCGTCTTCGTCGTTTTTGTCGATATCGCACTCGTACCGATGCAGTTTACACCGGTCGCCGATGTACACATCCGACGTCTATTGAGGAAAAATGGGTGCCAATCAATCGAACCGAAGTGATCCCATCCCCGGAGAAGAAGGTAAACCGTCCATCTATATCTTTACAAGAAGAACGGCGCTTTCTTTCTTTGTCTCGCGGACACGTCACACGCGCGATAATTGGAAATGTTGTAAATTGACTGACTCTTCAGATACATTGACGTCGCGAGTTTGATATTTATAAAGAGAATGGATATCTCTTTTGAGTTTCAGCACGATCGATGAAAGATAATTGGCCCTCACTGTTCTTTTAATATCTTAATAATTTCTCTCATTATTTTATTTTCTCTATTTTCTTTTCATTATAGGTATCAATATAAAATTTTAATGAGATTTATAATTGAGCTCTTGCTATACAGTAATCAGTTTATATAAATATTATATAATATAATTAATAGCGAGCTAATTTTCAATATTAAAGCTGTAACAATATGTACATCTAAAATAATTCAGATCAGAAGCTGCGTGGATTGAAAGAATTAACAATGTTATATGACAAAAATTAGAGAAAAAAGTACATCAAATACTTCCATAATTTAAAATTTTTGACGAAAGATTTTAAAATTATTATATTATCAAAGTATTTATTTATCTCCTTTGTTAGGATACGAAAAGATATTAATTGAAATGAATTGTAAATTATTATGATGAAATTGAAATGAATTATTTTATAGCACTCCGCTCTATATATAATTTATATAATTTGAATTCTCGCTCTCGAGTAAAATACGCATCGTGAATCTTGTAAAGTTTCACGAGCGAGATCATCTATTCTATCGTGTTCATATCTCGCTGCAGCTGCAGTTGCAACTGCAGCTAAGCGACGTCTTTCCGATATAGTGGGACATCACGTAGAGCTTTTAGCCTCCGGTTCGATTACAAAATAATAAGTTATTGCGGGACTATTAATAAATTGTTTCTATCGGTTGTGTATCGGCAATCTTATGGGTATTCAATTTAACTGAGAAAACTCCAATTCAATTTCATTATAATTGAATTCCTCTGGAAAACACCATTTTTCTTCTTCTTCAATTCTATTTCTTTGCACAAATTTTCTTTCACTTCTTGCAATATATTAGAAACGCGAATTTTCGTTCTTTAAGAAAGACTTCTTTCTTTTATGCAAGTTGGAAAACTTTCAAAATGATTAATTCTATACATATTTTTAATAATAAAATTATGAAGTGTCATTTATACAAAAAAAATCGATAATTTTCTTCAAAACGTTATTATTATTCCTATACAGTCTTTTTTATTTTATTTTATAAATATGAAAAAAATTAATACCAAATTACTTCAACCATAATTAACTTTACAAGAGAACGTGACTTATATATGAGAATTGAGTTTAAAGAAAATCAAACTCAAAATTTCCATGTTATTGATGGAGGTCATCGATTACGTAGGTAGACTACTTCGGATTAGAACTGCGTGCAATATAAACTATGTATACATCTGCATATATCTTGCTCGCTATCAAATTCCTGCCTCGAGAGATTCGTAATTTACATCAATCCTATATCCGAGTGAAGTTTCAGAGATTTTTGATAACAAATATTATATTCATAAAAGAAATAACTGATGAATTAAAAGTTAATTAATTAAAAGCTACATGAAAAAAAGCAGAAAACTCAATATTAATGCAGTTTGAAAATTATCTCATTAATTTACGTCAACACTAGAGAGTTAATCTCGATTAGCGTCAAATTTAACACACACAAAAACGAACGTTGAAAAGCTTGTAATATGCTTCACCGTACGCGGTTCATTTTAATCGCACTCTATCAACGGAGAATTAATGCGTTATTCGTTTACCGTTAAATATGTATGTCACTTCGCCTAATTAAATTACATTTCTATTGCAGTCAACTTCGATCATTTTCAAATTTTACGCGCTATTGGAAAAGGCAGCTTCGGAAAGGTAAGGTCATTTCGCAGTCAAATTATGATAGAATGATAAATAAATATTGTTACAATCAAATTGCGCGGTTTTAACAGTTTCTTGTTTGTGGATTCGACGAGCATGTAATAATGCATTTCAAATTACTCACTGGAGTTTCCGAGACGATGTGAATCTTATTTGAATTAATTTTAATTCGATGTTGCTCTTATATATGTGTATAACGGTAGCATGCAGTTTCCGATGCAACACTAAGAATTCTCGAATACATGTATGCAAATTGAATCATCTTGTAATTTGTAATAGACCTGTTGAGTCTCATTCTCGAGAAAAAAATTGGATTTCGCGAAAATATCCTATACGAGACTTTTATTTACGTAATATTAATAATATTTTAAATAGAATCAACTATATAATTCATTATGCAAATATTAATACATGGCGAGGTGCAAAGAACGCGTGAATACATATGTATATTATATGAAGAATGCTGACCTGACATATCGAGCGCACCGTTTCATAATATAGAATGCAACGCAAATTGTATTTATATCGCTATAAAATCGTTACTCTTCTAGTCGTAAAAAGTGCATTCGTTAGCTCTTTTATATTTATGGACCTCTGTAAAAATTTCAAAACCTGTTTCCTTACTTTTATAGCTGGGGCAAATATGCGACGTTCTCACATTTCTTAAAAAAGTGCTAAACTGAATAAAACTTTTATGACAGACTGTCAGCCATTTACAGTTCAAAAGATTTTAATTACTTATATTCCTTATAAATTTATTTTAGAAAGACTTATGCGAAAAAGATTTTAAAATAATTATATAAAGTAAATGCCAATACTTTCGATATTTACTTTATCTATGTATATACTTTTATATGTACTGCCATTAATTATTGAATATCAATACTTTAACTTAAGGCAAATTATTTCGAAGAATAAATAAATTTAAAAAGTTTTACTCTTTTATACTGCATTTTATGAAGAAAACTTAAATATATTTCTTGATATCAAAACACTGATTTAACTATACTCGAGCTGTTTTAGCGCGGAAAGAACGTGAAACTCAATTTCTTCTAACAGGTCTGTATCGTACAAAAACGCGACACCACCGGTAATATGTACGCCATGAAGTACGTACATAAAAACGAATGCGCAGAACGGGGTGCCCTGAAGAACGTGGCGAGGGAGGTAGAGATCCTATCGAAGCTAGAACATCCTTGCCTAGTGAATTTATGGTTCAGCTTCCAAGGTAAATTTTTTCAAGATATTAATCACTCGAATTTTTCTACATTTTATAAGAAACGTAAAAATGTACAGAGATAAAAAAAATTAATTTTTGTAAATCTTCCTTTAATTCTAGCATTAACAAAATTCTTGATCATATGCATTGCTATTCTTTTCTCATTTTTGTTGTTAAACTCAATATAATAATTCCTAGCAATCTGCTTAAATATCACTGAAAAAATTTGTTTACTCGATTAAACCTTTGAACTGAATATTATTTTATTAATTAAACGTATAAACATTTTTTAATTAAATATAACATATTAAATCTAACCAAATGTACATTTGACTTAAATATTAATATATGTTCAATTAACAAAATGGAAATTAAGTTGGTAGGTTTAGTTAACAAATTTGTTTTTAGATTAATCTTGACAGTAAACTTTTTTAAGGCAGCAACGTACCATATATATAAATGCAAAATACATCAGCATTATTATCACAAAAAAATCATGAATGTTTTTTTTTTTCGAATTTAAATCGACGAACGTGCATTAAGTGATTAGTTTTATCTCACAAAAGCACATAAGGCATATATTTTATTGAAAGAAGTTGAGTTCTATCAACGTCGAAAATACGAATGCAAATATTTATATAAAAACGAGCAATGCAAAACTTCATCTACACTTGCCACGAAGGTTTTAATGAGAATGCGTTCTATTACAGAGTCGAATTATTAAATCTCTCAGACGAAGCAAAACACGATTTTTATATATATAAAAAAAAACGATGTAATATCAAATTCTTTTGTTTTGATGTTGGATATTTTACTGCAAAATAATTCAGACTGAATGACAGAAAAGTTACAACGAAAAATATTATTACAAATCTTTTACAAATAACGATTGTATTAATTAAGTTAATGGCAACTCGTCGAAAATATTAAATCAATATCAAGAGAAAAATATCAGTTTTTCATTGAAAATATTTAAAATATTCTAAACATATTAATCATCTCTCGACATTGCTTGACAATAACTATTCTGTTCATCAATAATTATTATGTGACCACGCAATTTATTAGAATGTTTACTGTATGCGTAGATATTAATATATACGATAATTAGCAGATTAATAATCTGCAGTAGATAATATTTTCCGTTATTTTCCCGTACGTAAATAATATAAATTATTTAATAAGAATTAATTTGTCAGCTATATTGATTAATAATATTATACGTATAATATTATTATATAATATTATACATATTATACAATATTATTATATGTACAATATTATACATATGAACCAATAAAATAAATTATTAAATTCGCATTTGTGCATGTACGTACCGTCTCTTAAATATTTGTAATAAAGACCATGTATGTGGAATTTATAGCGCATTTAAAATGATAGCTCACATATGACGCGAACCAGCGTGGCTGTATTTGATTGCACTAAGTCAATATTGATCGATCAATCGTTCGATAACGTTCCATAATTTCGCTTTCATCTTTCGAATATCGTATCGGAAATGATTATTGGCATGCACTTGTGACATGCAAAAATCACCAATGCCATATCTCTAATAGCAGAACACATCCGAAAAATATTCAGAGGATATCCGAAGGACATTCGAACATCCTCAGAATGTTTTCTGAACGTCTTCAGGATATGTGTGCTGTTAGGGATGCATTGCATAAAAAAAAAAGATTGCACGTATATATTATATTATCGCGTTATAGATGAAGAGGATCTCTTCATGGTATCGGACTTACTTTTGGGCGGCGATCTGAGATACCATATCCAGCAGGAGATTGTGTTCAGCGAGGAAAGCGTCGTGCTGTTCGTGGCCGAAATCGCGTTGGCCCTCGACTATCTGCAGAATCACAGGATTATCCACCGGGACATCAAACCGGATAATATACTGCTTGATGAGGAGGGTGAGTACCTACGTTTTCTTGATAACCGTGAATTGTAATCTCTTGAACTCTTACCTTTCGCCCACACCGTGTAAAATAACGTAGATAAGGTTAATTAATCTTGCCCTGAGGGAACGTATTTCGTAAGTGCGATTATTTCCTGAAAGCTTCTCTTCTTGCTCTGCACTTCGAAAACAATGAGAGACAGACTTGGCCATGTCATAACGCCTACTATCAGATTACGTATATACAGCACGCACATACACAAAATGCGTTAACTTGATGTAATTAAATATTTTCCACTTTTATAAATTTACATCGATTTAATCTAGAAATTGAATCCGCAAATTGTTAATTATTTAATATATGAACACTTTCTATATATGCATTTGCATTTATATAACCGGTAATGATATTTCAGAAACTAAAATTTAATGATTTTGTGGGAAATTAATTTTGATTTAATTATAGTAAATCAATATGTTGTAAATTCTATTAAATTGAAGCTGCATATAAAGTATAACTTCTTATAAATTCCATAGGATAAAAATAATGCATATATATGTGTAAAATTAAAAAGTACTCTTTCTCTCAGTAAATAATTCAATCGACATTTTCACTGCTATTTCGATTGATAACTTTAATCACAATCATCCGAATCTGAGTTTCATTTGTCACAATGCAAACACGAAATGAGAATCGATTAACTATACCAATACACATTTAGCGACAAATGTGATCCACGTGATGAGTATACACAAAGCTTTGAATCCGATCATGTTAGTCCTCATGCGCGTGTGCGCGTTTATGTTCACGTTAATTAAACAAAAAGAATAGAAATAAAATGGTCGACATACAGTTTCGCCAGAAAAGAAGATAAAATTATTCCTATAAACATATGTATGTCGCGAACGAGGTATAAAATGTATTAAAATTGAAAATGGAATTCCTGAAATATTATTATATATATTTTTAAATTGTGCTTTTAAATTGTATGATACATTAAAAAATAATGTAGAAATATTATTTTTAAATATAATAAAAATAAATTTTTAAAATTATTATGATTAGAAACTTATTTTTAAAATATTATATTTAAAAATTTATTTTTACTACATTTAAAAATAATAATTATATTTAAAAATCACTATGATTAGAAACTTATTATCTTCTTTAAATTATGTATGTCGCGAACGAGGTATAAAATGTATTAAAATTGAAAATGGAATTCCTGAAATATTATTATATACATTTTTAAATTGTGCTTTTAAATTGTATGATACATTAAAAAATAATGTAAAAATATTATTTTTAAATATAATAAAAATAAATTTTTAAATATAACATTTTTAAAATCACTATGATTAGGAACTTATTTTTAAAATATTATATTTAAAAATTTATTTTTACTACATTTAAAAATAATAATTATATTTAAAAATCACTGTGATTAGAAACTTATTATCTTTTTAAATTACATTTACCCGATATTTATTATATATTATTCAGCCGGCACTTTTACATATCTCAAAAAATGATTCAGAATCGAACATAAATAATCGCACAGCGCCTTTTTGAGAGTTATTCTGTATTGTGAAAGCTCTGCAGATCAAACGAGTTTATATTATAAATCGAAACAGTTGGCATTTAAAGCCACAATCAAGCTCTCGCGCAGTTATGTACCTTCGTTTGCATATCAAGCGCCTGATTCCAGTTCGTCTGGTTTCAATATTGCCGCCACCATAGACAAGCATATTAATCGCCTGAGATTTAGTTATTCCATAGTACGAGCGCAAGATTGAAACACCGAATTATCGTTTGACAAGTAAATTTCGCACGACAGATGAGAGATCGTGCCTGTACGTATTAGCGAGTTCGCAGCAGGGCTGCTGCTGGAAACTATCAACAGAATTTATTGGAATTAATTATCTACTGTACTTGTGCTATTCATTCGCATCCCTTTCCCTTCGAGTCTCATAGGATTAATATATTCTACTGAATATGGATTTAGCAAATTATGGAAATACGTGGCATCATGGCGTATGAGGTGCGGAAATTACCTACAAGGAATATACATAGTATGAGAACTAATTATATATGTATATACATATGCATACATGAAGTCACTAATGACAAACTAAAATCCTTTGATTAAATCCTGAGCATAATTTAATATATCGATTAAGGATTTTCTGCGCGTTACTTAAGCATGGAAGGTTTTAATTGTAAATATAAAGTAATACTTTTCAAAAAATATATGTAGAAAATTGACATCCTAAAGTCAATCAATACTAAAATCCTTTGCTTAAATCCTGAGCATAATTTAATATATCAATAAAGGATTTTCTGCGCGTTACTTAAGTATGGAAGGTATTAATTGTAAATATAAAATAGTACTTGTCAAAAAATATATGTAGAAAATTGACATCTTAAAGTCAATCAATATGACATGTCAATCAATATTTATATATTATAGAATCTTTAAAATTCTAACGCGATTTTTAACCAGGTCAACACTTCACAGAATTTATGAAGAATAATCCAAAGTAAGGAAAGATCTCTTATTATTTATTAATACTAGATACTCTCTCTTTCTTTAATATTTTGGCATATTTCCAATATTTTGCCTATTTCTCGAAAAGCCTCAAAGTAAAATATAACGTCTCCTTTTCGTTTGTCCGAAAATGTTATTTCTTATTCTCTATTCTCAATCTAAAATTTCTCGATAACGTTTATACACTTTTCTGATGATAAAAATACTAACAATAAATTGATTTATCGTCGAAATATTAAAGACAAGGCAAAAAATTTTAATGAAGGACAAACTGAGTGAATCTTGGAAGCGCAATATTAAATAATAGATGCCGGCTTTTCGAGATCTTCGACTATTGAATATGCATAAAATATGGCTGCATTTATCAGCCGAGCGAAATGAGAAAAATAATGCAAACAAACAAACAAAACAATGGTAAAATGGATTATTGTGATTAACTGTATTCACATAAATTAGACATGTTCCGAATTCGTGAAAAATCTATTAGCATAAACATCACGAAATAATATTATTCAATTGCGTTTTTGGCGAGATTAATTTATTGATTTTCCGAAAATTTACCTCGAGACAATGATGCCGAATAAAATGCGTGAATAGAATACCTTTAACGTCGACACAAAATTACAAGGGAGAGGTAAAGATAAAAAGAGGGTGGCAAAACTAGGGTGTATACTCAAATCTTAGAATCTTAGAAGCAAGTAAATCTTACTTTTCTTCAAAATTCCAGGTAAAATTAAAGTATTTTAAATAATATTTAGAATACAATTTTGAAATAAGTTTAATTTTTTAACATAAATAAAGTATTTTTTTCATATAATAATGTAATATAGTATTATATTACAATAAAATATATTTTAATACATACATTATAATAAAACTAATAAATTTTATATTCTTTAACACTATACTTTAAAATCAAAGGGGCATTTTTTTTTGTAATTCCTTAAATTCAAATCAAATTCCGTAGATAATTCCAGGATTTTTCAAGGTAGAACAAAATTCCATGAAAATTCCAGGTTTTTCCAGAGAGTATACACCCTATAAAAGAAAGGGTCGTGCGTTCACGTCGAAGATCTCGCTCCTCTCGAAGGTCGGATCCGCTTTAATAGAAAGATAGACTTGGGGAAGTGACGAGAGTATTTTGTAGGAAACGTTTCGGAGACGCGAAAAGCAAGTACGTGCATTTACGATCCTGAAGGGAAATGGGAGGGCGAGAGAGGGAAGGAAGGAGACTATCCTAATTTCCTCCTGCACCTGGCCTACGGCTGTTTGAATCTCGAGATTGCCTCTGCATCATTTAAAATTACGCACCGGTGTCTCGCTCGTATCATTTCGCTTTCGTGTTTCATCTAGCGTGACATAAGACCTATTTTGTCGAGATATTGTAGGGAAGTTGGCGAAACTAAGCATTACTTTATAAATTCTAAAAGCTAAATATAGTGCGAGGCGGTGTGCGTTCTAGTGTATCAAAAATAGTTCTCAATCGTTCGATTTATTCTATGCAGGAAGAGAAGTCAACTTCGACAATTGATCGAAACTCTTTTTATATAGATTGAAGTTACTTTTCCTAAAAATAGGATCTCAAGAGACTACGTTTCAATGATTTATTGTGCAACAGTTTGGAAATTCTTTTTTAAATCCCTTAATAATTCTTCTAGTCACTATTTTTGTAATGCTTAATAACTAAGAATACTTTATTATCCTATGTCTTCTTCAATTGTAATTATTTAAACCAAATTGTTTTCGTAATAATTTTCAACATTAATTTTTTTAATGTCTTCTTTAATATAAATTTTATTATTATATCATTAAAAAATCATTATAATTATTGATAAATATAAGACTAAAAAAATTAATAGCAGTAATTTAATATAATATGCTAGAGAATGAAACATTAAGTATTTCAGGAAGCTATAGCTAGTTCGATCTGTAGTTTAATAATTTATGCGGAAGAGGGATCTATATATGTTGGGGAAAACTTCCGAGAGAACCGTTTAGAACTACTTTCATTAAAATCTAAAACGTGACTACAATGGAGAACGGCATAAAATCGCGATACGATACTACTATCTCTATTTCTTCCTTCCGGTAATATTACATTCCAGATCCGCATTGTAGTAGTTGGAATTTATTTCGTTAATTTTGCCTACACGCGGCTTCACGTACACTCGAGATTATGCAAAGGATTAGTACGGAGAAGTAATTAAGCAGACTGAAGCCATCAAATATTTCGTGAGCTGGAATGAAATTAAGAATCTCAAAGGAGCGCCTAATTCATTTCGCAGAGTCTACAAGCCATAAAATTTCGCGAAATTATAACGGATGTTTCCTATCAATTATACATCTATAGAAACGTTATATGTATGCATATACATATATTATAATGAATAATATAGAAATAAAATGGAGGCTGCAGAAATAAAAAAGAAATCTCTCAAGTGACATTTCTCTCTTATTTCTCTCTTTCTACAGACAATTTTATTTCTGCTGTCGATACCCAGACCTGATTCTAGTGAACCAATAATTTTCGATTACTCCCATTCAGTAGGAAATTGTTATCGTCAAGAACTGCTTTTAAAAGCGACTCTGAAATAGACATTTAATCTTTTCGAGAGAGAAAGAGAGTAAATGTTAATATAATTATTAATTCAAACGATTCCTCTGCTTTTATAAAGTTTTACGTAAAATACATACATTTTTTAGAATAAAAATCTCTTTTGCTTCTTTGTCATAAATCAAAGTGTAAAATTAAATCAAAATCTATAGCATAGCTTATTATTCTTTTATAGATTGACGGGCGAGATATAACTAACAATAAGTTTACTAACAAAGTGATAAATGACACTTTCGATAGAAGCGCGAGCATCTGGTCGCGTTTCCGCAGATCGTCAATTTTTATTTTGCACGGTATTTATAAAAATGGAGGACAATTTTTCTTGATATGTGCAAATTATCCACGTGTGCCTGGTATACTAAAGCACAAAACCTGACTACAATGGAGGGATTGTGTGATATTGCGTTGACGTAATGTGTAGCGGCGTATGTTGGTGTTCATTCTCTTTAGTTTACATCACAGCTTGATCCACATTGCGGTCGCTGCGATGTTTAGAAAATGGCAACGGATAAATATTGCGAGAGCAGAGCGTGGCATACGCGAAAGAGCCGCGTTGGAAAACCAATATCGCGTTTCTCTCTGCTTGTGTGGCACATAGGTGTGTGCGTATGTATACCTCTTAATATAGTCCTCTGATGAGCCATAGGTACAACTGTAATGTAGTTAGGGTTCATTAGGCGTTTATCTCACAAGAAATGTGGCTCTAAAGATCGCGATAACACATGTGCATATACTATTTGCACACGCGTGGTATATATATATATATATATATATATATATATATATATATATATAATTTCCATTATTATCTGTATCTTTTTATAATCCCCCTTGCAAAGGCTAAACCCTAGAAAATAAATTTTACGCAGATGTTGCCTCGCTCTCTATCAATTTTTAACACAAATAAATCTCTCAGATTGCAGTAAATATATTTGTGCAGCACGCGGGTTAAATTTTACAATTATTTAATATTCATGCACACGTGCGTAATACTTCTACAATAGATTGCATAAAAATTTGTTATTACTTAATAATTAACATATACGTATATATATATGTCCTTTTCTCTCGTTATATAAGCTTTTATTTATAAAAAATATAAAGCTATTTATATAATACTGAGATTTGTATTATGGATTCGATTATATATAGGTATATGAAACTTGTTATAATCTAAAATTAATTAGCGTATGTAGTCATTAAATGCTGCCACGTGTTTCCGAGGAATATTCTAGAGCAAGTAAATAATTCACTTGTGTTTAGTCATTAACTTAATGACTATTTAGATGATAAACTAAAGCATAGTTTACTTATTGTTTAGGTCACGCTCATGTAACAGATTTTAACATCGCAACTGTACTCGAAGACGGGCAATTGGCAACTTCGATGTCCGGAACAAAGCCGTATATAGGTATGTTTACAGTTTATTATCATTTATATATATATATGTATAATCAAATTTCTACCCCCACATTAATTCTTCCTGTTAAATATAAATTTGTTACTCGTTAAAAACATTTTACTGTATAAAAAGAATCAAAGAAAAACACAGAAAAAAGTTTCTGTGTAATTAATTTTTGCAATGTTTTCCACAACACGTGTAAATATATCTTTATCGCAAATAAAATATCGTGTAATGGTATAAGTGAGATTTGTAATTGAAAAAAATGTTTCGAGAAACGCGCGATATCTATTTATTCTATTGTATATTTATATATATCAATCAAAACGCGATCAGCATATTTTTCTTTCTTGCATTTCTTCTTTTTAACGCGGATTTGCATCAGCCCCGGAAATTTACATGTGTTCGTGCGAGGAATACGGTGTCCTCGGCTATGGATTCGCTGTGGATTGGTGGAGTCTGGGAATCCTCGCTTGGGAGACTCTGGCCATGGAAAGACCGTATCCACTTCACTCCACGACGTCTAACAGGGAGGCTTTGAGAATCTTGCAGGTGAGAGAATCGCGCGAGCTTAGAGCAATGAAAAAAATTGCGCAAAAGAGAGAAACGAGATGGAAATATAATAAAAGAAATATAAATGTGGATATCTCTCTGCGATACAAAAAGTAAAAATAAATGTTCTTTATAATGCGCTATCATTGTATTCTCATATCTACATTTTTGAAGAGCTAAAGGGCAAAATATTTCAACTCTATCAAATTTCTGAAATAATATGTATAAACGTTGTTCTATTAATTAAGGACGCGTCACGTCACGAGGACTTATCATAAACGTGGTATTGACACATGTCATACGATATGCTATATAGCGCCTTATAGTTCTACCAAAAGGCATCCTTGACGTCCGTTCGCGTAATATCGCAGAGTTTACGACGATATAATTCTTACTTGAATTTTTCTTCCTTTAAAAATCGATCTGTTTATCTCCCACCCACGTATTTAAACAAGCGATGCGCGCGCGACAAGCTAGCACGAGACGAATATTCCCGCTTTTTCAGGATGAAAGGTCGATCCCATCGCACTGGAGCCCCTCGATATGCGATCTCCTGGACCGTTTATTAACTCTGGCCCCGAACGCCCGAGTGTCGAGTTTAAAGGAACTGAAGCAAGCGAGCGCGATGAGAGAGTTGGATTTCGACAAAGTGTTGAATAAGCAGATAAAGCCGCGTTTCACACCGCCGAAGGATCACTTAAATTGCGACCCCACTTTCGAGCTCGAGGAAATGATAATCGAAACGAAGCCGTTGCACAAGAAGAAGAAACGTCTGGCTAAACAAAGGTCAACAAAATTATGCATCTCTTATATTTCTCTCTTCTTTTTACGACGATATATAATGGCATATCTATTCCGATTCTCTCTCTTGATATATCCTTCTCTCCACATATTCCTAAGATAATACCGCCTATTATACCGAAGCAATGTATCTTGATGTCCCGTTATAGATCGTTAAGAGTCGAGTACTCGGTGGAGGATCCCAGCGGTTTCGCCGAAGGCGCTGGATCGAGCTTAGACACGCGAAGATTAGCTTATATCCCGGAATATCGAGTTTATAATCGCGAACGCGAGATCGAGAGACTGGAGAGAGAAAGGAAGGAGAGACAATGGGAAGAAGAACTGAACACTGCCATGAAAGGTGCCGAAGAAAGACTCAAGTACGTTCGAGTATATCTCTCCCACGAGGGTGTATCGCGATATCGATGATTATCGGCATTAATATACCCTATTTTTTTTAATATTCGACCATTTTTTATTTTACGTTGATCGGTAATTTTTTATTAATCGTGCTCGTGCGGTCGAAACGTTTATAGAATGATTGTAATTTGCGTTAGTAATGACCATGTAATAAATGGTAGTTGACTGAACATCTCGAATATTCAGCTCGATAAGTTGGTCACTTTGATTTTTTATTTTGTTTTACCGTGCAGCGGAAATTGTAAAAATTGTCAATATTCCTCCGATATTTAGTCCGATTCGTGTGATTATTCATGCTTTTCCTCGTGATCTTGTAGCGGATTCTGAATGTCATCGTGTACACATACATTAATCCCCGATACGATATCTTAACGCTTGCGTGAGATATCTATGTCGTAAAACCCTTGATTACAGAATAAAGCAGCAACATCTGCCGGCCCAGCGAACCGGAAATCGACTGAGCGTCTCGACGACGAACGTCAAAGCGCGCATAAACGCCTCACCGAGGCAAGGACGTCGCGGGAGTGCCACAACGTCCTCGGACATAGACTTCATCGACGCGAGTCCGGAGCCTAGCACATCTTAGACAACGCTAAGAACTCTGTACCTACCGTAGCCTATCGATGACCAGTAGTCTCTTTCAACCCTACGAATGCGTATGAAAATTTCAGAGACACACCAATATTTATCTAGTTTAATAATTTACTATAAGGAAGAATAACATTTCATTATTCCTCACTCTATAAAACACACACACACACATATATATATATATATAGGTACGCGCACGCGCGTATTTAAGAGATTAGAAAATAATTAAATTTTACTAAGTGATTATTTTACTTAACATGCGTCGAAAGATCCCATTTTATAAGTAAAGAAGAATTTTTATACTCCCTGGAAAGATATACGGCTATATAATATTCCTCTTATTTTTTTATCTATTTTTATCTTTTTTATCTATCGAATATAAGGTAATTTATCGCCCTTTATTACACGTATAATCTTCTTTCACAAGCGCAAAGTGTTCTTACTTTAAAACAATTTTATAATTTTTTATGGGAGATTTAAATATCAATGTCGTTTTATATAATTGTGTTTTGATTTTATCCCGAAAAATTTCGAAAAAATCTGATGCAATTTTAAAAGCTTCCGGTTTTTTTGTACGTGCCACATCTTTGCTCCACAATAGATTTAAAAAGTTTAGTTAAATTTTAAACGGATAGATCAAATAATAACTTTCAATCCGCTTATGTTAATTGGTTTCATTCACGAAATCCTGAAAAATATAGATAGCAACTGGAGAACCCTACGCAAGTTATATCAAACTTTACCATCCATACAGAATCATTGTATCAGGAAAATTATACCTTTATAAAATAAATAAAAGAACCCAACCATCCATATTGTTTTGCGGATTTCGACCTATAGCGGCGCAGGCTTATTTTATAAAGCGAACATATATTAAGTATTTAAGTCCAAACACATTACATTAGATTTAATATGTTGCATTTAATTTAAATACTTCTATATGTTCAATTAACAAAATTAATTAGTTGAAAGATTTAATCAAGTTAATAAGTTAGTTATTTTATCAATGTAGAATAGACATCTTCAATGAATTATTATTCATTAAGTTAATCCTTTCAGTACAAATCTGACGTATGCTACGTACGTCTGTCTTGAAGCTTTTCGGGAAAAAATTTTTTGACCACCGCTTTTTTTCTCTAAAAGTCAATACATAATATTTATAAATCGCACTTTCATTATGTAGGGAGAATTAGCAAAGTTCTATATTGTTAAATAGAATCATAGCGGTAAGCATTTAAGATTATATAAGATGGAAAAAATATAGATATGAGATATCAATTTGAATAATTAAAAAAGTGTTAAAGAGAATTAAAATAAATGTTAAATTTTTTAACATTTCTATATGTAATATAGTACTGAAAGGGTTATAAGGGACGCACATTAATATAATTTTTCTTAGTTAATGGAACTGGGAACAATCACTTATATAACACACACAAACATATATATATATATGGTTTATCAAAAAATATATGTTGTTTAAAAGCGAACTCTATACGAATTTAAATAAAAAAATATGAAATAAAAATATCTTTGACATTTACTACTAACGCATTTTAACTTATAAAATTCTCTCAAAAATTCTCGATGCGCACATTATGAAACATTTTATTTTAATTCTCGTACTCTAATAAAATATCTTTTCAAACAAAAGAAAAAATAAAATAACATTTTATTTAATATTTGTATATTTAAAATTTTACTGTAATAAATTTTATAAAGAGTATTTGCAAGATTATATAGTTTGTTTATATAGTTCGCATACTGTTAGAAGAATTGTAAACGCGGATTTAGTATTAACCAAGCGTCGAAGGAGTGCCAAATAATCGATAGCACCGGCGCCGTTTCGCAAGGCTGAGAAGAGGGTGAAAGAGGTCACTTCATCATTTCATCCTATTCCATACAATATAGGCTACATTCGTATAATGAAATATATCTCTAAAACGACGTAATAAAAAAATATAGCGACATATGATTGAAGTTTTTAAAAAATTTCCTCTTATCGATCAACAACTTTATAGATAAAAAATGTCTTCTACATATTATTTCTCTTGACAGAAATGGTTAAACAAATTGGCAACTGTTCTTAATGCAAATAATTGGGGCAATTTGTGTAACAACTGCATAAGCGAGATATCGTTATGAATCATATCTAAAGAGAAGATGAATATTCCAACGTAATTGCATTTGTAAAAGCTACTGCAAACTGGTATAATGGACCAATTATCATGCAATTATTGCATCCACTTGTATTCACGTTGCAAATAATGAATAACGATTAAATTATTGCACTTTAATTACCTTTACGCGATTATCGATTCTAAACGACATAATAAGTGACTATAATAAAAATCATTTTCTTTTTTGTCTTTTTTTAATTTGCACTTATTTATGAAAGCAAATTCAAAGAACTTTAGAAGTAATAAATTTTATTTTAAAAAAATAATATATATTCTTTTTAATGAAATTTATTATTTCTAAAATTCTTTAAATTTGTTTAAATAAATAAATTAGCAGAAATGTGCAGAAATATATATATAAGTCGAAGAATTTTTTAGAGATAAAATAAATTTTATTTCAAAAATTAGATATTAGTCTACTCTTCGGAACCTAGGTTTGCGCTATCAATCCCAAAAAAATTTATAATTTTTCACTGAATAATACTGAGGAAATCTCTGTACAGAGAGATATATGGTTCTGGAAAAACGGAGAAGAGTAACGAAGCGATAGAGAACGATAATCGTCGCAGCCTCGCTATTTTCGATGGAAAAATCCAATAGAAGATAATGCAATTTAGTTTCTAGAGGTCGATGTGAAAGCTCTGGCAGTCTTTTGCACGATAAAGACACCGTTAAATAAGAAAATTCAACCCGTAATAAAGTCTCATCACTTCGCTTTTAATTGCCTTTACGCAAATTAATCCTTTTATAGTAGAGAGTGAGAGATGTCTCTTTTTCCTAGAACTGTAATTAAGAGTCTCTCCCTAACGTCATCCAAAAAGAAGTTTGCGCTTATTTTTATGAAAAAATATTCCACAAGATGATCCAGACTCTTATATATCCTGATTGTGATGCATAGAATATCATGCAAAAAATTTTACTTTGTCGACTTGAATGAGAAAAGTTATGATTCATGATGAGTAAATTCCCGCGAAATGCTTATGGGAAAATTCAATTGAAACTAATGCAATTTCAATCGGCGAGTTCGATAGAAAACGAGAGGCATTTTCGCGACGACCGTTTTAATTCTCTCACTTCTCGCTATTCCCGGATAAAAAGGAAAACGAAGCGCGTTTCTTCAAGGAAAGTAATTATTGCCGCTCGTTAATTACATCTTACTACATAGACAAACAATCGCAAACGAAAGATTGAGATCTCGATGAAAAAGTTACCTCTATGTTTGAGTTGCTTTAGCCTACTTTGCCAGCTTTGAGAACTGTTGCGCTTTGCCACGGAAATTTCATTTATATGTATGAGAAAAACAAGCGCACAAAAGGGAAAGAGAGAAAGAGTAGAAATATTTGCATATTCTTGTTTCCAGGGATTATCGGGAAGCATCATGGATATGACTAATTGGAAGACATATAGTAGAATACAACCACCATCAAACACAAAGCAAAATTGATAAAAAGAAAGTTTTTCTTTATATATGCAAGATTTGTGTACATTCGAAAAATAATCGTTATTAGTTCTATATGATCACCACATCGCTATTATATATATATATATTTAGAAATAATAAATCATTTGTTAATATCACAAAGTATTGCCGTTTTTCCGCTTTTCGGCCAACACGCAAGCACCACCTATCATTTCAAATGACAATACATGGAAGACCACAACACGTCTATAAAATGGTTTTAGAACATGTGAAAATATATTTGTATCTAATCTTCTGTTACGAGAATATGTACGTTCAGAAAAATAGAATACTTTTTCTTATTTCTGCCTACACGAAGAAATGTTGATAACTCGCATCTTCATTTGCTTCGAATATCCTTTATAAACGAGACTTAAACTATTGTCATCAGTCTATGTTCTAATGTTAGATGATTGCTACTAGATGGTATCGCAGATATGCACACTACTCACATCGATTAATCTCAACTCATATTTTTGCAGAGAATGGAAAAAATCACCAAGAACAATTTTTGCTAATTCTTCAAAAGAAATAAAACAGTTGATATATCTATCGGCATGTAACTTTTAACAAGTCCCGAGTCACATCATGTATAATCTAATGTATCCTAATTTGAATATTCGATATTTTATATTAATATAATTCTGGACTAGAAAAAATGAATTGTTAAAAAAATCAAAGAAAATATTATGTTTTAGATACCAATTTTAGGTACCAATGTACATGTACCGATTTAAGTCTTAAAATATTTTTGTTTGTCTCTCAATCTATTCAGCAATATTGTGCTTGCTATGTTTCTTCACACACCAACTATCTTATACTAGATATCTTTTGATCACAGATCATTTTATGCGCAATGAGAATTTGTTGAAAAATTACTCGATATCATCTTGCATATCAAACGGCTTAATACGAAAGTATAAATAAACTCATTAGCCAAAAATATGCAATATATCTGCGTTAATCATAATAACTATTAGAATATTAATATTCGCACTGCACCAGGTATATATGTATATCACATCTCGGTTTGTCTGAATTCGTTATTATCGACATATTATCTCAGTGTAATATTTGCAAAAGTACAACTCCCAGTATATAAAAAGCAAAGTAACAATATAATGTAAAATATAATGTAAAATTGTTGTTAAAAAGATATGCCTATATGTAAATATATCATGTGCAACTCAAAGCATTTAAGCTAGTATTTATAAAAAAAAAGTACAATGTCCCACAGAAATCGCGCAATTTCTTACACATAAAACTTGTTTAAATCCAACTGATAAGAAATGCGTATTATCTGAGGACATGTATATATGTATATAAAAGCAAAATTATTAAAAAGGAATTAATTTTGGGAAAGGTATACATATATATTCAACATTGAAACGTCCAAAAAACTACGTAAATATATGTTCGATGTAGTTTTTTTAGTAAATATCATTTAAACGGTCGTCACATCAGTAACCTCGATTCTGGAAATCGGTTTCGCGGGTTCTACGTGTATAAAACCTTCCTCGTTATTCATAAACTCACCGATTCGAAGCTGCTGTAAATTCGCCATAATCGAATCTACCTGAACTGGCTGATCCGGTGAAGCAGTCTCACTCCTAAGTTTGCTAAAATGAAGGTAACAAATGCCGCGATACCCTTGCCAAGTTATCTCATTTGGTTTAATACCACGCTCCAACAAAGCGTTTTTCAAATCACGGACTCTCACGCCAGACGAAATATTCGACAACTTTAAAGAAAAGTCGATATGCGCTTTCGTTCTGGTGCGAAGATTCTTTCGTCGTCGGGGAGCACTCTTGCCATTGCTTTCCCCTTTTGTCTGTAACATAAATAAGATTTATTTATAAAAAAATTATTGTATGACAAGTATTATAGAAGAAGTATAAATAAATAAATGATAAAATATTATTTTTTTATTTAATTTAATGTGCTTTACACACTTTATTTAACACAAAACAGATTTTAATACAAAAAGATTTAATTTAACAGAAATTCAAATTTGCACATTATCATTAATAAAAAAGATAACAATTTTGAAAAATTATATATTTTTATAATTATAATTATATATTTATTTAAGACTATATATCAAAGTACTTACTTGCACTTCAGCATTAGAAAGATTATTTTCTTCTTCGACTTTGGTTTTTTTATAAGTACGTCTTCGTGGGAAACGTGGCTTAAGAATTTTATCTTTGACACCTTCCACAGTAGAATTTTCTATATTAGCTGCATCCTTTTTTATATTGTGATGTTTCTTGTTTTTCGAATATTTAACGCGATTTTTTATATATCGATGCGTCTCGATATCGGAATCGACTTCCTTCAGAATTACTATTTTGCCATCCCTGCAAAAGAATAATCGTGTATTTACGCGAAATAGCTCATTTAGCATGATTCAAGCAACTTAATGCATACTTTTCATCCATCTCTTTGAGCTGCTGTAATACCTGCATAGTTTTGAGTTTTCTTTCACTGAGCATGTGCCACAATATACCAGATGGTTTCTTTAATCTCGGCTTCACAAATATAGTTTGTGTTGGTGTAACAATTATATCTACCGGCACGTCGTACTCTTTAAACAATTGTGGTGGTAAATAATCTACAATTTGGCAATCATGCACTGTCGTGATAACAACTGTGTTTTCTGTTATTGTGCCCATTCTCATCATCATGGCAAATTCGAGATCCGCAAAACCTTCTCCTTTGCCAAGCCTGTATCCATCTCGACTGACGCATACAGATCCCAACACAATGAGATCTACCTGAATAAATAGCATAAATTTAAATATATTAAATATATTTTTATCAATTAACTATTTTTCATGATTAAACATATTGAATTATAAATTTAAGATATTAAAAAGTTTAAGAATAATTACCTTAATATTAGAATCAAGTCCAAGTGGTTTACCCACTTGCTCTAGGCCACGCATAGAAGCCAGTGTTTTTAATTGTTCCTTTGTTGCACCAGCAACTGGTGTAACATGCAGAAATAAGCCAGATCTTAACCTGGGAATAGGTACAATAATTTCTTTGTTGGCCTCCAGAGCTAAAAATCGTACTGGTTCTTGCGGTTTGTCTGGATTTATTTTTATGGTTTTGACTTTCTTAAATTCATCTAATTCAATCAACTGCTGCGCTGCTTCCACAGCACCTTTAAAGTTCGGAATACGTTTATATATGTTAACAGGAAAGTTTACCAATTCATTCTTTGCCATATAATCCCACACTTTTCGACGAAAACTCGATTTCGTTATCTCCTTAGCTGTAACATAAAGCAAATAAAACAAATCAAAATTTATACAGTATATTCAACTTGACGTTCACTACAAATTATACAAATAAGTTACACAAATAAATTATAAAATAGTAAAATAAGATATATTTATACCTATTTCTAGAATTTAAACAGAAATACAAAAATACAAATTTTTTTACAAAATTAGATAAATACAATTTGAATAAAAAAAAGGTCTGTTACGCTAACCGTAACTACTCACGTAATTTTTCCGTCATTTTGATTGATTCACTAAAATCTCACAGGACAAAAATTAAGATCTAAAAGAGATTCAGGAAGAATAACTATATGAAATCCTTTACAAAAATAGATCACACGATTTATCCCATCTATGGCTGCGTTCGGAAACGTCCCCCGAGTCACCGAGTGCATTCTCTCTTTCTCTTTTTATATGGGTGCGTTCAGAAACAACACTCTGGAACACCCGATATCCCAATTGCTAGAGTTCCTCAAGTAATAGAGTTAGGACATCGCGTGATGATTTTTGATTGGTCTATATCCTGACCGCCATTTATAGGGAAAAAGTGAGTGAAAGACAAAGCTATATTTACGTATTCTTTTATTGTAAATTATTAGTATTATTTAATATAATTATTAAATATGTGTATATATATATATATATATTATATATAATATAATATAATATAACATAATTATTATTTAATATAATTTATTATTGTTTTATTATTATTTAATTAAATGCTGGTGATTGTAAAATGTTATTATACTTTATATTTTATATATTTAAATGTGATCTTTGTCTCTCAATAAAGCTAAATATAAATTGCAAATAGATAATACATATAAATAATGTATTGCAGAACAATTATTATTTATTAACATGAAAGAAATAAAATATCTATTTAATAGAATGAACCGAATAAAATAATATAAGTATTTCAAATTGCGCGCTACAGTTCCCTATTAATGGCGGACGGTATCTTAACTTTTACTTGAGGACTCTAACCAATTGCCATTGCCGTTCAGAAACCAAACGTTACATTCCCGTCTGAATGCTCGATGTTTTATAGTCCCGCTATTGTACAAAAATCAAGCGATTATTAGATCTTAGTGTCTAAGCACGTTTTTTCGTAAGTAAATTTTTCAGCACATTCCTCGAAGTAGCAAGAGTCGCGATTGAAATGCTCCTCGATGCCAAAATGAACTGTCATTGTCATTGTGACACGGGAAATCCTTAAGATTAGGAAACAATGATGAAGAACACGCGTTGCCGCGATTCCACCAGGATGCCTGTAAACAAGATTTTGTATTTGGCCCTGCCGATAATACTCGCAAATCTTTACGTGTCCGCCGATGACAGCGGAAATGTCATCAATGCCACTGTCAAGTGCCAATCTGGCAAATCACTGCGCAAACAGGTGTCGGTGGAACCCTTGAACGGCATGTGCCTGCGAGACGTCGTGGTCCATCTATCGAAGAGACTGCGATCCGTCGTCGACGAGGAACTCGGCGTGTCCACGTTCCAGGATACGATCGGCAAGATAGAATTCGCGAACGTCTCCAGTAATCTCGATGCGAGACTGAACGCGTTAGTTGATAAGTTCAACAATAAATTAAGAATGCACATCGATGTCCTCAAACAGGGCTACAATGCCATATACCCCATTCTATCGAAGGGAATTCGTACTGTTTATTCTAGTCAAATGGTTGATTTGGACATGATACCGATGAACGGAGCTTCGGATATATGTACACAAATTTTAACAGGTATTTTATATCGAGTGATATAATCGTTATCTGTGTTTTGTCTAGATTTATATAATACATTGTTGAGTTTGATTATAGAATTTGCAGCAAAGTTAAGAGGTCAAGAATGGAAAAACTTGCATGTACTACCGATAAGCCAACCAAGTGTGATATGTGGATCATCCACATTGCCTCACATTATTGGATCACTTTTATTATCTCAATACTGTCCCGAGAAGAATGTCATTTTGCTATTGGAGCATGGCACATTTATGTCTGAATCTGATTTTGCTTCGGCCAAAACAGCAGCCAAAACTATCATAGATATGCTTTCTGAAACAGATAATGTTACTGTTGTTGGCCTTGCTAATACCACTCCTGTATTTTGCAAAAATGGCTTGTTGAAAGCAACAGATATCAATAAATTTCAACTAGCTCGTTATATCGATAGTTTAACTAGAATAGGTAATCAGAAATGAATCTTTATTTATAATAAATAATATAATAATTTATAATACATACATACATTTGTATATTTATATACAATCTATATGTTGATTATTAAATTTTAATTTTTTACAGATTCAAATCAGACGACACAGATTGATTTTAGAAAATTAACACAAAATTTAAGGCACGAAATGGTTATTATACATGTGACTAACACATTAAAAGATACATCAAATGTACAAAGAGTGTTTGAAATAATCTCAGAAAGACTTAAGTCTTATCTCAGAACTATACTTATTGTTTCGGGTAAGTTCTTAAATCAGAACTATACTTATTGTTTCGGGTAAGTTCTTAAAAAAACTTACTTTAATTGTCTGAAGGATTCTTCTATATATCAGTTTATTTTTAGATCAACAACCACACATCAGTGTTAAACAGCATATAAATAATAATAATGTTATTGTTCTTCCAACGCAAAATATTTTTGGATATGAGATAGGAAAATTATTTTCTTGCTTGCAATGTCCTGATTATCATAAGAAAGATTTTTATGTATCAGATCCATATTTTGATGTATATAGCAAGACAATGACATTATCTATTGGACAGATTACAAGTATTGCACTACTATCCTTAGATATAAAATTGAGTAATTTCCTCGACGACATAACATATTTTAATGCTGGTCCAAACACATATGTAATATTCTTCGATAATAAAGGTGTGATTTGGATGCATAAAAATTTTCCCAGGATTGAGACAATAATGGAACAACCACTTAAAGTGCATTTGCAAGACATTGAAAATATAGATAATTACGCAGTAATGAAAATGATAGATGAGATGCAAGGAGTCATAAATGTGAAAACAAAATTGGGCGAGCAGGTAAGAATAAGTATTTGTATACAAATTTTAAATTTTACAGAAATAAGATAATTATTCTTGATGAGAAATTATTCTTTGATACAGAAGCTGTATAGATGGAAACACTTAATTTATGGTGACTTGATAATATGCCTGGTATCCACGACTAAGGAGGGAATGTTGCCTGTTGCAAGAACTGTGCCTTTACTACCTACAAACATATTACATCATCGCCTCGATCTTATGCTTCAGACTGTCATTGATAAAGATACACTCTGCACTTATAGAAATAGGATTGTAACTTTATGTAAGAAGATAAAGCTTCTCATTTTACAATTATCAATTGTTTACAAAATCTTAATAGATATGTAAAAACTTATATATTTTACTTATTTTTTTTAGCAACAGGTGTAGTTTATTTATCACCTTGGTGTTTTCAATCTCCAATGGAGCAACTGGAGTTGCTAGAAACTGGTTCGGCTATGACTGTACAAAGTTATATGGCATACATAAAAGATTTAACAGGTCTTTTAGCAAATCCTGGTTTACATCCATCTGTAAAACCAGATGTAGCAATCTTAGCACAAACTTTGGAACATTTTAAAAAGCAACATACTGAGAGTTCATTAAATAAATTTGTAATAAGAAGGTAATTTTTGCTTGAATGAACTAGAATTGTATTATTAGTATTTAGTATTTATCATTTGTAGTAATATCTCAATGCATTGATTTATTTTATCATTTTAGATATGTTGTGAGTACAGTCAGTGGTGTATTGGAGATATTTCCAGGAATGGTATTAGATTCCGGTTTTGATCCCAAGAGGCGAATGTGGTATGGAAAAGCAGTAGACTATCCTGATAAGATAATTTTGACTCCGCCTTACTTAGATGCGGGTGGATCGGGTTACGTAGTTACTTTAAGTCAAGCTGTTAAATATTCCCTGGGCAATAAAAGTACAGATTATGTTATTGCCGTCCTGGCTATGGATATTACAATGGGTTACGTCATGAGACTGCTATTGGAAATGTTTCCATTCTGTAATGATGCAACTGTAAAATGTTTCTTGATGGATGACAAAGGCTATTTGGTGTCACATCCGGCATTGTTGGAAGCAACAAGCAAGATTGAGCAGCAGCAGCAGCATCTGACGCATAAAGAGCTTTTAGTAGCTAATGATATATTGAATCACGGACTGTTTGTGAAGAAAAAATCGTGTGCCAATCATTTGGAGGGCATTGTGCAAAGATATTATCAATTTAATATGTCACTCGACGAAGTGCTTACTAATATAGCACATGGCGAGCACTGCGTTAGATATCAGGTAGCTGCTGTACCAAATACTAATGTATTCCTTGGTGTTGTCAATGTGACAACTCAGTGCAATCTGCTTAGAGCTTTTTGTCCGTGCAGTATGGTAAGTCACATTAATTATTGCACTTTATTTTTAAATTTAGAATATATATATAAGTAAATATATATATAAAATATATATTTACTTTGTATTATAATATATTTATTTTTTTGTTAAATATATAGATGGATCATTCTTGCCTAAACTGCAAAAGTATGGAACAAACTGGTTGTGAATGTCCTTGCGAATGCTCCTTGTATTCTTCTACCTGCACACAACCAAGTATCGATAATTTAAATTCTTGTCCACCTCTATATGAGCAAGGCTCGAGTTTACAAACTCCGTGGATACAACCGCCGAATTTGAAATCGTGTCCTTTTATCGATTGCAAATTATTCACAACAAAGAAAGATTGCTTGGGTGTCGCGGATTGTCAATGGTGTCACGTCGACACCGATGGAGAAACTCCTTTGCAACAACCATTTTGCTCCGACATGTCCGTATGTTTCAAAGGAATCTTCGGATCTTTGATACCTTACAGCGATGGCACTTACAGTAAATTTGGTTTTTTCTCTTCTTTGTTATATTCATTTATTTTCATTAGTCATATAAAAAAATTCTGCTTTTTCAGATTCACAGTCGACAGATGAGGTCGTGACAGGAGAGTGGCCATCGGTCGGTCTGGTGGCCGGTGTAATTCTTGCATTAGTCTTGATTCTAAGCATCATTCTATTTTGCTATAGACTTCGATCGGTAAATTCAGGCGTGGAGCATCAATTCTTACATCTCCATACCTCGCCCGATACGTTGCGCATGACGCATCTCGAGGGCGATCTGGAGCCCGCGGAATTAGATCAAACGAAAAGCAATTTGGATTGCCTTGTAAGAGATGGTGTCGCACCCATATCACCGTATAGAGTTTCTACCAATTATAGAAGACCACCTGGTGGAGATAGCGATCATGGGTATAGCACAATGACGCCACACGATGATTCGGAGCAGCAGACGTTTGCCTCTGAACCTCTGCTAGTTGTCGACAATAACATCGAACCGGATTTGACGAGGCAGTCAGGCATTGGAATGCCTTCTCCTACAACGTATTTGGGATCTCCGCATCACGTTTTAGCACCTGTAACCGTCCATCGTGATATGGAAACAAACTATTGTTAGTGAACTGGATTTACATTACCATTTATTTGAAAAGGTAAACAAAACTTCTCAAAATAGAAACTACATTACTTTGTAAATATGATTTCAGTATAACGTATAAAAACGTATAATCTTATTCGCAATTTTCAATACGAGAAGTAGAATACTGTTGTAGTGCAGCTGCAATACAACAATATTTCTATCAAAGTGGCACTATTTTTATTATTATCAAAGTAACAATAAGTACGAATTTTTAAATGACTGACGAACTTAAAAACATAATTTTTATAAAAGCTGTCTCTATTGATACTAAAGCCTTCTATATAAAAGTGCAAATAATAGTTAATAGAATGTACGAGTTTTATATGAAACTATGTAGATAGCTGGTACATTAAGAGACTTAAAGTATATAAGTAGATCTATAAAGTAGTAGTGAAGAATTATATATAATTCTCATTGTAGAGCAATTTAGAATTGTTTAAAAGTATACTTTTATATACACAAGTAATATTGCAGTTTTCTATAATAAATAAAATATTTTTATGTGACAAAGTTAGCAAGATATTTCAATAGGTATATTCAGATAGGTGCTATACGTAATTATATGCAGGTCATGAAATTAATGCCTTACCAGAATTATTGTTAATAGATAACTGATACGAAATAATTTAGTGTTAATAATTAAAATTTTGGCAAGTAAATTTTAGCTCACTGCCTAAAGTACTGCCATTACGTTCCGCGATTGAATCGCAAGATAGTAGTTAATTTTATAAAAATAAGAACTGAAAACTTATTTCTTTTTGAATATTTTTTCACGTGGTATATTATAAAACTGACAGAGCAGCTTACATATGTTATAGTTCCATGACTTATTTTCTTAGAGATTTTTTTATTTTTTATTTTATAGTGTACTTATCATGATTAAATAACAGTGCCAAAACGCGATAAAATTTTGTATACTGTGCAAAATAATTTTAAAAAGCTGTACATATAGATCTATAATAACATCTAGTGTTACTCTATTATATTCTTATGTGAGATTATTTATGCATTTCTCTCGAAATAATTTTATCATTACATCATTTTACAAATCATAGCAAAAATACAAAATTAAAAGAAACAAGAGAATCAAATTTTGAAAATACATGTTAATGAAAAAGTAAATTATAAATGTTTATTACAAGGCTGTCAAAATAGCAAAATTTAATAATTAAATATGTTTTAAATGTTAATATTTTTCTCTTTGGCATAGAAATATTATTGAAACTAAATTACGCAATTACGATCGAAAAAAAAGTTACATTATAGTAACTATAGTACAAGCTTTTCCGAAAGTATTATATAAAGTTTTACTATTAAAGTACTTTATTGACAGTACAATACACACTCACTCTCATTCATTATATGTGCGATATGCACATTTTAACATGATCATAATATAGACTTTCTATTTTTACGGTTTTTAATTAAGAGGACAGAGCAGTAAAATATAAAAATTAAGGTGTAATTTATATATGTATATACATATATGTATGTGTATATATATATACTATATATATATATATATATATATATATATATATATATATATATATATATATATATATATATATATATATATATATATATACACACACACACACACATACATATGTATATGCTATTTTGAATGGTACTTATTTTAAGAAAGACTAATGTCTGCTGATGTATTATTATCGCTAAGAATATAATGTAAAATACCGTTTTGTATCGATCTTTTTTATGACATATACTCTGCGTACAAAATTCGTACCGAGCGAGATTTTATACATTATATATATCAGTATTTTTTATTATTAAAACTAATATTTTATTAAATAAGAAATACGTGTATTTTTCCCTTTCTGTAAAATATAAGAAAATGTAATCTTGAGACCCTACAAAAAGAGCGATATATATATGTATATATATAGATGTTACGATCTTTCATATATGCAAAGTGAATAATGACACACCGACTTTTATTATACTTTGCTTTATTATACTCCTTATAAGTGGAGTTCAATATGAACCGTGTTGGTGAATTGAAAAGAAAAATATTACGACGACTAGGGTATAAAATCTGGATTTTTTCTTAAAATTACAAAACCCTCCATAATCGGCGTTAACGGTATGTATTCCTCGGTGGCAAGTTCTGCTCTCTCGCCATATGCCAATAATACCGGAGTGGTATGCGTCTGGAAGCCTGTGATAGTCTTCGGTTTGCCCGCTTGGCCAACGACATCGACAGCGAGACCGACTCTCACCGGTACAGCTAGCGGATTCAATTCCTCATCGAATGTCACCAGCATTCTAGGCTGCATCGCAGCGGCGAGGGTATACAAGAGATAATGTGAGCGTCCGAGAATAACTGAAAGAACATTTATGACATTAATTAACAACAAGCCATATTATATATTGGAGAGGTGTACTTAAATTTCTGCATCTCAAGAGTTGATTATAAAAGATTCCTCGTGATTAACTTGAAAAACTTAGACTAAAAAATCTGCATATAATAAGGATAATTTATTTCCATTGGATTAAGAATATACTCACTGTTCTTCACGTCCAAGAAACCGATCAGAGTCGACAAAAGACCGGCGAGAGCAACGGGACTAAGTAGCTGCCTATCACTGTGATAGGGTGATAGGGTAAGCGTGCCTTTACCTAGATGCGTCAAGCCTTGCGCGATGCGCACCATGAAGAGATTATTGGGATCCTTCGCGTGGAACTGAGCCAGTTGTCTCAACATAGCGGCCAATCGCGCGTTATTCGTACCGGCACCGACCAGACCCATGGCGAATATCGCGTTGTGCGCCACTTCGGGATCGCTATCGTGTGAGAACTTGGATAACGTGTCCAGGATATTTAGTTTTGGATTAGACACCGAGATGAGACCTAGGGCGAGAGGCACCGAGCGACGAATCACGGGCTCGCAATAACGCAAGAGATGGCCGAAGGTTCTGTAAGCCATCTCGGCGCCGATCTCCTCTCCCATTGCGATCAGAGCGATACCAAGAACAGCGATAGCCTGTCTAGAACTGAGATCCTTCTCCTTCTCCTCTTTCTTTTCCTCCTTCTTCTCTTTATCCTTGCGTTCACTCTTTTCCTCCTTTTCATTGCTCGGTTCGTAGTGCTCCGAACAGATGTGCAGCAAGTGTTGGATTTTGAGGACGTTCCCCGTGCCGGCGTACGCGCAAACCTCTACCAACGTCGTCGACATCGACCTGAACGGTTCGTGAACAATCTCCAGAGCCGCTATGATCGCTTCTGCAGCCTCCTGCTTTCCCAGGAAACACAATCCCAGACCGAGTGCTAGGAATCGCGCATACGTGTCCTTGAGATCAGACTCCGATTTGTCCATCAACGTGTGCATGATCGCGGTGGTGACATAAGCGTTGCAGGAGCCAGCAGCGACCATTCCTAGTGCTAGACCAGTCATACCTAGCACTTCCCAACTCGATTTAGTGTCGCTGAGAACTGGCGTCAGCAGATTCAGTACGGCTTCTCGATTAGATCCGGCGTATGCAATACCGAGGCCAACGATAGCACCGATACGCATGGTGTTGCTGCTATGTAACACGTAATCGGATAGCAGGGCCAAAGCAGGATCACACTCATTTCTCACGCCGCAATTGACAATGCCACAAGCCAACAAAGCACCGGATTTGATATAGTCTTCTGACGAGTACAGATACTTGTCGATTGGAGTGAGACCGCCGTCGACATCCCAGAGCAGAATTAGACCTAGGGATGCAGTCGCGCTCAACATGCCATGTTCCTTGTTCTTGTATAGCCACTTGTTGCCATCCTCAATTAACAGCTTATCATGACCAAACGCGGCGTTTACGAAACCGTTGACAAAACTTGCTGCAAGATTCTGTCGCGCCGAGTCAACCTGGCCACCGCCAAATGGTGGTCGTGAGTTCTCCAGGTGGGATTTGTAAACGTCCTCTGGTGTCTTAGGTTCCATTATATCCAACTCTCGTGCCAAGTTCAAGAAGTGATTGTTTAAATGGGAATTGGACATTATTTCGAATAAATCGTCATCTTCTACTGTAGCTTCATGTAACTCCAGAAAGATCTGCTGGCGACCCAGCATGTATGCCAATTGCTTTTGCACAGAACTGAAAAATATGTAAACTTGTTAGTTTCTTTTCAGGAAATCGGCTAAATCAATTTGCACAGTTTGAGCAGAATTACTTGCAAAAATTCTAAACAAAAATTCTTTAAAAGATACTTACCCATCCCTACAATTTGTGAAGATAGATTCAATGAGAGGTAAATCATTTAATTGCATTGCCAGTCTAATTGCTTGTGGATATTGTCCGAATTTTCGATATAATTTACAAGCGACATGAAGAAGAGTGCTATTCTCTGGATCAGCTACATACGGCACGCAGCTTGTAAGATAGAGACATACTCGTTGATACGCACTTTCGTCGACATGTTGTTCTAGCAAGTCAAGCCTTTCGATCTCCATTAACAGATCGCATGCCTCTGTCTCTGCATTGTGTGCCATATTATACGGAACAATTTCATGCACCAGAGCGATCAATTTCTCGTTTGTTGCCTCGACATTGTCACCTGCTTCCCATTCTCCTGCCAATTCTCCTGATAAATGTCTAACATATTCATGTCCCCATTCACCAATCGCTAATGCTGAACCTGTGAGCTTATACTTCAAACACTCTCGACCTTCACCCATGGTCATTGCTAGGACTGAGATAATGTCGGAGCACAACTCCTTACATTTGACATTAGTCATCGTTTCATAAATGTTCTTCATAGTATCATAGTGAGGCCGCATAAATTTCAGTGGCTTTGGAACACTTGTCATTGATGTTGTCGATGCACGAATATGCGAACGCAAGGATTCCAGGGCAGGAAGGTGCAGTTTGGTATTGGCATCCTGCAAGCGCTCCACGAGCAGAGTTAATTCCTCCTGTAGAAGTTTATCTTCCTCTGACTGAAAAATATAATCAAGTTTTCAATGTATTCATACCTTCTGTTTCTTAAATTAAACTGTATATTAACTAGTAAGATATAACGCATTTTATTGAACTTTAATTTTTATAATTCATATTAATTTTTTATAGATAGGAAAGTGGAACACGGAAAAAAATTACAAACTTAACTGCAAAGTAAATTGTTTAACGATTCAAATGAACAAAAAGTAACTTATTCTCATACAAAGTAAAATATAAAATGAGCTTGGAATTGTTTATGTATCAATGAATTACAAGTGTATATATAAATATGTATATATATATATATATATATTAATAATATAATAAATAAATATAATAAATAAATTCTTATTCTTAATAATAAATAAATCCGTATGTATACAAATTTAATTAAATTGTTGCAGAATCAGAAACATTCGACACTAAAAGCAACTATACTACTCAGACATAGGTTAAACTTTTACCAGCTCATCTTCTTTTCCATTCTTAATATCTTTGATTGGTTTCGTTTCTGCCTTTGTTTCCGGCATTTTACTCAGTTATTCTCTAACAGATACACAAAATAAAAATACGATTTTTCCTTTGATCACTTCAGTTTTTCAGGTTAGAATGAACACTCAAGACGTTTTGCGAGTCACCATCATGGACACGCAACATAGATCGGCGACTGCGTGTTTGTTAAGTCACGTTCATAAACACCATCTGACGATTGAAATTATGGACAAAGACAAGCATTAAAAGTTCGTTAGCATCTTCAGACGTGTTTCGTCTCAAAAAAAAAATTTTTTTGTTCCTGTCGAATGTCGAATATACAGATATCAACTATACAGATATCATATCAATATACAGATATATCAACTATAATTTTTAAACTACTCATAAACCCGCTGATGGCCGAAAGTCGTACTTGCGATTGGGTCAAAATAGATTAAAGAAGGAGAAGACAAAGCATTAGAATCATGTATAATATGTTATATTTTATTTCAATGTGTATTTAAATCATGTGCAATGACGCGCTGTTAGAGAATAACTGAGTAAAAATGCCAAAAGGCAGAAACGAAACCAATCAAAGATATCAAGAATGGAAAAGAAGATGAGCTGGTAAGAATTTAATCTATGTCAGAGTAGTACAGTTGCTTTTAGTGTCGAATGTTTCTGATTATACTACAATTAATTAAATTTGTATACATACGGATTTATTTATTATTAAGAATAAGAATTTATTTATTATATTTATTTATTATATTATTAATATATATATACATATTATATATACACTTGTAATTCATTGATACATAAACAATTTCAAGCTCATCTTATATTTTACTTTGTATTAGAATAAGTTACTCTTTGTTTATTTGAATCATTAAACAATTTAATTTGCAGTTAATTTGGTAATTTTTTTCCGTGTTCCACTTTCCTATCTATAAAAAATTAATATGAATTATAAAAATTAAAGTTCAATAAAATGCGTTATATCTTACTAGTTAATATACAGTTTAATTTAAGAAACAGAAGGTATGAATACATTGAAAACTTGATTATATTTTTCAGTCAGAGGAAGATAAACTTTTACAGGAGGAATTAACTCTGCTCATGGAGCGCTTGCAGGATGCCAATACCAAACTGCACCTTCCTGCCCTGGAATCCTTGCATTCGCACATTCGTGCATTGACAACATCAATGAGAAGTGTTCCAAAGCCACTGAAATTTATGTAGCCTCACTATGATACTATGAAGAACATTTATGAAATGATGACTAATGTCAAATGTAAGGAGTTGTGCTCCGACATTATTTCAGTCCTAACAATGAAGAATTTTTGTTTAAATATGATGCAATAATTACTGCTTGTTCCAGTTTTGAAAACCGAACATCTACTGCTGAACATCAATTTACTGCCATTGCCATTGTATATGTATTGCCGATATAATAACCACGAAATAATATTTGTGTAAAATTTAATGTTCAAATAAAAAGATTTGTTCTCTTGAGAAAAAAATATTCTTAGCTAAAGTATCCATCCTAGATTAATTTAAACCGTAATTCTTCAATTTTTTTATCCAATTCTTCAGTTTTTTTTTCATATATGGCAAGCGCTGCCAGAATATAAGCTTTTATATAGTTGTGAAAATTTATTTTTGTAGCTATGTTATAAAGATTTTATTTTATATTTTTGTAAAATTCTTTATAGAAAATATAACATCTTGTAAATAATATATATTTAAAAATATCGATTCTATAAATAAATACATACAATTATATATATTTGTAGATCTAATAACAAATATATGTTATAATAAATATCAGTATTGAGTTATATATATTTGTTATATATATAATTGCATTTCACATGCTTTAATGTGTTTAATGTTATCGTATAATACTGTTTTAATTAAAGAATTTTTTGTACAGTACTTATATTTTTAAATGATTTATAAAATGTCAAATATAATGGCGGTAAAATTTAATCGAATTTTTAAACATTTATATATTTTATATGTATAGCGATATATATATATATATATATATATATATATATATATATTATATTTATATATTTTTATAATATTAGAATATAAAATTTATATATATATATTTTATATATATTTAATTTTTATATATTTTATTTAATTAATTTTATATATATTTTATATATATGAATTTGTATATATTTTTCGCATTCGATTTTACATATACAGTATTCAGATGCTGAAATTTGCATAAAATATTATTTAAATATTTTTGATAATTTCGCAATTATATAATTTTCGGTGTAAAGAATTTTATTACATGTTTTTAACATGAAAATGACGTTAAACTCTTAATGAAAATGACGCATGCCGAACCTAATTTATTCGTCAGCATTCGTCGATTTCCGCCATTATTCGTCATAAGGGAGTGTCCGGCGATGTAGCGTCGCGTTTGTAATCAAACGCTTTTGTATATTTGACGTTTTTTATTTTATCCTTTAAGATTGATTCGCGCCTTATATAAGGTGTCAGTGTTTAAATAAATATCTCAATTTACAATTCTCGAGCGAATTATCGTACATCACACGAAACGAGTGGACAAAAGGGGGCACAGGTTAACAGGGAGTGTCTAAAAGATCGGAGTTTTATCTTCTATATTTATTTATAATTTCTTGATACTTGTAAAATGTTTATTATATAATACGTTACAAGGTGTTCAAAATGTCTCATTTATTGAGTAGCGTGATATTCTCGCTACTCCTTTTATCACCTGTGTTTGCACAAAATATTTTAAAATATGGAGATGAAGCATATGAGTGCCCTCAACACTGGACACGATTTCATGAATCGTGCTATCGTTTTATCAAGAGTCCGTTGAGAGGACGGGAAGACGCACGAAGGAACTGTCAAGCATTTCAAAGTGATCTACTTACTATTAATACAATAGAGGAACATGGATTTATACTCTATCAGTTACTATGGCAGGATCCGCAACATCGTAGGTGGTACACTGGAATAAAATTACAGAGTGGCTTATGGATGAATGAGGCTGATAGTTCAACCTTAATGAATATGGACAATGCCTTTTTACCTGAACCTAATGACAATATACTAGGAAGAGATTATTTGGCATATTCTTACTCTAATAATCTACAGCGTTGGGGATTGGAGAAGGTCAATGGCAGAGAAGAGCTCTTGTATATTTGCGAAGCACCCATCGCTATTCTCCATAACTTGGTAGAAGATGATCGCACTTATCAATATGGCGTTGATATTGATAATCCTCTCCAAATACCCAGAGGACCATATTTTATAAAACAACCTACAAGCAAAGTATTTGATGTATCAAAGAGAAGAATAAGTAACGATGTTTCACTGAGTTGTTTTGCGGGTGGCTACCCTACTCCAACTTATGAATGGTTTAAAGAAGATTATGAAAATGATCGGCTTATTGCAACAAAAATAGATCCTCTTTCAAATAGCAGATATACTGTAAGCGGTGGAACATTGATCATCTATGAGCCTGAACAAGTAAAGATTTTTCTACTTCCTTTTCAAATACAATGAATATGCAGATTATATCTTATTAATGTTATTTATATTTATGTCATAAAGATTGTATTATATTATATTATTAATTACTATTATTTATTTATAGACAGAAGACCGTGGCTCATATCATTGCAAGGCTACTAATAAATTTGGTACAATTATGTCTGAGAGTGTTGAATTGTCGTTTGGATATATCCTAGAGTTTAATTTAAAACGTTCTGAAGAACGGGGAGATAATCATTGGGGTAAAGCAGTTTATTGCGATCCACCACAACATTTTCCAGGAGTAAAGTATTATTGGGCCCGCGATTATTTCCCTAACTTTGTCGAGGAGGATAAACGTGTATTCGTTTCACACGATGGAGCACTTTACTTCTCCACACTGGAAACAATTGACCGAGGAAACTATTCGTGCAATGTTCAAAGTGTCGCATCTGATACTGGACGTAATGGACCATTCTTTCCATTAAGAGTGAATATGCACTGTAATTATCTTGTATTATGTTTTAAAAGTATTAGTGTAACAATAAAACACCAAACTTAATCATTTTCTTTTTTTCAGCTTCATTTCAGCAACTAAAGTTTCCCAATAATTTCCCAAAGGCATTTCCAGAAGCACCAATAGCTGGAGAGGAAGTTAGATTGGAATGTATCGCGTTTGGATAGTAAGTTTATATATATATATATATATATATATATATATATATATATATATATATGTATAAAATATTTGAACATTTTTATAATTAAAATTAATAATTTATTTGTATTTAGTCCTGTACCTTCTTACAATTGGACAAGAAGAGGTTCTGTTTTGCCGCGCAATGCGTACGCGACGAGTTACAACCGGGTGTTGATAATCCCTCGTGTTCGTGTGGAGGATCAGGGTGAATATGTTTGCCGAGTGTACAACGACAGACTGTCAATCGAGAATTCTGTACGATTGACTATACAAGCAGCGCCTAATTTTACTATTCCATTGCTGGATAAACACATGGACCATAGGGCAGACTTAACTTGGACCTGCGAAGCATTTGGCATACCAGATGTCACCTATAGCTGGTTCAGAAATGGAGAACTTTTGGATATGTATACTTTGCCGCCCGAAGATAGGGATCGTTACGTTATACAAGATAATGTACTAAATATAAGGCACCTGGATCCTGAGAGAGATGAGGCTATGTATCAGTGTCGTGCGAGAAATCAACTTAAGACAACGTATTCATCGGCACAACTTAGAGTTCTATGTAAGTATTCGCATCCCTTCTAATTAAATCATGACATAAGATGATCACATATATATTTTCGACATTTCAGCGTTCAAACCTTCTTTCAAAAAACGGCCTATGGAATCCGAGACATATGCCGCAGAAGGTGGTAATGTCACGATTGTATGCAAACCCGAAGCTGCGCCTAGACCGAAATTCGTATGGAAGAAGGATGGAAACGTGATCGGATCAGGCGGTAGGCGAAGAATTCTGGATACTGGAAATCTTATTATCAGCCCGGTATCACGAGACGATGAAGGAACATATGTGTGCACAGCAACGAATCAGTATGGCAGCGACGAGACTCGTGGGCGATTAATTGTATTACGTAAGTTAATCATTTTATAATTCAAATATCTTTATAAATGTACAAAGAACATTTTACCCTGTAAAAGAGGCACACATGATAAACTATCAAAGTTAAACTAATAAAGCTGTTAACCGGATTTTAATAATAATTTATCATTTATGTATATTTATAATTGTTCAGTAATTAATTAAAATTATTTAAAATTGTTCACACAGGCGGACCACAACTTGTTGAAAGATTGCCGCCACGAATAATCATGTCCTATAATTACAATCAGACATTGCGTTGCTTGGGCCATATAGACGAAATGTTAGATGTGGCGTACATTTGGACGCATAATGGTATGCGTATCCGCGATAAAGATTTGCGAAATAATCCACGATGGCACATTGATGGCGAATATCTAGACATTATAAATGCCACATTCGCTGAAGCCGGCGAATACGAGTGTATATTGAGAAGTGCTGTTGGTGAAATATCGAGCAAGACCAATCTGATCGTGCAAGGACCACCTGGACCACCTGGTGGGGTGCAAGTTGTGAATATCGTCAAAACTTCAGCCACATTACGATGGACTGATGGCGCCTTGAACGGCAGAGTGATAACTATGTATACAATCAGCGCAAGTACAAATTGGAATAGCACGTGGTTTCCTCTTGTAGAAAGTAAGTTTTACTTTCAATAATTACATGACTCCTCATAGAGAGAGAGAGAGAGAGATTATTTCGACAATTTGAGTACTTATTCTTTACTCTTTAATATAATTATAATTCTAAAAATATTTTCAAATCGAGTTTGTTATGCTTAGCTTATGTTGCTTTATTTTACATGAATTACTTTCAGACATTACGGCTATCGAGATGGATAGATATAATGGTCGAAAAGAGGCATTCTTGGAAAATGTTTTGAATCCTTACACCACATATGAGTTCCGCGTGCTAGCTTTCAACGAACTCGGTTATGGTCCACCATCAACTCCTTCACCTCGATATAGTACTCCATCTGACAAACCCACAAAATCACCATCGAATATCAGTGGTGGTGGAGGAAAGATTGGAGATCTTACAATCACATGGGATCCTGTTAGCCCAGCCGATCAAAATGGTCCTGGAATCTATTACAAGATATTCTGGCGTCGCAAAGGATTCGATACGGAATATCAGTCGTTATCTTTGAAGGAATACGGCAACGTTGGTAGCAGCGTCGTGTCGATCCAACCTAAGTTTTACTACACGGAATACGAAGTGAAAGTGCAAGCAATCAACGCAATAGGCGAGGGACCTATATCAGATAATGTGACAATATACAGTGCGGAGGATATGCCTCAAGTCGCACCGCAACAAGTGTTTGCCATGAGCTATAACAGCACCAGTTTGAATGTCAGTTGGTTGCCGATCGAACAGACTCGCGAGCGAGTGCGTGGCAAGCTGATTGGACACAGGATCAAGTACTGGAAGGAAAGCAACCGCGAAGAAGACGCTACTTATTACTTGTCGCGCACCACTCGTCCTTGGTCTTTAGTAGTCGGATTGCAACCGGATCTATATTATTACGTAAAGGTAAAGTGCAAAATTTTTATTTGAATTTCTTGGAACATATAAACAAATATTTTAAAAAGCTGTCTATATAATTACATATTTAATTTGTTTAAAAAAAAATTATATATATAAATTATTAAAAAAATAGAAATGGAAAATATAATTAAAAATTTTGTGACAATTTTAAATCTAAACAAAGATCATAAATTCTGTAAAGGTGATGGCCTACAACACTGCCGGAGAAGGTCCGGAAAGTGAACGATATCTGGAGCGAACTTACCGCATGGCGCCGCAGAAACCGCCGTCTTCGGTGAATGTGTACGGCGTAAACCCGTCGACGATAAGGGTCGTTTGGCGTTACGTACAACCGAGTCTAGAGGAGGAACCGCTAATCGGATACAAAATACGCGTGTGGGAAGTCGACCAAGACATGAGCACGGCGAACGATACAATAATACCAGGTGGTTCCAAGCTGGAAGCCGATATCAGTAATTTGAGCCCGGGCAAAGCGTATCACTTGAGAGTGCTCGCGTTTAGCAACGGTGGCGACGGTCGGATGTCGAGTCCTACTCATACATTCCAGATGGGCGACGCCGCAGCCTTCAGGAGCAGCGCCGGAAACAATATTTTAAACATTGTTCTGGCGATTGTTGCTCTTACGGGTCTAGTACTAACTATAGTGTAAAGTAACCCCTAATAATTATATAGGCAATAACCATATAGGCAATAACTATATAGGCAATAACATTTAACGGCTGTAAATTTTATATAGATTTCCTAAATGAACAAAAATTTAACAGACCTAAAACACAAACTCCAAAATGAGATTTATAATGAGATATTATAGAATTTTTTATTTTTACTCAGATCACTCAAGAAATCTCACAAGTCAGTGAGCTAATCGTTTTCTTGGTAATCTAAAAATTAATATTATTACGTCACATAGTGTGCTATGTAATACAATGACATAGTCGGTTTTATTTGTAGTGTTTTAGTAATTATAACTTAATACTTATAATTAATAAGTACTTCCACAACTTCTTTTTAAGTATTTACAATATAATGAGTCTACAAAGAGACTGAAATTGATCTGCATTTGATTCCAATATTACGCAGCATAATATGCGTAAGTTCAACATAATTTTTATTCTACAATAGAAAAAATATTTTATTTGTTTATATATATTTTTTGACACATATATTAACATTATTTTTAATATTTTCACGATTAATATACTATTTCTTTATTTTTAACTAATTATTACATATACACAAAGTATTCTAAATAATTTATGCAAAATTTTTATATATGTTTTTATATATTTTTATCTTTTTATATACGCGTATTTCCTCTCTTATTTTTATAAAGTGAAAATTATGATTTCACATTCACACTTTATTCAAAAATTGATAAGAATTTTACAAATTATATTCTACACAATTAACAATATATTTTCAAATTAAACAAAATAATTTGAGGTAAATCATATATATATATACACATATATTGATTATATGTGTGAATAATGTAATCTTTAAAATTAACTTAAAGATAAGAATTTTCTTTACATTTTTAGACAAATTATGAAATGAGCATTTTATATAAAAAATGCATTAATTGTTCTGTACAATTCACAATAAATTGTACTATATGTACTATAAGTTTTATTTGCCAAAAAAACGAAAAGCACATTGATGAAGAAATGTTTCATTAAGTTACATAAACGAATTAAAATAACAAGAATATATGCATCTAAAAATTATATGGATGCAATTATATAAAGATCTAAATGAAAAAAATTAAATCTTAGATAAATTATAATAAATTGCACTTTTGCAAAAATATATATTCAATGCTAAATTACACATAATATATTAATATGCTATGTTTACGAGTGATGAATAAGAATTAATGACAATTAACAAAGAATAAGATTTATATAACGTCTTAATGTATAAGGCAGCGTAATTTTCCGTCCATATATACAGAAGTAGATAATGAACACTCGACTAATTTTGATAATACTGCAAATAATTGTTAATCACTGAACTACTCTAATATTCTGTGAATTATTCTAATCATAACTTACTTTTAATTATTGTATTATCGTAATTATCAGTACCAATGAATTCTCCAAATAGATCTTTTTGTACAGATATTTTTGTTTGAATTTTTGTCAGATACATGTATGATAGTATTAGAATAGTTCAGAGATATATAAGAAAAGTTTATATAAACCATTATGGTGTTCATACGAGTGTACTATAAGATACAAATCCTAGAAATTATATACATATATGTATATATATATATATATATATATATATATATATATGTAATATTAGGTATTATATCTCTGTATTTATAAAAAATGTAAACATATTTACATTTAATACATTTTATATAATAATGTATATGATAAGTTTTTTGAAATTTCTTTTACATCAATTTATTTATTATTTATATTATGTATATAAACAATAATTTAATAATTTATATACATGATGCAAATAATGGAGAACTAAAATTTTTGTACGTACGTGTTAGAATCGTTTCTAGAAGATTAATTAATAATTTAATATCGTTTGCTTAATTAGAGATAATAGACACGGCAGTAAGTACTACATTAATTTCTCCAATCGTATATTTTCTTTTTATACATTATTGTATTGTAAACAAATACATTGTATATTGTACAATAACAAAATTTTTACAATATTTGTATTATTTTATTTGTAACAAGTTTATGGTTTGCATGTATATATTTAATTACTTGCATGTCTTTTTAAACATATTCTATGTAAAAGAGACGTATCTTACATTATATATGTAAGGTATCACTTATGAGATTATTATGCTATATATTTTTTTATTAAACTTATATACATTGTTATTAATGAAAAATGCGTCACTCTATATATTGTATAAACATATTTGCTCATATTTTCTTTCGTATTAATGTGAAAAGAGAAAAAAATATCCACAGTATTTACATTGTTTGAAATTACCGCCGAAAACAGACACGTGTATCTGCACGTGTCGAGATATCGAACACGTGATCACGATGGACATAAATTTGTCGAGTTTGTTATGATAGCCGGTAACAATTATCTCCTTGAAACTTCATAGTAGCGAGATAACAATATATTGAACGAAACCTACAATTGTAAATGTATGTATAATGAAAAGTAATCGTATAAACGTTGATCGCGAGAGAACGAGAGGAGTATTTTTGTTTGTTGTATTTTAGAGGTTAATCATGCTGCGAGTCTTTAGCCGATCAATGCGTTCCGCGCATCTTTTCAAGAGGACCACGGAGGTCATCTGCGTGTCAAGTGTAAGGAATTTGAATCTGTTGGAGTACCAGAGCAAAGAGCTTCTGCGCGATTCCGGCGTGTCTGTGCAAAACTTCGCCATCGTCGACGACCTAACCAAGACAAATTCTGCATTGGAAAAATTGCGTGAGTATCATAGTATTTCTCCTCATTTCTGTATATGTATATATTTGTACACAGAATATATAAAAATATTTTCTATGTGCGCAATGCAGTTAATTTTCAAGGTGAACAAGTGATTCATTAAAGTGTATCGATATAATAATAATTTATTATAAGTAATTTTTTGTATGTGTATATATAATGCTTATATATTATATAATTTGTTATTTATTTATTCTTACAGACGCAGATGAATATGTTATCAAAGCTCAAGTCTTAGCAGGAGGTCGTGGCAAGGGTTGGTTCGATAATGGATTCAAGGGAGGTGTACATCTCACCAAAGAGTAAGTTCAATAATTAAATTCTTGTAAAAATATATTTTCCAAAATATCCCTCATTCACAGTTCTAATATATTTTATTTATTAATAAATTTGTTACAATTTGCATATCATATAATGAGATTTTTTATTTATAAGCATTATATTACACAAAAAGCAGGTAATATCAAATAATGAGAAATTATTAAAAGCAGCTTTTTTATTGTGTTATATTCTTATTATATAAAAATTATTTTATTATATTTTTATTATATAAAATTATATGTATATATTTTATACATTTTAATTTTTTTCACATATATAAAATTTATTTATTTGTAGGTAATATTTTATGTTATGTTTAATTTATAATTTGTTATCTTCCTTCTTTTCCCTCCTAATAGTCGTAATGCTGTTACCAATTACGTGAAGAATATGTTAGGTCATCGCCTCATTACTAAACAGACTTCAAAGGATGGTATACTGGTGCAGAAGATTATGATAGCTGAGTCAGTGGACATTGCACGTGAAACCTATGTCTGCATCCTGATGGATCGTGACCATAATGGCCCTGTACTGATAGCATCTCCAGCGGGTGGAATGGATATCGAGGCAGTTGCGGAAAAGCATCCGGAGCAAATAAAAACTGTCCCATTAGATATTTATCATGGAATCGATGACGAAATAGCAAAGGATGTCTCTACTTTTCTGGGATTCTCCAATCCGGATATCCTTAAGAAAGCCGTATATGAATTGAAAAATTTGTGGAAACTGTTCATAGATATTGACGCTTTACAAGTGGAAATTAATCCGCTGGTAGAGACGACGGATAAGCAAGTGGTAGCTGTAGATGCAAAAATCGCATTCGATGATAATGCTCAATTTAGACAGCAAAATCTGTTTTCTTTAGAGGATGTCAGTGAAAAAGATCCCAGAGAGGTGGATGCGTCACGATTTAATTTGAATTATATCGGAATGGATGGCAACATAGGATGCTTAGGTAAAATATACATTTTATCATTATCATGACTGCAATAGGTCAATTAAATGTATGAACAAATGAAGAGTAAAAAATTATGAAATAATGATTATATTAATATACGAGTGATGTAATCAACTGATAAAAGTATATAAGGCTAAATCTTTATATGTACAGTAAATGGAGCTGGTCTAGCCATGGCTACAATGGATATTATTAAATTAAATGGAGGATCGCCAGCCAATTTTTTAGATGTTGGAGGTAGCGTGAAGGAAGACCAAGTCTATCAAGCATTTAGAATTCTTAGTGAAGGTTATCTACAATATATAAAATAATTTAAATATTACATATAAATATTAAATATAAATATAAAATATAAATTTCTTTTTTTTTTTTCAGATCCAAAAGTCAAAGCTATTCTCGTCAACGTTTTCGGAGGTATCGTGAATTGTATAACGATAGCAAGAGGAATTGTTGCAGCATCACGAAACTTAGGACTTCAAATACCACTTGTTGTAAGGTTAGAAGGTAAGACATTAATATTCTTTTTCTTTAATTTCTTATTTATTATTCATAATTTATATATTCTATTGTTTCATTACATATTTTATTTTATTTTATTTTTATTATATATTTTATTTTACTATGTTTTGGTAATATAATTTCCAAATAAATTTCAAGTATTTTTGTAGCGATTTATTTTTTATTAGGCACTAATGTAACAGCAGCTAAAAAGGTCTTGGACGAATCTGGATTACCTATTCTTACAGCAAATAATTTAGATGAGGCAGCGAGGAAAGCAGTTATCTCTGTTAGTACATAATTGTATTTTATGAGAAATTTAATACGATGTTTATTATTGGTTTATATCTATTTAAGACTGGAAATCTGTGGTTTTAATGCAAGAGAAATAATGTTAGGAATAAGGAACTAAAATGAGAAAGCACTATATGATTTTTTCATGTTATAATATCATATTTAGGGATTTTTATGACTTGAATATTTTTATAACTTGGATGTAAACATGCATCTAAATGCTGCCTACTAATGTTTATTATTGCTTTTGTATCAAGTAGAAGTAGAAAATATTTGTAGTCTTTAATTTTTATTATTGCTCACATTTTATATATACAGTCTCATCTTCACAATCCTAAACAAATCTATATCTTTATTAACAAGATAAGATTACTAGAATTTTGAAACAGTTATTTTAATTCTTTATTAAAACCAAATCAAAATATATCGTTACCTTATGTTTGTATATTTTAATTGTTAATTGAAAATATTTAACAATCATTTGCATATAGAATAAAGATTCAAGAATGATATTGAATCTAGCTATAGAGGTTTGTATTAATAAAATTCAGTTCTTCCTATTATCTTTTCACATTTTTATTTTAGCTAATTAAAAAATCTGTTTATTTATTTAATGTATATTGTATTATGTAAATAATGAACCATATATAATTAAAGTTTGCTTATTGATAAGCAGGCAAAATATTAACATTTGATTATAATTTACGTTGTTTAATTATGTGATTTATTACAAGATTTCTGTGAGCCATTTTGTAATGAATACGAATTATTTTACATGATCGATATTGGTGATATTAATTAGCGCATATGTATATACATTTTTATTGTAAATACATTTATTCTTGTTAGATTTAAAATGATTTATACACTGAAAGATAAATTTATCTTAAAAATTAATATATTATGCTTAAATTTTTTAGCTTGTCCAGGAGAATTTTGATTTTATTTTAGTATATTTTTTAATTATCTTTATGTTTAAGTATAGTGTATATCAACTAATATAATATTAACAAGATAGTTTTTTATTGATTTATATATACAAATATTAAATATTATCATTTGTATTTATATATGTACATATAGTTTTTTCTATTGGTAATTATTGTATATCATGTTATATAAGTGTAATAAGTATAGACTGCATAATTCTTGTTCTTTCAATTAATAGCGTTTTTGAATATGGCGGGTTCGATCGATCCGAGATCGATTAATGACGTATCGACCAATCACAGCCATTTCTGAAGAATAAATGGCTGTGATTGGTCAATCGCGTCATGTATCGCTCTCGAATCGATCAAACCTGCTTCATTCAAAAATGCCATAAATGTTGCAACATTCATTCCGCTTCAAAGTGTTCAATGGATCAATTAGAGCAAAGTATCTTGCGCTTTGAAACGAAAATATCGTTAAACGAAGCGCAAGAGGCAGAAAGTTTGATCAGTGTTTCCTTATCTTTAACGTAAGAGTTGAGAAGAGATAAAAAAGATATCGGAGAGCACAATTGGTAATACATGTACATATTATAATTAATCTATACTTTATTCACTATATACAGTATTATATATAGAAAAAAAGAGAAAACAGATAAAATTTATAGATGAGGCTGTGAATTCAACGTCGCTTCCAATCATCTCTACTTATCCGTCATTAGAAGTGCCGTCATCGAAAGGTGCTCGACAGTCAATCAAATCTCTGAATTCCGGAGCAAGTAAGTCAAATCGAAGACCGAATCCCAGTGTTCAAGGCTCATTGATTGCGCGCGGCGTAACGAAAGGAAGGAGGAGTAAAAGCAGCGCGTGTAATCGACTTTTAGCCCATGTATGGTCGCTGCGTCTTTATAAGTAGAAACTCTTTCGGTGTGAACAGCTATAAGCGATAATTCGCTTTGAACGCACTCGCCGAGAGAACGATCCATATATGGGCGAAGATTTTCAGCATAAGATTATGGCACGATTGTATAGGACGATATTGGCTTCTTCTACCTTTCGAACGACACGCGTTAGTGGGTCACATTTTTTACAGATAAATATGTATGCGAATCGATATGTAAAACATTAAAAAATGTTTGGGTAGCGAAAAGAAACGCGTTTTTTAATCGTGTTTTAAAAATAAAACGTTTTCTAATTTGAATCATCGTGTTTGGTCATTCTTTTCGCTCTCTGAACATATATATATATATATATATATATATATATATATATGTAATATGTATATAAATATATACGAGTGTATCTAAATAAGTGCGTGAAAAATTTTAGATGATTCTTTATCGAAAATTAAGAATGAGGTTTCTTATATAAACATTATACTCTTTTATCGCTCCTTGAGGAGTTACACTAAAGAGGTATAAAAATTAAGTTATTTTTTTTTCTCAAACAGACAAATTAAAAAAATGAAATTGGTGGATATTTTTCGTTTCATTTTTTTAATTTGTCTGAAATTTGAGAAAAAAAAATAAAAATTTAGAAAAGTGTAACTTCTTAGGGAGGTATAAAAATTAGTATATGTTTATATAAGAAACGTCTTTCAATTGTCGACAAAGAATCATCTAAAATGTTTCGCACTTATTTAAATACACTGCATAAAAAATATATTTTTCTTGATAACATTAATTTGATGCAATTATAAAAATTTTATCAAATGTTGATCGTCGATTAAACGAGGTTTTCGCGCTAGGAAGCGGGATTGATTTCCCTCCCGGAAGTGCAGGCGACCACTAAAACTGCTATTATTGTGCGCGCTAAAGATCCGGATAGCGAGAACTTAATACCGCGCTGGCTCGTAACAATGATCGTTTCAATTCTTCTCTTCAGTGTCACGAACCGGCTCCGTTTTGCTTTGTTTTCTTCTCGTCTACGAATATAAACTCGTTCCTCGCACACGCGTCTCCGAGAGGGTGGACGACGACGAGAGGGTCCGGATGGTCTCAATGCGTGTGTATATATATATATATATATATATATATATATATATATATAGATGAATCTCCTGCCCCTCGTCTAAGAGTATGAGGTATGGATGAGGGAGCGCGTACTATTCTCGGACGGAACTTCACGAATCCGAGTAACTTCTCTCGACGTGGTGTTTGACTCCTGGTTCGTGAACGTAAATGTCAGTAATCGTCTACGAACCGCGCTGTGTCGATCGAGAGTATCCGCGTCGTTTGAGAAGTTTATTGTTGACATTGTGTATGTAAGATCCACGTCGGCATTCGTCGCTCCTAATTGCTGACATCGGTTCGCAATTAATTGCAAAACGAAGATAATCGCTGTCGGAAATAAAAAAAAATAAACGAAACGTCGAGGCTGAAATTTAGAATGATTTTTTTATAACGATTAGAATCGAAACAATGATTGTTTTAATCCTAAATTAATCTATCGTTTTGTACACTAAACAAAATTTGTAAACCTTCTAACTAAAGATTATTTTGTTAATTGAACATGTATAAAAATTTTTATTAAGTTAAATATAAATATTAAATCTAACAAAACGTATATTTGACTAAATACTATATGTTTAATTAATAAAATAGTATTTTAGTTAAAAGGTTCAGTCAAATGCATTTTTTTAGTGTATGTAGATAAAATATCTCATGATACTTGATTTGTTTCTTCTTAATTAGAATATTTGAAAGATTATTATGTGCCTTTATTTTCTAATTTTCGGTATTATATGGAATGCTAATTAAATCAAAAATAAAATTTCTGATAAAATTTTAATCAAAAAGTTTATTATAGAAAATTTTATCTCTTTATACTTTAACAAGTTTTAAATTTTTACACGCATGTTAAATATCTACATAATTATAAATCTCATTGTACGTTTTTATTAAGAAGATATTTTGAGATCCTAAATTTGTTGAAGAATTTAGTAAAATTTAATAGAGCATTTAAAGCTTTAATATTACGAATAGAGAATAGTAGTCAATCATAAATCAATCTATCAAATTTATCAATATAATCTTGCCGAACGTTGACGAATAATGATAACATATCGCTAAGTATGCTTTTTTTAAAGTGTTTCAGATTCATTAATTAAATACTTAGTTTAAATATATATTGCGCATGTGCATTGATCGAGAAATATACCTTCGATAAATCGAAATCAGCTTCGTTTTAAAAAGAAGATATGTTGTTTATAAAAAAGAACAAATTTTAAAATGTTTAGATATATGAATTAATAGTTTTCTTTAATTTTGAAGGAATTCTTAAAATAATTCTTTCATGTTTCAGGAAATCTTTTTTAATTTTAAATATGTCTTACATATGGTGTAATAAAATAATTCTGAAGTGATAGATTTTTATACATCTATTTACTTCTCGATTGTCCCAGGAAATAGTCGCGTTAAATAAGAGAATAAATATAGAATTTTTTAAATTTTTTACTATTATAAGTCCCAATACTAATTATATAAATCTATAATTCTAATCTAATTTGAATACAGTCTATTTTTTTCAATGTGAAATCATTTGATCGCAGGAAAAATTTACGCTTGTAATTTGTTTGAAATTTGTTGAGAAAGTGTTTGCAATCCATACTTGCGATTTATTTATGCTGATTGCGGATGCATTACGTTTTTGGAGAGCACTGTAGTGCGGAGAGGGTTTTAAGCGGAACGCGAGAGAGATTCGCAAAGCTGCGCGACTTCTTGTCGACAGTTTTTCGTAGACCGCTGGTACAGAATCATACTCGATCGTACGAGGTACGGAATTCTTCCAATTAGACAAACAAGTTTATATATGTGTGATGTGATTTCAGAATGTTTGATAGTTCGTCGAAAAAATGGTGTCTATACCTTGTAATTTTATATCCGCAAATTTACGTAATTTAATATTTTGCTAATTGTGCGAAGGAAATTTTAAAAAAATTTGTAAACACGATATAGAAAGAATTGTTTAATATGCGTGCATTTATTACAAAACAAATCATTATTCTTAAAATATTTTCTACTAATTTACATGTTGCAAAAGAATATCATATATAATTATTTTAATGATCGATTTTAGTATTAATTAATTTGATTTATAATGAGAAAGAAACATATACATATATGAGATCTAATAATTCTTTTTAATTATATGTTATTTGTATATCGTGATTCAAAGAAATATTAATTAAGTTTCTAATATAAAGACATATAAGTGGTAAAATCTTGAAGTTCGATGACAGCTTGATCGTTTTATGTTTGAGTGAAGTGGAATTTCGAATCTTCTTGACTGAAGTGTCACTATAAAAAAAATCATCACGTCAATCTCATCTAAATTTTTATTTCATGTGTTAAACAAAAAATGCATTGGAAAATCAACTGATTATGCAAGAAAAAAAGAAATTGATATAACACTTTCACAAATACTAATTTACATGTTAATCTGTTAAATGTGTTAGAGAAACGTGACATATGTTAGAAACTATTATTTCTACATTCTAGTTTAAAACATTATTTTTAGTCAGGAGATATTTTGTATTTATTTGCAACGTCGAGATATATTAAATCGGAGTAATAAATTTTATTTTTACACATTGTGTGCATCGTATTTATTATTAATTTATGCGCAATGCTTTATTTTGCAATGTTTATAAAATAAACTGTTCTTTTCTGTAAAAAGATAAGTGAAAATGTTAGCTCTCTATTCAGATCTCAGACAATGTTCGCGTTTATGAAGTTCATCTTTCAAATGTAATATTAGACCTTGGAAAAAAGTCACGTATACGTGTGCGTACCAAAAATAACTTGGCATCTCGCCGTGCTTCGCGAATCGTAATTTAGCGTGCGTCTGATTAATTTTCTATTATATGCTATTTTACATAAAATTCGATAACATCGATTAAGAAAATGGAGATAATATTATTTCCAGTAAATAAATGTCTTAGGTCCACTGTAAATTGAAATATTTTTTTATCTTATTCATTGACACCTAATTTTGAATGCTTTCCAGCAGAAATATATTTGTGCTGTAATAAATGTATTGGGACTCGAGAGTAAACAAAAAAGATATACGAGTAATTTTCTCTGAATGTGCCGCTATTTATAATAATTAAGAGGTACTTTATTTTATTTAAAGATTGAATGTAAAACTTGTTAAAACGAGAGTTATAAGTTTAGTCAAACACGTGCGCGAGTCTTCACTCAAGCGAAGCTGATCGCGATTCGATGCACTTCCGCAAACTTAATTTAATCAATAGTAACAATAAGATGTTGAGGTTCTTATTTTAAAAAATAATATATTGATCTTCTACTATGTTTAAATAAACGTTTCTGTTAAACATTTTATTCTCCAACAGGTTCAAATTGATGAATTTTAAAACTTGTGAAGATAGATTATTCTCAGCTGCAAGTTTTTATTTTACAAAAATTAATCATTTAAATGTTATTTTATATATTGTAATGCAATTGTGTATTTCCTATAATATGATTGATTATTTTGTTCTACATCGTCAATCTTTTAATCGCGACATTTCGCGGCGCAGGTGAATCGTCAATCTGCAAATCAGGACGAGCGATCACCCTAAAAGGAATTTCAAGGAGACAGTGTACCGGTCCCAAGGAAAATCTCTCGGCTAACGCATCCTAAGTGACCCAAAATACGATCTACCGGCGACTCGTTGACTCGTTGATTTCTGCAGAAACAGAATTGCTCCAGCTGATCGTGTCAGCATCTCATATACATAAGCACGTACACTCACACGTTCGTTCGCCGGCACACGGCAGGTAGGTTCACCGACATCCACCTCTTTTTCGATTATTTCACAGGTGTGCGTACTCGCGCTAGTGATGGGCACGACGCACTTCCGAGTGGTATCGATACCTGTTGTCAAGTTTATCAGATATAGAAATTAATTAATAATGAAGAAGAAGATAATAATAGATAAAAGAATATAGATATATTTTAAATTACTTTGTGTGTGTACATTTGTGTATATTTGCAGATTAACAAATTCAAGAGTTAAGATTAAGCTTTATTTTTTACTATTTTAGTCATTAATTCAGTTGTGTATGAATTTACATTATATTTATATATAAATTTTATATCTTGAAAAGTTCATTATATTTAATTAACTTTTCAAATTAATGTACGCATTGCTTTTAAATAAATTTACTTAAATTATATTTTAATATAGCCATTTAAATTGGCATAAATTCGATGATCAAACTCGTATGTATACACTTGAAGGTCAGCTAATCAACAAACAAACTGTTCAGACAACAGCGAGCGTTCATAGCATCGGAGCAAAAAAGCTCTTTAAAATTCAAACCGATATTAGTTTGTGCCCATCGCTATTTCTCGAGTCACCAACATAGTCGCATCTTGCTCTCGTCACTGATAGCACTCGCGACTACAAACACTACGATCCGCAGGTACCAACACAGGGGCGCGCACCCCACCACCCTTATCCGTGAGAGCGTAGCAGCGGACCGGCCGATAAAATGAATGAGAATGATAAGTCAGTTAAGTGCGAGAACTCCGCCGAGGAGGAGGAGGACGAGATGTTCGAGCGCGAACTGGCCGAAGACGCGCAGTGGAAGCGAATTCAACAGAACACCTTCACGAGATGGGCAAACGAACGACTGAAGGCGGTGAACAAGCACATCGGCGACCTGGAATGCGACCTATCCGATGGTCTTCGGCTGGTGAGCCTCATCGAGGTGCTCTCCCAGAAGCGGCTACCAAAACACAACCAACGGCCCACCTTTCGCTCCCAGAAGCTGGAGAACGTGTCCGTCGCTCTTAAATTCCTGGAGGACGAGGGCATCAGGATCGTCAATATCGGTGAGTGATGCCATGTGCATGCTGGACCACGCTTGAAAATAGATTCGTCCTGTCTAAAGTAGTGCTTGAAAATAGTGAAATTCATCGTTTGAGTGGTGCAAAAGCTGATTAATGGATTTACGAGTGGAAACAATTATTATTCTAAGAAATGCTGATGTTCCATGCTTAGATTAAGTGATCGAGAAGTGATCAAATTTGAATAAACAGAATCAGAAAAAAATCTTATTAGCTTAAAGTATATACATAAAGTATATGTCACTGATAAAAATATTATTTTAATATGCTTTTTATAATTAGAAAAAGAAACCATAAGTTTGAAAAAAAAATAATCGTGAGATATTGTTATTCTATACAATTATTATTCTAAGAAATGCTGATGTTCCATGCTTAGATTAAGTGATCGAGAAGTGATCAAAATTGAATAAACACACTGAAAAACAATTATTGAATTCGGATAAATATTTATTTCAATACCGCCTAATAAATTATTTATTTGAAACTAATAATATTAATTTGATGTGAAAAATATTTATATAAGAATTTCATATAAGAAAATTTATTTCAAAACTGATAAATATTTATTTGTTTCAAATAAATGATTTGTTAGGCGTTATTGAAATAAATATTTATCCGAATCCAATAATTTTTTTTTCAGTGCAGAATCAGAAAAAAATCTTATTAGCTTAAAGTATATACATAAAGTATATGTCACTGATAAAAATATTATTTTAATATGCTTTCTATAATTAGAAAGAGAAACCATAAGTTTGAAAAATAAATAATCGTGAGATATTGTTTCCCATATTTATAAAATTTAATATTAATGTCAATTTAGAAGAAATTCATGTTGCAAACAAATAGAGATTTAGACTTAAATAACATGACTATTCTTATAACTCAGTGAAAATTTGTGCTACACAAACAATTAATTTTTAATTTGTGGTTAATCTTCAGAGAGAGACTTCTCATTTACAATCTCGCCATACGTTACACCACCACGTGGTAGATTACCACGAGCCTGCGTGATTGCGGATTTTACGTAGATTGAATTTATCGATCCTTTAGATTTCTGTACTTTATAGACACTTGCGCAGATGCGTTTCGAAAATTTTAAGAGTATTGTGTGTACGTGAGATCATTTTTTAATTAATCAGTAAATTATATAATAGATAATCATATAATTGATTATGATAAACGCACTAATAATTAAACATCAATGCTACTTTATTATATATCATCAATTTTATTTCAAATCAATAATATATCAAATATGCTAACAAAATATTCTTAGTTTAATTTAAAGAGATATTGATATAATATAAAATGAAAATAATGATAATAAAATAATTGCAAAGATTAAATAACAAATGATAATATATAAAAGTGAATATAATTACTCACTTTATAAAAAATGAATGGGACTGGTAATAGAAAAATGAAATAAAAAGGCTATATTTAAAACGTTGAGAGAAAGCAAGTTATACGCGATGCATTACATATAATTTTTTAATTTTTATAGAATGTTTCTACACATTTCTGAATATATAGTCTTACAAAATAATTTTACATTTTCAAAAAATCAAAAAATTTTACCGCGTATTGTAAAAATATAGAATGTACACTCTTCCTATTCTGATATCTTATTTCAAATTAACATCACAACCATTATGCGCGAAATTTGTAATATCTTTAAATATTTTAAATATGCCTTTGTTTGCACGATGAAAAATGTAGTTGAAAGCTATGATGAGTGAGTGATTAGTTGACAAAATTTGAGGACAGGCATCAGCGAATAATTTATCGCGCGCTTCACGCGCATGGAAATCTATGTAGATCTGACCGATAATACGTAAAGAGAATCTTACGATATCGCGACACACTAAGATTTAATCATTTTACACATTGCGATTACGAAATTGAGAAAAAACTTAACATTATTATTAGCTTTTCGATGATATGTATATCGAAAATTTTATCAAATTATTTTAGTTTTACATTTAATTAGAAATTTTAAATTAGGTATATAGAAATCTGAATTTTAATTCTTAAATTGTTTTAAGAAGACTATATTTTAAAAAATGCCACATCAGAATGCAAGATTCTGTTTGTGGCGAGATCACGAATAGTAAAATTGTATTTCAAACTATTCCCTTTTTACTGGATGAAAGCCGCTCGGCTGGTATAATGATATGCGGAATATTTCTGCTTGTCCTCGCTCTCAGTTTCGGGATCAACCGCTATATAGAGCACGAATGCATCGAGCGGCGAAATAAAAGCGATTGTAGAGCATAGCGAGAGGGTTGTGGATCGATGACGCTTGCCCGGGACGGGCTACCCGGGAAACCAGAGGGTAGTGATGGGATAATGCTGTTCACGTGTTTTTCATGAATGAACAAACTGACATCACATCATCCATTTTCATCCATCCGCATTAAATTTAGATTAAAAATCCCTCTCTCGCTAATATGACGTAATTCTTAAATTAAAGAAATTGACAAGACATGACTCGGCTTCCTCACATTTATTCACACAGTTCTTGAATGACTTAAAATATATTTTTTCCTGACTTAAACAAAATTTATATCTCTCTCTCAAAGCATTTTAAATTATATTTATTTATCAGCCATAGAAACTTGAGAAAATTTATCTTTAGAAATGCAAATATGTAATGAAACCTTTTACCACGAATTTTATTTAACAAAATTTTAAAGATTAGTTTTGAAATTATTTATCATTAGAAATATAAAGAATTTATAAGAGCAAGTTTATAATGTTGGGGACTCAGTTTTCAATAAAGTCTTGATGTCAAATTTACGATTTGTCGAGTTCGCACTATCTGTCTGACCACGTGCGTCTGTAACCACTTGTTGGCAAAAGAATCTAGATAAAAGACACAATGGTGCCGATTAATATTTCATTAGATGGCAATTTTCATTTTTAACGTATAAATAAAGGATCAAGCATCGTAAAATATAAATAAATTATTTGAGAAACGATAACCTTTGTATAATTTTGGAATATTCATATTTGCACTGAAAGATCGATGACTGCTTACTTGACGATGTCAATTTGTCGCATCCTTGAGTAAAAACTTGTGACTGGTATAATGACGCAATTGAATATATCATCGATGATGTCATTACATTTTTCAACCTGTAATATCTCAAAAGAGAGAAACGTGCTGATAAACAAAGATTTTTAAATAATACATATCTCTAAATAATATTTATTTATTTATTAGAAACTTTTTTGTGCATTATATGTTTGTTTTGAATATCGTAGATATTTTATTATTATTGATGATATTTGTATCATCCTTACATTATTTTTAATCTTGACATCTAATAAGGAGAAAAAATTTTTTATATAAAAATAAAGTATGTGAAAATTAATTTTGAGAATATGACATTCAAAGATTTATACGTTTCAAATTTCCACGATAGAGCAAAAGGATTGATCCAATTAAATAATTATTTTTATTTATTTTTTTCATTTTATATACTGCATTATTGTTAAATGCAACATGTATGCGACGGATTAAGAGCTTTCGCGCTGAAAAATTTTTGCATTCGAGAACTTTGTATGAAGCTATATTGCCAGTTAAGAGGCTAATGTGCCTGATGTTAGATCATCGCAATCTCGGTTAAGATGACCGCAAGAGCCCGAGCGTTAAAGACCACTCGATTGTAAATTATCGGATATCAGCGGAAGCCATACTCGCGTTATTATGTGAAGGACATTCTGAAATTCTCTCGGGAAGTATCTCGCGGGGACCATCAAGAAGCAAAAGAAGGAAAATAGGCGGTTCCATGTAGATCAGGTGAAGGTCAAGCTCGCCTTGGTACCACGGACATCTTTCTTCGCGTTTATTACGTGGCCGACTTTCATTTCTTTCTTTCTTTTCCTAGAGTGCTTATCGCCGTGCGGAAATGATCTTTCGACGCTTTTTCAATTTTGTTTTTTTTCGCGAAATACCTCTTTAATATTTTAACAGGGCTTTTATGCCAAAAGATTACTTAAAGCTTGAAAGAATCTGCATGTAAAAAAAGGTTTTGAGAGGAAAGAAAAAATGTGACGGTATTTTGTGCTATAAGAATAATTTATAATATAAAGCAGGTTCAATTTACAATACTTAATAAATTAATCACGAGATTTTAAATTTTAATTATTGATAAATTAAAAGTATATAGTTGTATATTGTAATGAGGAGATGCAAATTTTACAATCTTGTTATTTACAAAAGAAACGATAAACATTATATAGAACCATAGGAACTTACTTATAGTTTTGTTATTTTCTTCGTGTATAAATAGCTTTCATTTTTGAAAATTTGCGGATTAAAAACGTTATTTATTTTCAGAGATTTATCCAATATAGCATAATTTAATGTCAAAAATAAATAACAATAATATTATGCGAGTAATATATTTTCGGAATTATAATGTTTCTCCGTATATAATTTGTGCATATATTGGGAGCGATTACTTTCACTCTCAAACCTTGACATTAAGAGACTATGTTGTTTGTGCGTAATCACATGAAATTGTGTCTCTATACGTGTTAAGTCGAATTTTCGATTGCTGAAATGTGTTTATCTGCCATATTATCATCTGACCCGTCAGAAATACCTTAGACATATCATAAGTAAATACTTCAAGCTCCAGATGTCAACATACTTTTTACATATTTTTTAAGATTAAACTTAAAATATTATGGATGTTTTCTGAAAATTTACTTAATCTTTAATAATTTTTTAATTTTTTACTTAATCTTTAATAATACTAAATATTTAGTAAATTCTAAAAACATTGCATTATTTCAAATATCATATTCCTTAGCTACAATCTATACACAGAAATACATAATTAATATACATTAACACAATTATTTGACATATACATATATAAATCATATATATATATATATATATATATATATATATTACATATATTACACACATATATATATATATATATATATATATATATATATATATATGAATCATTTTAACTTAAAAATTAAAATAAACAAATAATTGCATTCGAATGATATTTAACCAAAGATTTACATCCGAGATGCATTTTGACACATGTCTACGGCACACCTTGACGATTGAAAGGAGAAGATCGTATCGGTGGAGGTCTTACCTGGCATCCTCGATTCAGTGAGGTAATCTCTCGAGGGTCAGTGACGTCACCGTCTAAACTCGCCATGGGATATGTGCGTTTAAAACGTCACACATA